TCTGGGGCAAACCATAAGGAATAATTACTGCTCGTAAAAATTTCACTTCTTGTGGTAAAAATAACAAGTGGGTCTGACCAATTCTATTTGACTTTATTATTCATATATAAATTTTTCTCAATATTCTCTAGTTTCATTTCATCATAGCTATCCATTATCAATAACAATTTGAATTCTTACTTCTGTAACATCTCTTTGCATTCTTTTAATTAAAGTTCGTCAAAGCAGTACTCATCTTGATGAAGTGTTTCCTCTACTGCTTAAAACACAGGATTTTTTAAAGAGGGTAAGGAGATATAAACAGGAATGAGAATTTGATTTCTAATTTTTATATTTTTATTATGTAATTTCCAAATAAATTCTTCTATTTTCTTAGCTGTAGTACTTTTGCCAGATCCAGCTACCCCATGAATTAATAACACTGTTTCCTTCTCTTCTAATAAAAACTCATTCACTTCTCCTTGAGTATCATTAATTTGTTCTAAATTTATTAAAATACTTAAATTATCTTCTTTTTTTTCATCTTTATGATATATCTCTTTGGTTATTAATGGTATGTAAATGGATTTAGCATTCTTAGGTGCAGCTTCTTTTAGTACCTTCCATTTTCTAATTTCAAATAATTACTCAACAGATTTTCCTCTCAAAAATTTAATATCGTTACTCAGGCTTTTGAGTTATTCCTTCATTTCGTTGATTTTCCCCTCCACTCTGATCAAGCCTTTTCTGATATGATTAACAAAATCAGTTAGCAGTCTCAATTATTACCCCATTTCACTGATATTTTCAATTGATTAATCTAATTGCTCTGTTGTTTCATCAAGTTCTTTAAGGTATAGATCTCGCTTGTTGAGATTAGCCTCATGAGAAATTTATTCTTACAATTCATCAATTCTGCTCAACATTTCCAACATTTTCCCTGCAATTCTATCTTGTTAAGTCTACCAATCTTTCTTCAAAATTTGCATTTACATACTTATCAATTTTTCATTTTTTAAAAGGTTTCTAACTCTTTGATCTTTTTCTTGAACCCACAATTCGATTAGAACTTTCTAACAAAAAGAAACAAGATTATTTGAAAAACAATTGGATGAAATCTAAATTATAGTAAAAACTAAACCCTATTTAATTTTCCATTATTCATTATTTGTAAAGTCTTAGACTCTTTGAACCAAATTATCTAATTAACCGAATTATTCTTTTGATTCTTCCCCATCATCTGCTTCTTCACTGTCATCCTCTAAGTATATTTTTTTTATTTATTGAATAAGTAAACCTTATTCAATTTGGATGTTTGAAAAACATCTTTTTTAGACCAATTTCTCTTGTAAATAAAATTCCAAGCAATCAAGAAAATCAAAGATATTTATTTTGTTTTGAGTGGTCACTTTATCGTTTCCACTTTGAAATAACTTTGTTTCCAAACTTTTCAAGTACAAATGAAAATTTTCATCCTTTTCCTAACTTAAATTAATTTACGAAAATTGTAATTGCTCTAACTTTTGAATAAATTCTTTAATACGATATTAAAATCGTTATTAGAATTTGGTTTAAATTTCTTTTTTATACTTTTCAATTTAATTAAGTGTACTAGAAAAAAAAGCAAATTCTTCAAGTAAATTTTGTAATAACACCATCTCCTTATTCAGTATTAATTTTTTTAACTTTATTACCTTCATTATGAATGATAGGTAAGCCCTATAGCTTTCATTGCTAGAAAAACTAAATTTCTTGCCATTTTAATTAGCAACAACAGCATTATCGCTTTTTCCTGCTTCTAAATCAATCAATTAAATTTATTTAATATCAAAAATTTGGTCATTGTCTGCTATATCAACTCGCTCCTATCTTATCTAGTCTTTTGGAGATTTTTCAACTTACTCTTCTTCATAATTTATTTTTTATTAGCTTATTATTGTTTGTAATTGAATTAGCTCTTCATTAATTAACATTTTAATAATTTCCTTGTCTGGGCATCCAAAATTTTCCAATGTTTGAATGACCGTTTCTGTTTATCGGATTAATTGATTCCAATTTTCTATCTTTAAGCATTCTCTAAAATCCTCAATTTATTTTAATTGAGATAAAAAAATATGATATTTTTCTTTCTCTAATTTTAATTCTGATGAATTAAATTTGTCACCAATCACCTTTTCTAAGGAATCACCAACTTTGAGACTTTCAAAAATATTCTTAATTTTCTACTAAGACAATTAAGAAGGAGATTCTTTGATGAAGAATTCTCCAAATTCGCTCTCGAACAACTCTAAATCTTTTCCGACCTATTCAATCTGTTTTTCATTTAGACTCTATTTAAATAGGAGGGATTTTATTATTCCTTTTTACTTCGATAACCTAAATTCAAAGTCTTCTTCAGTGATTTCAATATTTTCTAATTCAATGTGAAGGAATCTGTAAAAATTAGCCCTTTTACTTATAATTCTTTCTGGAAGCTCTTCAATTACTTTTAACAGAAACTCATCAAGATTTATTACTTCGGACAACTATCGTAATTCTTCTGGTTTGGCTTTTTCTAATAAAAATTAAAAAGACTTCTTTGAAGCAACCAATTTTAATTATAGCTTTTTATTTATATACCTTAATTTTTCTAGAAATTTTAGCAACTGCAAATCAGAAAGAGATTATTTAACTTTTTTCAGATCAACCTTTGAAGGGACTGTCTCAATTTTAGACATTATGATCATGATTTCCTGAAAGTATAAATTAAACTCTGAAAAATGGTTTTAAAATTCATTACAAATGTTTTCATAATTTAAATGTATGTTATCAACTAAGTTCCAAAAATATTGCAATAAGTCATTTTGAAGAAAAGATATTTCTAATTTTTAAATTTCTTTCTGATAATTTTCAATCAATTTTTCAACTTTTCCCCTGATTTTGTTTCTATCTAGCAGATTTGCTGTTACCTAAAGAAATGCGAATTTATCTTCTATAATATCAATGTTTTTTAACTCTTCCAAAATTAATTTTCTCCACTCCTAGATATCATTGTTCTCAATAGCTTTTTGATTTTGTGATTGATTTCCACAATCTTAATCTTAAATGATATATAATTATAATAGCTGCTATAGTCTCAACAGTTTATTAAGTTTTTCAAAATTGTTAGCTTCCATTCTATTTTTCTATTTGCTTTAATTTATTCTCATTATTTTAAGAATAACCTATGTGTTTTTAAGATAGACGTCTAAATTTGAGATAATTTTTTGTATTTATTGTGAAAAAATTTTTAATTTTAAGTTTTCATCATATTAATTAACTTATGTAAAATTTCTACAAAGTTTTATTGCTTCTTCCAATTTCTCAATATTTATTTGAATTAAAATTAGCAATTTATTAGAAACCAAAAAACTTAAAAATCTTTGTATATTGTTATTTGCTACTATATTTACATTTTATTAGAGATCTTATCCTTGAATTTCTAATTTGCTTTTTAAATAGGATCCAAATGTAAAAGAGATATTTAGTTGTTTTTCATTTACAAGTAAATCTTTAAGTAATAAAAAAATATCCCATTCTTTGAAACAGGTTTTTAATATTGTTCTATCAATCTAATTTAATTATTTATTTTTAAATTAATTGAGTAAGATGACAGCTTAATCATTACTATGATTCATCTGAATTAGCAATCCTTTTCTTTGATATTCTTTCCAAATTTAATCTGGCTTTACTCCAATATTTTCTCTGTGTATCAACTGAGTTAATTTGAGTTTTGTTAATATAGGATTATATTATAATATATTCCCAATCATTTAAACCCAAAGATAATGATATTTCCAATCAATTGAATTTTTCACAATTTTATCATATATTTCCTCAACTTGTGAAATTATTACTTCTAAAGTTTACAATTTGTCATTCTTAAAATAGCTTATTATTTCCCATTACAGCATATCTATTTAAAAATACACTTCATATTATTTCTTATTGTTATTTATTACATACTATTTGTAAAGATGACAAGCTCCCTGAAACAATGATTGAAGCAATTCTTCATTTGGCTTCATTTAAGTTATTGAACTAATAATACCACTTAAGCATCCTTTCAAGATTTCTTCCCTTTCATTACTATTATTAGGTGCAATCTCGAAAGAAGTTTTTGTTAAAAAAAGGTAGAGCTCCATTTAATTTTGAATCAAATCATTTTTCTCTATTTCCATATGTTGTCTTATTTCATCAGAGAGGTCCAAAAATTCCTTTTATATATCAAATTTCATGAATCTTTCCTCATTTATTACATGGAAGCTAAATATTACTTTTGATAGAGATGCTGTTGTCTATAAAATAGATAAACACTTAAACGAATCTGTTCTAATGTAGATCAAACAGCTATTCAACAACTTTTGGATTCCCCTTAAAATTAAATCGTATGATTTCAATACACTTTATGCATTTTTATTAAGATTGTAAATATTTTCTTCTTAAAAATTAAACCATTATAGAGCTATCATTATTTCTTAGGATTCTGATTAATCAGCAGCAACAACAGCTTTCATGCAAATTTACTCAACATAAAAATTGAATTTCTTAAAGAAATTCTGGAGGTCTTGATTATTCAACATTGAGATTCCTGAATTTGGGTAGTTTGCTTTCCAAGATCCGCAACCACCTCCCCGCAAAATGGATTCTGTTTAAGACATTTGAGTTAACATTTTATCAATTAAAATAATAATTCCACGTGGTTACAAAAAAATGTTTAAAAAACTTAAAATGAAAGTAATACTTAAAACAATAATATAATCTGATATATAAGGGTTGCATCTACCTACTTTTTGATAAAATTATTGTTTCCAACAAATTGTAATTCTTATTTTAATTGGATTAGAATTAAATTTATTTTCTAAGTATAAATCAACTTTATAATAGTTATTAATGTTCATCAAAAAAAAGAGATTTCAGACATTTAATTACCCATATTTATTTATTATTTAGGTAGCTCAAGTAAAATAATATATTAAATATATTTGTAAAAAAAATAAAATTGATTATCTCCCTTTCAGTTATATAAATCACCTCTCTACAGTGTGATTAACCTGGTAAAAGAGGAGGCACATTTGAAAGATATTGAGAAACTATCAAATAGAAATGTGGAGACAATTCTAATATAGTCATCACTAATATTTCAGAGTTTAGATTGAATTAGATATAATGAAAGTCAATAGCAGGTGCACCTACTGAAGTGGTTTAATCTTATAAAGATGTTATTAAAAAAAAAACTATTGAAAATAACCTTCGATCAAAATTTAGAATTAATTTTAGGGGCATAATAAAAAATAGTTTCTAATCCACAAGTGGATTGATGCGCAGTCTTGTGAGTGATGGATAGAAGTAAGAAACAATTAATGAGTAAAGAAATTGTGCTTTTGTTTTGGGGCAGACGATATGAACAAAATGAGGATATTTTGAGTTTTTATCCTGTAGAAAATAATCGTCCATAGATTAAAGTTAATATCTAGAATGATATTTTATTTGAAGGAATAGAAGATAAACTATAAGTTTTCTTTTGTGATGATCTCAAATACAAATATTGTTTCCTAATTAATAGGGTGATCGACAACGTTCTATAAATATTTCTTAAACTCAATGGTAGAGAAATGATTGAATTGTACTAAATACATTATTAACTTAACGATGCTTATTGTGAAATTAGCTTAATCGGTTGTGAATTATGTGATATTTAAGAGGTATTTAACAGATATTTTATATTGATTTGATAGAGGAGATTAAAAAAAGGAACAATCATTTGGGGAAATTTATAGAGTATTTATTTCAATAAGTGGAGGAGATTCAGCAAAGGTAAGAACCTACAATGTTGAAGAAATTAGAAGTTAATATTTGGATATGCATTTTTGGTTTAAAAAAAAGAAGAAGAGAAAATCTACATCTAGCCTCGAGAAACACAGACCTTATTCTGAAATTATGATAATGCGAACTAGAAGTACGATTATATATAAATAAAGTAATCCCGATCGATTAAAATTATGAAGAACACCTACTTATCATGCTTAAGAAATTTTTAGAAATATTTTAGAATCAAAGGAATTTTTGAATTATTCCAAGGTAATTCAAATTTATCCTTTTTTTAATTTTTATTTCTACAGAAGAACCTTTAAAAATTATTCTATAATATTTCAATTATTATAGAATTTATATCAATAATTTGATCGATTTACAATTTCAAGGTAGTACTCCCAAATTTATCATTTTGAATTTTTTCCTTTACTTTCTTTATCCGGTGTGATTGAAATGGGAATTGACATTCTCCTACCTAGTTCAAATTATTTTCATAATAATACAATGCTTTTGGATTTATCCCTAAAATCGACAAAACCAGAATTTTAGGATCTTTGATAAATGTAATGATATCTTTTAAATTTATGAATTTAGTATCAAACACATTTATTTCTTGAACTTAATCAAAGCTAGGATTTTGGTATAGATTAATTACAGATATTATAGATATGGCTTCTTGGTATTTCTGCAATTCTATTAATTTTTAGATTGCATTTGATTTTGAATGGGTCTGGTCCTATGATTGAATTTAGGCTCTAATTATTTTATTTCAACTTCTCTCTTATTATCCTCTGGGTTCAGAATTTTCGGATGCTTCGTAATAATTATTTTTCTACTCTAATTATTAAATCTCTAATTATTAGATCATATTTTGATTATAACTCAAAAAACATTGCTTATCAAGTTTATTAATTTTGAATTTTGTAAGCTCTTTTTAAGCTGCTTTTTGGTATTGTGTGGAATTTTGATTACGTTCTCCTTTCCTTGGTTCATCTAAATTGTTATTTGATTTTAAATCATTTAAAATACTTTGACAAATTAGCAAACTACAGTTATAATCAACATGTGTTAGATAGTTGGATAGATAAAAATAGAGCAAAAGGTTTGGTTCAGGATGGAGAGTCAAATTACAATTAATTTTTGATTTGAAAAATTATTCAAATGAAGTTAACACATCCTATTATTTTTGAAAAAGCTGACAGACGTATAAATCTAATTTTTCTTGACACTAATGTGTCTTTTCTGCACAATCTCCATTTTTTTATGTGTACTGAGTAACAAAAATCATTTTTCTGGGCAAAAACTTTTTTCAACTTGATACTTCAATCCGTTTCCGAATTAATTTAAGTAAGAGGGCTATAGTAAATTCGTTTTAAAGACTTTCCTTAATCTCTCCTTATAAAAATTCCTTTCTATCTAAATGTAATTAATTCCAATGTAACTAAACCTACAACTTGAATGTTAACAATTAATTAGAGCACTCAACTTGACTTTTCGAAATTGTTAGTAATTTCAGAATTAATCAATTTGACCTCTCTAAGAATGGATTTAAAACAATATTGAAAAAAAACTCTTTAGAGTTAAAAATAAATGATGTTATTTTACTTAGCAGAAAGCAGATTCAATAAATATAATTCATAAGATGAATAAATTAAACCCTTTTATATTACTTTAAAATCAAACTTACCTCATGAACTTAAAGTATTAGATGATATGACTGATAGATAAAGAACTATAAATCCATAGCAATTATACTCCTTTTGAAGAAAAATTAAATACAAATTGAAAATGATTTTTTTTTTGGGTAGTTTAACGCGCAGAGGAATGATAAGTGTAATGGTATCTTGTTGCCGTTGTCTATATTTTCCAATTAAGAGATAAAAACCATATTGAGAGGAAATACTTTTTGATTTCTGAAGTTAAGCTGGATAAGATAATGAGTCAAATAAATTTTTAGGAATTGTACTGTTAATCAATAAATCTTTCCATTCCAGCTGGTTGTGCTGAGCATAGCCCTTAAACATAGAATTTTACAAATTTAAACGCTATTTTCGTTTAATGTTAATAGATGATATTAAAAAATTGAGTTTGTATATTGGCTTAAGAGAACATTGTTTCGACGATTTCGGAACTGTTTTTTCTATGTTAAAATGAAATTACTGTAATGCTGCCAGGCCAATCTAAATTTGACCTTAAAATATATGCATTACTCAATTTTCTAAGCGGGAAAGTCATTTAATAGACCATGAATATACCTGAAATAATAGTAGATGCTGTTTCTCATTTTATTTGAGAGAAAAAGATAGGATGAGAAAATAATAATTTAATGATAAATATTTTAATTCTTAAATGCTTTTAAAAACTCATGAATTCCTTTACAATCTGTAAAAAAATATCCTTTGGCTAATGCAGCAGTTAAGTAAAGTAGTTTTTTATTACCCATAAACTCTATTGCTAATTCACTAAAATACCAATCAACGATTTTAAAGATGAATAGTTGATCCAGCTTTCGCCTTTAGACATAAATGAGGATTAATATGGCTCCTCATTTTTAAATTCTTTCATTTATTTTATATCCTCACCTATTTTTTACTTTATTTGATATCATTTCCATTATTTTTCTAATTTGTTCTTCATTTTTAACAGGCAATTTTTCAAGGAATATATTCTAGTTGTTAATTTAAAATATCTTTCATTTTATCTCTAAGTTCTTAAGTTTGACTTTGCTATATTTTTCCTAGCTCACTTATTGAGTCAGATATATTATGTAATAATTTTCGAATTAATTCTTTTTGGCTTGTTCGTTAAAATTTGAGAATATTTAAATCATGCAAGCTCAATAGACATGTTTAAAACCTTTTATTTTAAAAATCATTCAACAAAATGAGAATTTGAATATATTGGTTTTGCAATGTTTTGTAAAGATATTAATTTTTACATATATGAGCAATGAGAGAAAATTTTAGATAAATTGTTATTGAACGTATTTTACTCGCTAAATTAAAGTATCACATAAATGAAAACAGTCAAAAATATTTTTTATAATAAAGATTATTTATTAATGCAACAAAATAAGGTCTGGAGAAAGATTGATTATGATATTCGAGAAAAGCCTATTCTTTAGTTCAAATTTCAAAAAGTAGGCAGGAAATCAAATGAACTTTATATTGGATGTTTTTATGAATATCTGATAAAATATAAAGTAATACATTTAAATGGATTATAGGATCCATTCTATACCATCCCATATAAATTATTTGATTTAGAATTCACCAGCAAATTCGAAGTCATAAGAACTCCTTCAAAATTAAAACAAGAGAAACATCATACCAAAGTTAGAGGTGAAGAGATCTTAGAATTAGGGGAAATTGTAGCCATTCGTTTGATTATTGAAAACATTGATAAACCCTATGAAATTCAGGGAAAAACTGAATAAATGCATCAATTAAGAAGCTTTTTAGGCAACAAAATCAATTAAATTGGATTTCACAATTTATTTCGTGTTTATAAAAAAATTGGGAGAGGAAATTTTGCATCTGTCTATTTGGCTGAAAGAATTGAGGATAATTTAAGAATGGCAGTAAAGGCGTTTTCGAAATAAATTGTTTATAATGAGGAAAAGGGAAGAGTAAAATTACTGTTCTACTTTTTAGGAAGGATTAATAAATGAAATATAAATCATGAGAGAACTAGAGCATCCTAATTTAATGAGATTGTACGAAGTATACGAAACCAAAAATTCAATCTATATGGGTCTAGAGTTACTAGAGGGAGATCAACTATTCGAATATTTAAAGAAGAAAATCTAATTTACAGAGAAGCAAGTTCAAAGTATAATGGTTGGTTTGCTAATGGGACTCAAGCATATGCATTAAAAGGGGATTATGCATAGAGATTTGAAATTAGAGAACATTCTTTTTAAATAATAAGGGTATTGATTAAGGATATATATAGTAACTTTAACTCGGTAGTTATTGCTGATTTCGGATTGGCCACTCATGTTAATAAGAAACCATATTTATATTAAAAATGCGGCACTCCTGGATTTGTTGCTCCAGAAATAATCAATCTTAAAAATATGTACTAACCTTATGATTCAGTCTGCGATATTTATTCAATGGGAGTGGTCTTTTATATCTTGTAATCTTCTTGTTTTTATTAATAGATTGACCGGAAGGCCAGCCTTTACTGGGAAGACTTATAATACTATTGTTAAATAAAATAAGGAGGCTAATGTTAATTTTGATTCTCCGTATTTCCAAAATACTCCTAAGGAAGTCTAAAGTCTCATTTTTCAAATGCTTTAAAAAGATCCTTTATCAAGAATCAAAAGCAATGAGGCTTTGTTGCATCCATATTTGTAAAGTGCTTTGTTTGATGATGATGAGGCACATATTTCCACCGACGATGATCCTAATCTAATGGAGAGAATATAAATTCTAAATAAACAGTTAATATCTCATTCTTATAATTACTTAGAACAGAAAAGGTAGACTTTACTAGAATCAAAAGATAAAATAGTTAGAATATTAAAGAATTAAGACTATAAGCCACTTAAGAATTAAAATAAAATCAATCCTCAGATGAGGAACTTAAAATAATCATGAGAACACCAGTAATCACAGGAAGAATTAATTCTATTGAAAGTAATACATAATTAAATAAATAGATTCTCCTATGCTAAAATGTATTTCCCCCTTTTAAAGTACTGGTGGTTATGACGAAATTGTACATGATTAAATAATTTTGTAAAGATATTCTGGGAAAACACTAAATATTTGACTTTATATTATATATCCTTATCAAAAACTAACTTATAAGGGGTTAAATTCCTTTTTGATTCATAGGGTAATATTAAATATCACAATTTTGATGAATCAATTACTTGTTGTTTAAATTATAATCATCTTAATTTTATTTAAATGCTTATTTTTCTGTTATTCATGAATGAAATATTATTAGATCAATTACATCTATAAAGTCTCTCTTTAGCCTTTTTTAACCAAGATTGTAAATTTAAAATAAATTATTGAATAATAAGAATCAAAAGAAATCTAAAGAAAACCCTGTAATTTTGAGATTACTGATATAATTATTTCTATACAGTTAAACTCACAATTAATTTAATTGCAAAATCAATAAATCATTAAAAGCGAAGTGATTTTCAATAATGAAACCCCAATCATGTTAATTATTTCTTAAAAAGGGAAAGACCTCTAATTGTTTGAAGTCAAGGAGGTCTGTTTTTTATAAATATAATTAATAATATGTAATTATTACAATTATTATTTTAGATCTCATTGTTATATTAATAATAATGAGATCAAATATAGCTTTGAGGTTGAGAAAGTCAATCGAACGGGAAAAGTATGATTCCACATAGAAATTTTCATTGCATGCATTTAGTATACATTAAGCACCTAGCCCCAAGAGAACAGCTCATTAAACTCCAATCAGGGGAAAATATTAAATTCTACAAAAAAGAAAATCTTTCAATGAGCAGAAAGGAAATGATAAAACACAACTTTTAAAGAAAATCGAATACTTTAACTCGGTGAATATAACATTAGAAAACTAATAAATAAAAGACTAAGATAAAAGTATTCAATATAGAAAAGATAACCGTTAAAAATCAGAAGACAAGATACTTGTATATGATATTTTTCGAGAGGTTGGGTACTCTTACAAATTATATGTCTGAGGAATAATCAAAGCCTGGAGATTAGTAAGAAAGACAGCGCAAAAAATATTCACTTCCAATTTTGAAAAAAAGATCTTCTCCATCTCCTTAACTTTAGAATTCTCAAACTATTCCACCAATGCCAATAATCACAGAGCTAACTTACACAAAACTAGCACCTAGTAATTAGTTTTGTAATTATAATTAGATGAATTTAATAAAGTTTAAACTAAAGAGATAAAAGAACTTCCTGAATCAACAGAAAGAATCCTAGATTTATTATTGCTTAATACTTGTGATCTAAAAAAAGTATTCCAACAATAAAAATAAAAGAACAAAAGAAAAATAATAGTATAAGGAAGAATCCCTCAAGATTTTTTCAACATATTGAAATAATTTTGATTATATATATAATATATTTAAGTGTTTGCATTATTCAACCTTAAAATATTCCCCATATCTCCATTCTATCGATTACAAAATTCTCTTTACTTGACAACACTTCATTTCCAAAAGTTTCACAATAATGAGAATACCCATGATAAATCTCGGAATCCACATACAACCCATATTTATCACCACATCCAATCGCTAATCCATTTTCATCACATAAAGTTATAAAATTATTCTAATTTATCCAATTATAAACAGTTAAGGATTAGGTATTCTTAAATGTAAATAAAAACGATTCTCCAGTTCCATAGAAATGATCTTTACTTTTTTAAATACCATCAGATAAATAGGCTCCAAATACATATTTATGCAAGTCTCTAACAAACATAATAACAGGCTGACTAAATTAAGTATTTCTCATCAGAGTCTTTATGGATGATCCATGCAATGTTGATGAGTACAATAAGCTCCATCTTTGGGATTTAAAGATAGCCGGAATATAACAGGCAACCATCATAAAAAGATTCTAATCGATAATTTCAGATTCTGATTCTAAGTAAGAAATGAATGCATTCGAACCCATCAGCTCTTATCATTTATATTGATAATAATACTTTCAAATGCTAATTGAATGTTTTATTCTAATTTCAGATCATTGTTGTAGTAAAATGGAAGTATAGTTTTCAATTAAGGCTTGGTTGGAGTCTCTATTATTTTGTTTGGAGTCGGAGGAAAGTATGACGCCAACACAGAATTAATTGAATCCATCAATTCACTTAATTATGAAACATCAATTAATTATATTAAAGCAACTTTGGACCGCTTAGTTTATAGGTGTATTTCTATCAAATGCATCCTAAAGATCTCTTTACTACCTAATTAAATAAATGCTGGAAAGTCCCTTTTTGTTACCTTTATGACATTTTTTAATAATATTTAAAATTGTAATTATTACACATTCTTTAGTTTTGCCTCCTACATTATTTTTTCATTGCCTAGATTATTGTAATCAGGATAAAAAAACAATACGTCTTCATGAACTGTTAATTATCCCTTAATGTAACCTAAAGTTGTAACATAATTGATGTCGAAAAATTTATTTGATGCTTATTAAAACGAGTCCAACAAGTTTTCTTGTTTCTCCTCCTAGTTTATAATTTACTCATAAATTGGCACTGATTATTTTCTTGGTATTTTAATGGTTATTCCCTCATATAAGGAATTTTCTGAAATTTGATTAATTTACATCAATTAATCTGCACTTCTATTACAAACTTAAATACCTAACATTGAATTTAAGTTCAAGTCCAAAATATGAATCATCTGATTCAACTTTATATAAAAAATATTTAGAATCATCCTGAGTTTTGAAATCATCTAAAAATTATGATTCTAAATCACTCAGTTTCACATCTTCTTCTGATGTAGGAGTGTAGTTTTCATAGGTAATTCTGCAATTCCCTAAATATTCAAAATCAAGTTCATAATCATACTATAATTCACTTTATTCCTAATCCATGGTTTGTTATATAATATGTAAAAAATATAATTATATCATTTTTGTTGCATTCAATTTATATAATGATTAATACTTATATTTTTCTTTTATAAAACAATGATATAGAAATAATAAAATAGATAAAATTTCATTAATTTAAAAAACATACATGTTGCAAAACTAATAATCAATATTAAACGAATCATTCCATTTTGCCAACTTACAATAGTTTTCTCCTATTTATTAAGAATTTCTTAAGATTTTTAATTCTAATGCTTTAGATAAGCTTTAAAATTCAAATTCTCTTGATTAACATATCAAAACAGATTTAAGTCTCAAAAATTTGGATTCTCAATCCAGTAGTCCTACTCAGATTCATTAAACTAAGAAGAAATGTCTTAATAATAGAAATACTGTCTAACCAAAATAATTGTAACAATAGATAAGTTGTTAAAATAATAATTGTTAGAATAAAAGAAAAAATTTAAATGAAACTTAGATCAAAGGTTAGACTATCCTATTATGCAACAGATGTTCAATCAATTTCGCTTCCAATAACTATTGTGAATATTGTATTCAAGTAATATAAAAATCAATTATTTAAGATATATGATCCAAATCTCGGATATGAAATGGACAATAAACAGTGGATTATGTGTGAAAAATGCAACAGATGGGTAAATTTTAATTATTATACTCTTAGAATCATGTTGAATGCGAATAGTCTTAAGGAAAGTAGAATTTGACCAAAATTACTTATTAAACAAAATATCAATGTTCCCAATGTCATAAAAAGATAAAATAATAAGCAAAGTTGAATTTAAACAAAGATACTTTTTAAGATCAAGAACTTATTAATACTAAAACAAAATAGCCCTTATTGATAATGAGATTAACCAATAAAGAAATTTTTGAAGATATTTCTGATCTGAGAACTCTGTTATTTGATGAGAGGTCAAAAAAAGTGAAAATAGAATTGAATTAATGATTATATAAGATGTACTCCTTTATGTTAATTATTATTTATTTAATAGTTGATTGTATAACAAGGCTTCTTAGCTTCTCCTATTGAAATGGTCATTCCCTTTATGCAATCTAATAAAACGAAATATTTAACTATTCATATAAAAATGAAAGTTTGTCATTTCAGAATAATCTTCATTATATTCTTGAAGCTTTCCTTCCCCCATTTTTGCAATCATATAATAATAATTTTGAACAAATCTTCCTAATATATATATTAACAATATAGAATTATAATTAATTATTATTCATGACTTTTTCGTTGGTTTTGAATTAACTTAATTTTATTATTTAAACTATTCAAATTGTTTTAAGTATTATTAATATGAAATATCTCTTGAAGCTGAAATATCTTAAACAGTTTGATCACCAAAGTTGATTCTACTCATAATTAAAGTTCCTTCTATTTCCTGATCTAATTTATCTAGCTCTTAATTTATTTTGTTAACTTCCTTTCTAATAGAGTTTATTTCTGTAACCGATTTATATTTATCAACATCAACTAATTATTTAATGTTTTTTTAATTTTCTATTTCCTCTTCAGAATCATATTATTCAGTATCCTCATATTATTGATCATCTTCATCCTCTTATTAATTCTCTTTATAATCAACTTCTTTTAATTCTTTTTCATTATTTAAAACTTTATTATTCTTTACTTACTATACATTATCCTTATCTTTTTGTTAATTCTATAGAGTTTTAGGTTCTTATTGATATTGTTATCTATTTAACAATTTTTGCGCAACAGGCTAATTGATGTTTGATTATTCTTACGAAAATAAAAATTACGGGCCTCTAATTATTATTCAAATTATACTTTTACAATTATTGTTAGATATTGGCTTGTTGAGTAAATGGATTTGAAGTGCTTTTTGGTAAGATTTGATTTAAGTTTGTTTAATTCTTCTAATTATTTGACATATAAGGGTTTTGTTATTAAGGGATAAAAGGCTATTGCTATAATGATTGTTATGATCGTTAACTAGTGGTGGAATAGCTTTAATTTGTTTGTTGAGGATTATTGTAATATTAATAATATTAACGATAAGACATTATTTATTTTATGTTAATAATAAGAAACGAATTTGATCAAGAATCAAGTCCAAAATGTTTATAGTCTAAAATGTACTTTCAAATGAAGGAGTGCGACAAATTTCATAAAAAAAAATGAATACAAAAATACATTATTAAAAAATTATAAACTATTTATTCGAATAAAATGATGTATCAAGAATGATAGATTAATTTAGTCAAATGCCGGAATCATAAATGGGTTCATTGAGAATAAGACCCTCCCAATTAAGAATAGAAATGACGGATGATCAATAACTTTCTACAAGACGGAGGAATTTCATGTCTCCTACTGCTTTGCCACTATTTCGAGAATTGTAAAAAATTAACTTAAAATATCAGACAATAATAAACAACTAGACAGAATCTCTAATAAACTATCGCTCCCTTGAATATAAAAGTAAATTTGTTAACTTAGCAAATTAGTAAATGTCTAGCCAATCGTAGATTACTAAATCCTTGTTATTTAATATATTTTTGTAAGGTTTCTTTATCAACTATTATGGATACGTCTTTTGGTAATATAGTTTTCGCTATGTTTTACTATAATTGTGGATATAGGATTTGTTAACCATGTTCATATTGATATATTTTAATTATAGAAAAGGAGAGGAATGCATTTGGTAACTCATTGAGACTATGTTTCTATTTTTCTTAAAAGTAAAAATTAGCATTAATACAGGTTTTTATTGTGTTTTATTATGAAATACAAAAATTCAAAATTTACTTTATTACTTTAATGATGATTTCTCTTTCAATTCTCGTGTTGTTTATGCGAGTGGTTCAAAAATTGAAATTTCAATTATAGAACAATCAACAAATTGTAAATATTAGATTTATAAAAAGATTGTTTAATTCATTAAAACTTTATTATGTGTATAAATAACACTAATTGCCTTGAAATGGGAAGAAAAAATAGACTGGGTTTGGTCATAGATCTTTATAATATTGTGGGTATTTTTGGTAGTTTTTGCATTATTATTATTTATATCTTTTATAGGATGTATTGAGACATTCATAAATCTCTTAAAAAAACAAACTAATTAAAATTATTGTATTCCTCATATATATTATAGTAATAGGAAATATTTGGATTTTCATCAATATCATAGGTTACACCTTGTTGCCATTCACATTTTTGTATAGATTGACACAGTTGTATGATAATTAGGAATCCTTTGGAGAAGATGAAACTATTTAATTAATTGTCTTAAGTGGAATATTCACGGTATTGATTACCATTTATACTACATTTTTTGCAAAAAATATTAAGTAAATATGACAGCCACCCTATTAGAATGTTTTTGAAAGAGCTTTAAGGATTTGAATAATATTCTACAGGGATACCCCAATAGCCAATTTAAATTTAGTAAGAACAAGAATAAAGAATTGATAATTTACCTGATTCTAACGAAACTTTATCCAAAAAGAAAAGAAAGGCACCTTTTAGGTTCGTTAAATTAAATGCACCATTATATTTAATTAAAATGTCATGCACCTTCTTTGCTATTTTTGATAAAATAAGTCCTGACTAGAAGAATGTTAAACAAACGGAATAACTTTCTCAAAGGGCATTAGGATAATAATCATCAAACAGAATGGAATTTTAAAAGGAAATTAAAGCGAATAGCAATTCAATAGACTATAAAATTAATAATTTAGAAATGCAAGACATAAAAAAAGGAAACAATAAAGAATTTGCCAAAGAGAATGTGCAATCTAAAAACATCTCCGAAGAACCAGAAAAATCAAATAAGAATTAAAATTCCATTAATGAGGATCAGTAATCGATTTAAGATAAATGTTTAATTTGTTACGAGAACTAACCAAATATATTATTTGTACCTTGCAGACATGGTGGAATCTGTGAAAAATGCGCACAAGATATTGTGCTTAAATCCAATTAATGTTATTTATGTAGAAAAGTATGTATCTTTTATATTTAGAATATTTAACAAATTTTAAGAATAAAAACATAGGGAGGTTAATTAGTTGTTAATGAAATTAGCAATATAAAGTAGAAAAGGTAGATATAAGAATGAAATTGTCAATAAATTTACATTTAATTATTCTCGTTTATTAATAAAATCATGTATGTTGCTAATCATTTCTCTATTTCCAATATCAATTTACTATTATCACTTATTAGTAGTTTATATTTATAATGAAATTTAATTTAATTAATATTATAGGCAAATTTAAGCTTTAATGTAGATTTCAACTGAATATTGACTACTAATCAACGGTAGATTAGACAATATTATTTGGAACTGAAACAATGTTTCCATCAATCAATCTTTGAATTCGTGGATTAGTCCAAAATGGCACTATTCATCGCTTTGTATAAATATAATCTATTTCAAATGGCATTTCCAGGATCTTTACCTCGATTTCATCAATTTTATAATCATGTAACTAGTGAACCTTTTCATATCATCCAAGCTCTTAAATTTTGGAGCATCTTTGCTCATCATATATCCTCTTTACCTTGCTCATGTGAATATTTTATTGAAACCTTCTTAAAAAATTCAGTGTAGCCATCTTTATCTTAAATATCTGTTGTATAAGGAATTTTATCATTCTTCCAGTAATTACAATCATCCTAAGCAATAAAGAATATTGGAACTGTATCGGAAATCAAAATGAAGACTTTTTCAGAAGGAACACTAAATTTATAAAAAGGTATTACTCATGTTAACTACTTTAAGGTTGGCTATATATTGATATTAAATTTTTTTGAGTTATGATTTAAAAATGTTTTAATCCATTTATCGCATACCTTTGAGACTGCATGAGTTTTTGGAACCCTTTACCAAGCCAAGAAAGTATAGGTACAATCAACCCATAGAACTTGCTATTTATGATTGAATTTGTGGTTTTGATGACTACCATATGAAAGTCCTGGGTTTGATGAGAAACTAACTCAATATGGAATTGGACCATAGAATTGATAATATTTATAAATTCTAAGCATACTCCAAAAACTTATCCATTTAGTGTGAGCTTTTGAAACATCACTCCAATATTCTAATGCCTTTATTAAAGCAGAATAAGAATTCTCATTTCTCTTTTCCATTCAAATTATCTAATGTCAATAAATGTCATTGAATATTTTCAATTTTAGGTTAAATAGCCTTCTACAATTCATAGATATTATCATATGCATGCAACAATATCAATTGTACAAAGATGAGCTTATATTGGCTTGACTTTAAATTGGATTGCTTAATATCATCCATCATCATTTATGCTAAGACTCTACCTAAGGTTTCATAATATTCGTCTCACTTATTGTTTTTAACCAATTATCTTGCAAATTCATACTATTACAACAGACATTAAGATAATTCATTTAACTCTTATTCCTTCCAAAAGTAAAATCATACTAAGACCAGAAGTGATTGTATATATGTTGGTATGTCAATGACCTTCCCAAATACCCTAATGAATACGTTTTAATAAATACCACTGTAAATGAAGTCTTAAACAATATACAGTAGATGTAAAAGTCTCATTTGTCCAAATTTACAAATTGCCCCATCCATTTTGAATCAATCATGCTTTTATCAAAGCGATTTTTTAAGTCTTTAAATCCTATGAAAACAATGCACCATCATAACAGATGCACAAACCTGTTTAAGAAAAAAATAAATAGCTTTCATCTATAATAATCTACATTTGACAATTTTTGTCAAAACAAATATTTTACATCATAAACCTTCATATCAAATTAGGTTTTCTATTTTTTAATGAAAATTCATAAATTATTTATTTTTGACAGGAATACCAAATAATATTTTAGTAAATAATTAACCAAAAGAGTAAAAATTCTTACACCAGAAAAGGAAAGTGATTTAAGGACCTTTAAAGTATGATATGTTGGGTGATAAGATTTTTAGACATAGATATTGAGGATATGTTCTAATATAAGGACAATAACCCTGGCAACTACATAATATAATTGATGAATACTTAATCTAGATAACTAATGTTATTCTAAATAATTGAATCTAATAATTAAATAACTTCTTATACATCAAATTAAATATAAATTATCTGTTTTTTTGTAAAGTAATTAAAAAAACAAATCTTTACGAAAAAACAATTCAAGTTAATGTTTTAATGTAATTGATTCAAAATACTATTAATGAAGTGCATTTTTGGTTATGGATAAAATTAAAAAAATATTTCTTCTCATTTCAGTATGAATATTCAAAATTCAAGCTTTTTTATCATATTTATTTAAATTATTTATTAGTCACAATTAGACATATTAATAATTTTTTTTCTTTTAATTAAATAAATGGATAATTATTGTATTTGATATGAATTATGATGATTCTACAATAAAAATGCATTAATTTAATAATCATTAAGGTGTATACCTAAAATTTATGAAAATTAATATATATATTTAAATAAAGTTTATATAAAATATCTAAATTAAATATTTCATCATTATTATGACATTAAAAAAATTTACTATTTCCATAAACTAAGCATATTATCAAACTATCTATCGATCGTTTAATTTATATCCATACTGTTGACGTGCAATTCAAAATAATTCTTCATTTAGTCAGACTGCTCTTAATCAATGTGTTCTTCATCTTTTTTGTTCTTCTCCTGATTCAAGGAGCCAGATGTATTTTTTTTCTAAAATTCTTCTCTCCTTATTGCTTTGTGTAATTAAAAAGATGGCTGAATTTCCTTATAGGTTTATGAACTATAGTTTTTTGCCAACCTTTTTTGAGTTTTGAAATTATTAAATGAAACATCATTTTTGCTATTTCCAAATTTCATATTCTGTTTCATCCAAAAGATTAAATTGTTCGAGATAGATTCTATGTCCTGAAGGATGAATTATTAAGTACACTCTTTTGAATTACGAAATTAATCTGGCTATTTGAAGTTACCAACATTGTGGGGGTTCAATGAGGATTCTATAATCAATACATTGGATGTTGTTTGTTATTGATAGAGATTCAGATCACCACTTTTGATATCAACAATGACAAGAATTTTGTTTCTCTTATAATATTGTTTCTTATTTCTCTTATCCTTTTTCATTGACCTCCCTTATTATTAATACGTCTACACAATACCATTCGCTGTAGAATACTTCAAACCATATTTTAAAGCTGTCTAAAGGATGAAATTGAAGGAGTACTTGCTTAATCGAATTTTCTTAGAAAACTATGTCGAAAATCACTTTTTCTCTGATGTCATTTCCTATTTTTTGATAAGGCTGTCGCATTGTATTTTGTGTGAATTGTTTCTGCTCCAATTGAATCTAGGTTTAAGCCATATAATTAAAAAAAATTAACAGAATACGTAAACCTTTTATTCTTATTTATATTCCAAATCTTATAATTTTAAATATTTATTTAGATTATGAGTGTTAATAGCAATAAATTTAAATAAATTATTTAATTTGAATTTAATATATATATAATATATTGAACTTAGCTAAAAAACTAATATTTAATTTAATTACATAATTCATAGGCAAGGATAAGATTCCACTCTTCCAAAGTATATATCATAGTTTAATTTTAATTACTCTTAAATATTTTTCCTTGTTTATATACAGATTTCTGAGTCAAATAACTTAAACTCTTAAAATATTATCAACTTTAAATACATCGTACAACCATTTTTAAATATTTTATAATAAAGAATAAAGTATAATTTTATTATAATCTTCTCAAGACAGATAGCTTCTTTCCAGCAAAATAAAATAATATGATTTTAACACTAATTAAGTTGACAATTTCTTACTAAACCATAAGCTTTACAGAATTCTATATAGTATCTATTTTGGATAAATAATCAAATCATTTCTACGATACTTATTGAATGATATTCTTTTGGCATATCACCAAAAGATAGTATTCAAGGATGGGAAAGGCGAATGAATTTTTCAATTTCCACCATTTATTCAAATTATTCATTCCTATAGCATCTACCAAAAAATAACTTGATATTTAAGTAAATATTTTAAATAAATATAACATTTCAAAATGTTTATACATAAATGCTTGATTAGCATGGCATTGAATTATGAAGACTAAAAATAAATTGATATCCAATAAACCATAATTTTATAGTCAGTAAAAAATTGCATTTACCCTTAGAAATTATAAAATACCATGGAAACACAGCAGAACTCGAGAGTACCTAAACTAAAAATTAGTTTGCTGAATTTGTGATACTGATCTTGTAATATCTCAAAATTCAAATCGAAAACAAATATAACGAATTATCCTTTAAATTGGATTGATTAAGATTTTGTTAATTAACTATAAATATTAAATGTTCATGATTTTTTCATCAGGTAATGCTATTTAAGTATATAGGCCTTTAAAAATTCAGTGTCACGACAGTCTTTGTAATTGATTTTATTCCAAGGAATTTTCCCTAACTTCTAAAAAATTAACTCTGAAGTTTAAAGTAAATTGCTGTTTTTGAGTTCCTCCTACAGAGAATGCTAATTAGAATAGCATAATTTCTGGCTATTTTTCACTAGAGAAATATTTCCATCAGAGACATCTATGATAATACTTACATTTGAGACCATTGATTTTTATTTACTTTGAGGTTGTTCGTGTTCATCTAAATTATTTCCTTTATTTTTAAAATTCTTCACAATATACTTAGCCGTGGAATATTTAATTTATAGCTTCTGTGCTGCCTTAAATCATATAATTTATTACTTATCTCGTTGATAAACTCTCCTATAGTACCAAGTTGATTAAAGAATGTTTTTTCTGGTTGTCTATCCGCTGATGATTTCTAAATTTTTAAATTGATTTGTTCATCATGATATTTATGTTAGACATAATAAAAATAAATTAAAATGAAATTTGGGGAATCAAACATTGAAATTTACATATGAAAGAAAAATCCCTTTTCATACTTATTTTACAAAAATTCTAAAATCTGTAATTTCTTTCTTGATAAGAAATATAATAAAAGGAATGATCAAATTTGTATAAGGTAGATTTCCTTAAAAATGTTCAAATAGCTAATAAGGGAAATTTATAGCTAATTTATATTCAGCCATTTTTTATGTTTGTTATCGATTTTTTAAAAATTTCTCGAATTGAAGAAATTCATTCTTAAGGGAGAAATATTATCACCTTTGGAGTCAGCTCTTATAATTAATAATTGATATGAATTCCTCTAAATGATTTTTTTGAATCAGTATATTTTTTAAATTCAAGAAATAACAAATTATGCTATAAATCAAAGTGATTTATTCATAAATGACTAAAAAGTCAATCTTGTAACTAATTTTCAGATTTTATTTTAGTCTTCTTTATTCTTTTATTTTGATTTCATGGTTTAACTGCAAATTGATTGAATTCACATAAAAATTATTGTATATATTCTCCATCAACCATCTAAGCCTGAGTATCTTAACACCTATCCTTACTACATGTCCAATACAATTAAATCAACTTTAAGTGATTTTCAAATGGATAAGTATTTGAATGATATTAATTATTATACGAACTGCTACTTCTCGAATTAATTAAAAGTTGTCTTAGTTTCACATAATATTGTTTCAAATTCGTGATGTCCAATTCATTGGGGCAAGTACTAAATAAATTACTCTAAATAATTTGAAAAATGGCTATAAAAATTAACCCATATCGAATAATAATTTAATGCCTCATTTAAATAAATGATTTGTGTATACCTCGCAAAGAAAATACAGATCTTTCTAAAATCCTGATAAAATTGCAATGTTTTTGGGTCATTAAAAAATACACTCTAAATTATATTCGAAAAAGAATAACATATAGTTAGTTTATTTATGTGAAAATGGTGAATCATTAATATTTTCAATTCAATACATACATTTATGAATTTTCAATATTGATTATCAAATAAATTCATCGTTATTATAAAATTTAAAATTAATATGTTCAAACATAAATCAGCTTCATTTCACGATGCAAGTATTGATACCCAATTGAAGTTTAAACCCCCAAAACCAGAAATTATTTCTAATTCAACAAAAAGAAATTCGGAAGTATTGTCACACGTAATTAATGCATTCTCTATATTAGCCTCCTGAATTATTAGCCAAATTGTATTAAACTAATAGACTCTTAGAATAAAATATTATAAAGCTAAATGATGCTTAGTAAAGATTGGCTTCAAAAGAGGAAGAAATATTAGATTTGAAATAAAAACTAAAATGCTCAACAAAGGATCTAAACGAAAGAAATGAAAAAATTGCATAATTAACAGAACAATTAAAAGGATTAAAAGGAGATATCAGAAAACCTGGTTCTGAGAGAAGTAATCAAGAACTGAAATCAAAACTGCATCATGTTTCACAACACAATGAAGCCTTATTTTAAGATTATCAATCAGTGCTCATACAGAATCAAAATTACCAATAACAAATCATCGAGCTTCAAGACTAGTTAAATTCAATATCATACAGATTGAGAGAATCAGAATAAGCAATATAATTGATTAAAGAAACAGAAACAAAAGTTAATTATCTTGAATTGGATGTTGATAGATTAGAGGAAAAACAAAAAAAGTCATATCCAGATATGATGAAATAAACACAATAACTCAAAATTTAATATGAAACAAACATACAACTGCTGAATTGCGGAGTAGATTACATAGCTTCTTAATTCTAAAAATCGATAACCACATTAACAAAGTAACTTTAGATGGTTTAGAAATTTTCAAAAAGAAATGTAGTATTGTCAGAGACTTAATTAACTTTTTATGGGTTAAACACATTGGCACAATAAACTAATTCAAAAAGAGTGCAAACAATTCTATAAAAAATGAACATTAGTGAGTCACTTTAAAGTTGGTTGGAAGGGATTGTTACTTTTCTCATGATTAATTGTCAGGAAATTTTGTAAAAAGAAGTGGATAAGAAATTAGAAAAATTGTCAAGGCAAATTCAATAAGTTCATGATATGGCAATTTAGTTAGCCACATCCTATGATTTTATGAAATTTGGAAGAAATGTACGTTATTCTTAGAATTTAGAAATCCAATAACATGAGTGCCTACAGTCAGAAGTCCAATAGTTATTGTTCAAGATTGCAAGACAAAGAAAATGAAGAATATAGTTAACATATTAAACTTAAAGATTTTTTAGATTTGGCATTAATGTATTATAATTATTCTAATCCTAGTAAATTGGGTGAGCATTTAGCTTAAATCTAATAACTAAATATAGAATTATAAGTTTCGAATTTTTAGAATAAATCTTCTAGAGAACTGCAAATAGGCCTTAAGGAGTAATTGCATTTGCATGAAAATTTAGCAAATTATCTCAAAAAGGAGTTGGTTTCAATAAAAAAAGAAATTACTTGTCATTCACAAAGAGGATAACTTAAGAAATATAGTTACATGCCAAAAATAATATGACAACATTTTTCTTTAATTAATTATTTATGTTTATATAACATTCTTCACGTTTGGAAGGAAAGCACACTAAGAATAGCAGAAGCGCTTAAAGAGTCACTCCTTCCCATAACTTATACACTGAATCTTCTTACATATCCTAAATCTTAGCCCATTAGTAAAAAATAAATGATATCCCTAACTCTAATAAGAGATTATTGAATAATATCAGTCCATTAAGTCTTAATTATAAGGAGGGGAAAATTCTCTAAAAAAACTACTTGCAAAATAAATACTCACAATTATTAGAAGGAAATCATGTTTAAAGAGCTGGTTGGAAAAAGTATTTATTAGATGGTTTTAAGGAAAAGATAGAGAATATCTTAAATTAAAATAAGAAAAGCTCTAAGTTATTCAAAATTAAAAGATAATATTTTACAAGAAGCGTTGCTCTGTAACCAACGGTTATTCAAGATGATTATTTAACAGTGGATGCGTTGATTAAAAAGCAAAATCCTTCTTATAATATTGAAGCAGTTTAGGATAGTTTAATATAATAACATAAGCAATTCTTAACAAATTAGAAAAACACTGATTATGATGAGAAGTATGAAAAATAATAATATTGAGATTATAAAACTTAGTAAAGTAATTTGAAATAATAGTAGATAGGATTGAGAAGGAGGCATTTAAAGTTAAAATACCCACGAACTTCTAGACAGCTATGCAAAACTACAATGACTATTATAATGTTTCATTCGATTTCAAAAGCAAGCACAAGAGTTTAAAAATTATTGATTTTAGTAAATTTGAAATAAAACCAAGAACTAAACAATCATATGCTTTAAACTTTTGGGATAAAGAAGAAAATGAAGAGGAATATGAATAATAAGTACAAACCTGTAGAGTATCTACACAAAGAGAATGCTAAGAAGAAATGCTGGAAGAGATTAGATAATATTAATCGATTTAAATTATTTAATAATTTGTAGATCTACCATAAGAGTCTGAAGAATCTGAAAATAAATTGGAGTAAGTTTTAACAGAATAAATTGAACCAACATAATTAGGGATTGAAAAACATAAGGAAAAAAAAGTTAAGAAAAAGAATGTTAGATACAAAGAAAAAAATAGATAAAGTATAGAGGCAGTCATTGTTAATAAATCTCTTAAAGTTGATGAACCAGGAAGTATTTAAAATAATAATTAATCTGAAATATTACAAATTGAACAAAAGAGTAGTTAAAAGATATTTGATCATAAGTTTGTTGATTACATGTTATCATTAGACGATGTTCACGAAGCTGAGCTTTCTTAATTCATGGAAAAACAAGTTGCAGAATATGATTCATACATATTTTGCGACCCAGATGAGGAAGTTGTATACAAGCATCAAGTTGATTGGAATTGTTAAATAGACTTTTTGTTAAGAAATATTGGCTGAATTGAATATTGTCTGCCTTAATTTTCAATACATTTTTTGCATTAAATATCAATTATTTTATTCAAGAATCTTCTATAATATTTTTAAATCATTTGATGTAAATTTTTAAACGTGGTTCAGTTTATTCGGAACCTGAATTTTTTTCTTTTTAAAGAATTTCATATAAGAGAAAAGATATACAAGAGTACACATTTGTTTTATTTTTTCTTTATAACATTTATAATAATTAGCTACAATCACTTTCATTATTAACATTTCGGACAAATAAAGTTTAGTATTTTTTTTGCTTTTTCTTTAGACAAATTTAAACAATTCAAATGGCACCAACCTTGACATGCCTCGCATTATATGTACCTTAAAATCTTTAATTATTTAAATTACTTCAAATCTGGATTTGGAGGCTTTTAGCATATGCATGTTGTTGCCCATTCTTCAATTGGAGGTTAAAAAGTTCGATTTACATAGGCCGCTCTCATAAAATACGTCGTATCATTCATCGTTTCTAATTAATCAAATTCCTCGTAAGTAAGTATGGAAGCTAAACTCACTATACTTTCAATCTCAATATAATCATATTCATTAGTTTTAAACACTTCGTTCTCAGAAATGTAATCCATATAAGGTTTAGGTATATTTTCCAATTCAAATTTTCTATAATACCATTGAACTTTTATTAAAGGGTAGATTTCATCATCATTATCAACAAGTTTGACTATTTTAATTAGTTTAGCAACGTAATCTATTCTTCTATCTGCCTTTATGCAGAGATTCTAACCAATTTTATAAATAATCCCCTCGTACTTTAATTATTTGTATGAAGTTCTTTAACTATATGGTAAGTAAATACCTGCTCTTTTTGTTTTTTTTCAATAACTGATATAGATTGTTATTATCCTTGCTTTGGATCAGTTTTTAAATTTTGCTCTTTAAAAGTATGTTATCTTGCTTTTCATCGACTGATGATGTTCTTGAGATCTTTTGTTCTAAAGAGGCAGACATACTGATATTCTTTACTCTCAATTTAGAAAAATAAATATTAAAAATATCATAACTATTATTATATCTTTTTATATAATGTAATTAAAATATTTATATTCTTTTTTATTTAAACCTTTTCTCATGTAAACTATAACTTTACACATGCCAGCAAATGAATTCTCCAAAGTAATAGTCCTCACTCCAACAATAAACAATCTTGATATTTTGTAATTTGCACAATATTTTTTAAAATATAATGTAATTAGTAATACTTTAAATTATTTCTAAAATCCTATTATACAAACCTGTAAAAGTTTTCAACATCAATAATATACCTATGATCACCTTTCCTTTAATATAATTGCAATTAAAAAATCAAATCGATGTGTTGCATTTTTTATGGGTTATTGGTATCTGTAATTATAAGTTTATTATATTAAATAAAGAATTCTGAATCTAAATCATAATTTGAATTTACCATCACATTTCTATATTAGGACAACACAAAAGTATTTATTTTAAATAAAATGGTATGAAAGTGATAGTTATTGTATTGTATTTGCATTTAACTTAAATAGGGCTGATTAGACGGTAATATATTTTCAATAAAAAAATCAGAATGTTTGATCTGAATTGGTAATTATGAAAGACATGCTTTATAATTTACTTATCGAATATTTAATATCAATGATGGATAATGACTAATTTATAGATTAGTTAAGGAGCAAAAAATTCAGTTACTGTAGTCATTCTTAGTTTTGGATTCCATATTAATCTACAAGTAAAAATAAGCATTTCGTTTAACTATCTTGCCTGCATTATTTTTAAAATTATTTATATCTAATTAATTTTATACTATAATAGTGAACTTCAATTATTCAGTAGAAAATAAATTAAACTACTATGTCTAGGATAAAGGTGAAAATCCAAGTGGATTTTATGAAATGCACTTCTTATTTTACTTAAAGTCTCAGTATTTCACTTATTATAACTTTAATTAAATAAATTCTATTGATTTCCTTCATCTCCTTTAATATTTTTTATAAGCAATTAAAACAATCAAATCGCACTTGAAATTATATTTTTTGTTCACTTTTATTCAGTTTTTAAAAATACCACAGTAAAAAATTTATTAAAGCAAATGGATAAATAATATCCGAATCATTTTATTTCATCCTAATAATTATTTATTTCTTTATGATACAAAATCAACATCATAATTATTTCAGGACAATTCTCATTTTTAATTATTCGATTAATTTGTTTCATGTCTATTTCACACCAGAAGAAACGCCTAAATTTTAATTTAATTTTCTTTCACGCCAATAATTTATTGATATCTTTATTACAAATTTTGTAAATTGATAAATAGCAAATAAATAATTAGGTTGATATGGATCAGACATTTTAGATATTGAACAGATATTTGTATTAATTAAAGAAATAAATATTATTTAAAATTACTCTAACTGCTAATGCTGCCATAATAAATTATTTATAGATAAGTTAGACATTCTCCTTAAAGTATCGATTAAATGAATACTTTATAGAACTTTTAAGACAATCTACAATTCTTCCGGTTCAATAATTTAGAACTCAAACTCCAATCAGACAACAAAGGTCATACTCTCATTTTGATTAACAACCTCAAAGTAGTATGAAAAAACAATAAGAAAATTTTGAAAGGGAAAATGATCTATTGAGAGAAAAAGTGCAATAATTGAAGCAGTAGATAGCTAGTCTTGAACAAAATTACTAAAGTAATCAGGAAGTACTAATATTATTAGACTTTAGATTGATGAATAATACATAGTAGCTCTAAGAATATTTTAATAATTGAAAATCGAGTCTGAATAATTGAGATTAGAGCTCTCTTATATCAAATAAGAGAACAACCTGTTCAAATCTAAATTAAAACAAATTAATTATTGAATTTATTACCTTTATTTTAATTATATTTATTAATTATTCGTCAAGAATGAAGCTCAATAAGGAATCTTAAGAATTTGCTGATCTGGTTCTTAAATACTATTCACCAAAGATATTGTTGAAACAAAAAAAATAAAAAGAAGAATAATAATAATAAAATTAAGAAGAGATAAGCCAATCATTTGACAAAGTAGACTCCAAGACGAAGTATTCCATAGACTACTAAAAATTTTAAAATTACATAGAAAATAGCGACAAAACTAAACCAAAAACAGCAGAAGAAATAGAAATAGAAAAAATTATTTAATCTAATCCTTATCTTTCTTAAATTGCTTGCACACATGATAGAAGAAAAGAAAGGGAGATTTATGAAAAAACTAACAAAGAAAAATTTGAAAATATTGAATACTTTAAATAAGAAGGTAATGCAGCCTTTAAAAGTAAAGAATATGACAAAGCAGCCTATTTTTATTAAAAAGTAATATAATTTTGTATATTAGTTAGGCACTAGTATATTTTGATTATACATTTCCAGAAGGTGATTAGGAAGAATCGAAATACAATTTACTCTTAGAACAATGTAATAATAATATGGCCTAGTGTAAATTACTCTAAGGTTGTTTAGATGAAGCCTGGAATTATTCTCACTAAGCTTTAAAAGTAAACCCAAAGAGTGAAAAGGCGATATTTAGACAAGCCAAGATTTCATATCAAAAAGATGATTTTGAATAGTGTGAAACTTTGATCAAAAAATTAAATTAAGATTTAGAGGAAACAAAAGAATTAAAATTGAATTTGTAAAATAGAATAAAGTAGTACAATTAAAGAAATGAACAAGTATATAAGAAAATGCTTTCAGAATGATATTTATAATTTGATATCTAGAATTAATGTATGAGTTGTAATTATTCTATTTAAGCAATTTATTCTTACAAGTTTTTACAATTTATCTACTTTAAATTTAATAGTACAATGCTTTCTAAAGTACATCTATTAATCCATAACATATTAATAACAATTATTTGATTCTTTATTCTTTTTACCAATAGCTCAGAAATTAACCAAATTTAATAATATTAGAACATCATTAAAAATTATTTTGTAAATAGTCAATCTCCTATATAACTTTAGATCATTATTTTTAATCGAACAAGTATTAGTTAGATATTTATTGATGAATCTTTTAATTAATTAATGATATTTTAATATATCATTTTTTTTTATATGGATGTTCATAACTGCATTAAGGGTTTTTGCAATGAATTCCATGCTTGCATTGCTGATGCATATAAATGCATTTATTTCCCTTTTTACAATGCGGAAAGTATTTGCACTATATGAAATTTCTAATCTAATACTTTGATTTTAGGATGAACATATTAACAATGCTTGTTGGTACAATTTGGAAAGTACCTGCACCTTTCATTGATGAGATTATTGTTCTGCTAATTAAATTTAATGATAAATTTTGTACTTTTACCTACGATTGATTTTCTGTAGTTTTTTGTTATTGATTTACTGCTGTCAATAGTAAGAGTAACATCAATTAGTCAGTTTGACTAAGTGAAAAATACAATTTAAATCTACTTTTAATTCGAAGTGTTCTCTTATGAAATAGGTTCAGGGTCTTCTTCGTGGTCACTTTACGTATAGTGTTTTTCATTATTTTGGTTATCATTAACTTTTACTTTTTTGCTAATTGGTTAAGATAGTTGTCTATTTTAATTCTCATTTAATTCTCTAGCTTAGTCATTCTTGATTGCTTGGATTGATTTGATGAATAAACTTTTGTTTTTTTACTATTTAAATTTCCTAGCCTATGAAATGCAATAATCCTCAAACCAATCAAATAACTCAACTTATTGTGATTCAGTCAAAGGTTTCTAGAAATAGATTGTGTGTAAATCCTTACATTAGCTATCTCTTGAAGGGATTTCACCATTTGTTTCCTGTTCATCTTATTTGTGTCTTTATACAATCGGGTAGCTTCATAGAGAAATCTTGTTAGCTAGATCCTTACTGTATCCCATATTCACTGAGATCATGAACTAGACCAGTGAGAGAAAACTTCTCATTCAAATCTCTTCTGAATTATGTTTCTGATATCATTAATATTAATTAATATAGAATAAAGTTTAAATACTATTTGGAAGATGAGATAGTATTAATCCAAAATATTTCTGTCTTTAAGATTATTGTTCTTCATAAATCAGTGAATGCTAAACATCCTTTATGAGATTTTAACATCTCAATTAGATTTTATTACAATATTTCCTTGTTTTGTCTGACTTAAATCTATATTTAAATTGTATTTAATTTATGTTTAAATTACCTGATCTTTGGGAAATATTAATACAAAAAAAAGATAAATGATGAATAGCCCATTATTTAAAAAAATAGATTACATTTCATCTATATTTTTTATGGATACAAAATTAAGATTTTTGTTTCTGATATTTCAATTAATTTCTTATTGAATTATTATTTCTACTAATTGATAATTCTAAAATTAAGAAATTGGATTATGTAAAAATATTATAGTTATTTGCAATTTCTTATTTATTCCAATTATAACCTATCAACTGAATTAAGTATAGAGATCTAAAAATATCCATACACATTTTATGATTATATTAATTCCTCCTTTATTGATTTATGCTTCACTTTAGAATTAATTATAATAAAGAACAATTAAATCGTTAACGGATAATAATAATAAAATTTATTCGCCAATGGATATGTTCGTCAATAGACAATCAAATAAAGAAAACAAAAATCCAGTCTTAGTTCCAACCTAGTACGAAATTATGTAAAAGGAAGGAATATTTGCTAAAACTAATACTTCTCTTTATACTCATCATCGGTTTTATTATAGAAAGCCAAGACATTCAATTAATATATCCTCCTAGAACCCTGCAATTGTTCGCTCAAATAGTTCTTAATCAATTCATAAGGATATTTAGAAAATAGTATAACAATTGCAATCTCAACAAATTTATACCCAGACTCAAATTAATAATAGACAGCCGTTCAAAGAAAGATATCCAACTTAATTCTCTTAACCCTCGAACACACAAATAACCGAAGTTGTTGATTTGCTCGAAAAAGAGAACTTACTAAAAATTCATTAACTTAAACCATGTACACCTAGAAGACCCTTAACTTCATAAATCAATTATAACTTGCCTCCTTCTATTTATGAAAATAAAAGCCATGATTAAGATAACAGTGAAAAGTACACCCCACTTTTAAAAAGTAAGTCTTTATTTAGAAAATCATTAAATACATCTTTTGATAAAGTAAAGAAGATCAATTCAGCTCAAGAAAATAGATAAAAAAGAACGCATTCATTAACACTGAATAATTGTTAGTAGAAATAATAATAAAAATCAATTAAAGACAGGATAACAAATGTGTTGTAAAATCCAAAAAAGGTTTTACATTTATGTCAAAAAGTAGAAGAAATCTAGAATTTAATCAGTGAAGAATAGTTAATGGAATTAATTCAATCGGATCAATTTAAAATAGATTTATAACTTTTAATCAATAATTCTAACGGATCTAATACTTAGTTGAAATTAATTCTTTAAACCTTTATGATAGAATAGATCAAGAAGCAGAAAGAATTGCAAGAAGTTGAAAATCATTTATAATGTATAAAGTTGTTAATTATTAAATAGAAAAAAAATAACACTTTAGTAAAATGCTCAATAACTATATTAAGGAACTCCAAGATAAATTATGATTACTAAATATATATTCTAACAGAATTAATAAAAAATTAATAAAAACCTTTCATTTTTGTATGGAGTGCTTTTTCTTTTTAATAACTACTTGCAAGTAATTAATTAGCATCTATTATGAAGTCAATATAATCAATTTATGTTAATGTAATTGATCTTTATTTAGTTGATTTAATTGAAATCTATTTTTGATTAAACACGCGTTTTTGAATATGAGTACTCAAATTTTACTTACAATAAATGGAAATTAACAATTTTAATTGATTTTTTGGGTTATCAAAATCATGAAACCCTCAACATTCTTCGAAATTTTTGATTGTTAAATAGATTTGAGTATCATTTCTGCAATTGTGTCATGTTTGCCTATCAACTTATGAAGATTAATGAAAAATGATATCTGTTATTGGATTATAATACAAAAATAATTCAGATCAAGGAGTGCTCTGAAACAATAGAGAGTCTCTTTTATCTTAATGGGGATTTGGTCAATAGTAAGGATGATGTTTTAACTAACATAGGTGGTGTCATTTCAGATGCATCTGTAGTATCGGAATCTAGTGAACGAAAAGAAAATATCAATTATTTTTTTGCCTGCTCAAATTTAAACTATTTTTATTAAGGGTCGGTCAAGAATATTAATTTTAACTCCTACAAATAATTGATGATATCTTTTTCTTATGGAGTAACTTCATTTAAGCAATCATCGAATTCAATTGTATCATTCATTTTTAAATAAAATATTTTATTTATTTATTCTTTTTTGTCATTTATTTTAATTTAAATATGCAATCCGAGGAAAATGTTACTTTCATTTATTACCATGTTTTATTTCTTAATTTTCTTTGATCAAATCTCAACATGAATTAATCTAACCAAGAATAATTAAATTAAAGTAAGGTAAGGATGATAAAATATTATTTAATATTACGCATTAACTAAACATTTTTAAAAACTAATATTATTCTTAAATACATTTATTCATTTAATTTATGAGTTTGTTAAATTTTAATCAATTAACATGAGTGTTCAAAATAATCTAGCCAACTTTTAATTACACCCTAAGAAATCAATCAAAGAAAGGAAGAAATATTTAATAATCATATGTTAAATTATGAAGGAGATTGTAATCATTAACATAAAAAGAAAAAATCAGTGTTTAATCAATTTCTATCTACTTCTCAATTATTTCTTTGTTTGGGTCTTCTTTTATGATACCTAATAGGATGTTGTTTGGACCCTCTTTACAATTGAGTAAGAGTTTCTATTTATTAAAAATTAAACTCCTTTTCTCAATTAGAATAAATTTCCTTATGATAATATAAGTTTGCTTCATTAGTAAATCCTCTTGATTATTTTACACAAACTTAAAGTCAATCAATATTCCATAAAATTTCTTCAATTTCATTTAAAGATTCAAAATTATTAATATCATAGTATATAATTATCGCCATTACATTTTTATTTGTCAAAATACGCATTAATAACATCTTTTACGACCATATCTTAATTACAAATTATATGATACAAAAAGTTCTATTATCAATATTAAGGATTAAGATATCACTATTTTTAATTCCTTATTCTCTTAGTCCTTAATTTCACCATTCTCTGTAATTTACATAAATGTATTGTTGCCAAGAACGTCTTCAGCTGCGGTGAAAGATATTTGGCTATTTCTTGTGATTTCTGCACTTCTTTCAACTTGATTTAAATAAAATCTAAGTGCAACTAAATCTACTAAAGATAATTGAGTTTATTGAAAGAACTACGAAATTATTTTAATCCAACCCTTTACAATGATATCATTTATAAGTATTTCATTTTTACTTTCAGAATCTATCCTTGCATAAATTTTGTTGTTTAATTTTCATTTAAATAAGTAACTTCTTGTGAATTATGTTTATATTTCTAATGATAAAACCTGTAATTAACAATCATAAATTTCAAAGACTCATAATAGTAAAACAAGCACTCTGATCTATATAAGTATTTAAGTTTAATTAGTAACAATAAATAAAGAGATCATCAGCTTCATTCACATAAAAAAAAAGTCAATTATTCCATAATATTCTAAATTGATTATTAATACAACACACAGGCTCTTCATGAATATTTAACTTTTCCTCCTGAAGAATCCACTTACTATTATTCACCATAACAATTCCTTCATCTTGAGCTTAATCAAACTACTACTTAATAATTAATAAATAATAGTGAGTTTTCCAAAGAATTTTTACTAGAATATTCCCTAGCAATTTGTTTATTTACATCATTTGCATTTTTATCATGGTTAAGAACATAATAAATACAAGGGAATATAGATTTTTATAGACTTTTCAACCTTTTTCTCTTTAATGTACCAAACTTATTCCTTTAATTTTTACATACATCATTGATATTATCACCTTCTGCATCAATATTTTACAAATTTCTTGAATGACTAAACACACTAAACCATTTTATTAAAAAATGATAGTGTTTATAAAAGGTGATAGTTTCAATTTACGATGGCTGCAAAAAACAAGAAGTGGCTTGCAATTAAAGATTGACAGGTGTATAGTTAAGATGAAAAGTATTTTCAATAAAAAACCCAAATTTTCTAAATTTATATTTGTATTTATAACATTGATTAGTTTGTTTAGAGTCGATTCATCTTCTTGTAGAATGATGCAATCAACTACAATTAGAAATATTTTATATGGAAAAAACTTTTTCTATTGGATGAAAAAAAGATGTGCAAATCAAAATAAGAATTGCGTAGTTTGTCTATTATAAAATAAATATTTATTTATGAATTATTGCTAAACTTTTAATAAAAAAATTGATTTATTATGTTTAATCCTTTAAATCGTGCCAGGTCACCTTAGATTAATGGGTATCCAAATCAGATTAACCAAAATCCCCAATATGGTGGTAATCCATATCCATTAACTGGACAATAATCCCCCATGAATTAACCTTTAGTATAAATGCATCTAAACCTAAGACCTAGAGATCTTTTCCTTATCAACAATATCCACAGAGTACTCCTCCAAAAGGTTATCCAGTTCAATAGCCATAAAAGAGTAATCCACCTTTCGCACAACAACCTTCATATCCTCCAAGCTAACCATCGGTTTAGTCGATACAAGTATATCAAACTTTGAATAAATAGCCTCCTCCACAATCACAACCACCACAACAAGTGCCCTAACAAAGTTACACCTAAATTCCTTAACGATCAACAAAACAAATGCCCCCACAAACATTGGAGTCACAAAGATAACCCTTTTCTCAGAATAGCTTGTAGCCATAGTCATACGCACCCTCTCAAAGTTCTGGATTGGGTTTATCTGGTTTGAGGTAGACATATGTGCCTCCTACTTTTGTTCCTCTTCAACCTGTCATGACTGTAAGCATTATAGTTATTTAGACTGTTATCTAACGACCAATCGAATTCGTGGATTTGGAGAAGTTTGAAGAACTTTGGGATAAGAGAATGAAAGAATTAGAGGATAGAATTCGTCAATCTCAATAATAGCCTGAACCTTAAGTTGTTGAATTGCGAGCCTCAAATGATGAAGAGAAGGATGCCTTGATAAAACAGTTACAGGATGAGTTATACAAAGTTAGATGCGAAAATGAGGAAAAAGACTAAACCATTTCTGACATGAAAATAGAGAACTAATTGTCTCTATAAGCTCTAAATGCTTAAATCAAATAACTCAATAATGACAAGAATGATTTAAAGTAAGAATTGGAGGCCTTGAGACAACAGAAATAGTATTACAAATCATAATGTGATGATAAGGATGAACATATTTAAAATCTGGAAAGAGAAATTGAAGAACTTCGTTCACATATTGAAACATTGACTGAAGAGGTTACAACGAGTCAGTCTGTCAAGACATATGAAGAAGAAGCCAAAATTTGGAGAACTAAATTTAAGGAATTAAACGATACATATCATGCTTGTTAAGAGAAGTTGATTTTGACTGAAGCAGAATTGGATTTATTGAAGAGACCTTAAAGTTAGTAAAAAATTGTGACCACATCCACTACAGTAGTAAAGAACAATGTTTAAACGAGTGGAGCAAAATCAGTAATCATATCAATTAATTACTCTAGGACTCTGATTATCTTTCAAGTAGCCTAACTTAATAAGATGTTGAAAGAATTCAAAATTTATCAAAGAATATTCCATAGATTTGATTATTTGCAAACAAATTATTATATTAAAACACAAAATGTCATCAAAGCATTAATTCTTTTATATATATAAATATGAACCTCTCCATTTGGATCAAAATGTAATAGGTAGCTATGAGAAATTATTGAATCTTAAGTATAAAGTATTTTTACTCTTTACTATATAAAAAATAACTGTAATTTGTATAATATGTTTCAATTCGATTCAATATTCTTTATAATCAAAGATAATTATGCTAGATCTTTNCCAAAAGGTTATCCAGTTCAATAGCCATAAAAGAGTAATCCACCTTTCGCACAACAACCTTCATATCCTCCAAGCTAACCATCGGTTTAGTCGATACAAGTATATCAAACTTTGAATAAATAGCCTCCTCCACAATCACAACCACCACAACAAGTGCCCTAACAAAGTTACACCTAAATTCCTTAACGATCAACAAAACAAATGCCCCCACAAACATTGGAGTCACAAAGATAACCCTTTTCTCAGAATAGCTTGTAGCCATAGTCATACGCACCCTCTCAAAGTTCTGGATTGGGTTTATCTGGTTTGAGGTAGACATATGTGCCTCCTACTTTTGTTCCTCTTCAACCTGTCATGACTGTAAGCATTATAGTTATTTAGACTGTTATCTAACGACCAATCGAATTCGTGGATTTGGAGAAGTTTGAAGAACTTTGGGATAAGAGAATGAAAGAATTAGAGGATAGAATTCGTCAATCTCAATAATAGCCTGAACCTTAAGTTGTTGAATTGCGAGCCTCAAATGATGAAGAGAAGGATGCCTTGATAAAACAGTTACAGGATGAGTTATACAAAGTTAGATGCGAAAATGAGGAAAAAGACTAAACCATTTCTGACATGAAAATAGAGAACTAATTGTCTCTATAAGCTCTAAATGCTTAAATCAAATAACTCAATAATGACAAGAATGATTTAAAGTAAGAATTGGAGGCCTTGAGACAACAGAAATAGTATTACAAATCATAATGTGATGATAAGGATGAACATATTTAAAATCTGGAAAGAGAAATTGAAGAACTTCGTTCACATATTGAAACATTGACTGAAGAGGTTACAACGAGTCAGTCTGTCAAGACATATGAAGAAGAAGCCAAAATTTGGAGAACTAAATTTAAGGAATTAAACGATACATATCATGCTTGTTAAGAGAAGTTGATTTTGACTGAAGCAGAATTGGATTTATTGAAGAGACCTTAAAGTTAGTAAAAAATTGTGACCACATCCACTACAGTAGTAAAGAACAATGTTTAAACGAGTGGAGCAAAATCAGTAATCATATCAATTAATTACTCTAGGACTCTGATTATCTTTCAAGTAGCCTAACTTAATAAGATGTTGAAAGAATTCAAAATTTATCAAAGAATATTCCATAGATTTGATTATTTGCAAACAAATTATTATATTAAAACACAAAATGTCATCAAAGCATTAATTCTTTTATATATATAAATATGAACCTCTCCATTTGGATCAAAATGTAATAGGTAGCTATGAGAAATTATTGAATCTTAAGTATAAAGTATTTTTACTCTTTACTATATAAAAAATAACTGTAATTTGTATAATATGTTTCAATTCGATTCAATATTCTTTATAATCAAAGATAATTATGCTAGATCTTTATAATCAAAGATAATTATGCTAGATCTTAATTAAAGTAAGAATACGCCAATTCTATTTTAAAATTTGTAATAATTGATTCAATAAAAAAATCGGCTTTTAGAAATTGAACATAATTGATTAATTTTTGATTTTATCTTTTAAATTAAGCAAATATTTTAATTGAATCATCCATGTTATTTGATAATATAGTCATAATATACCTTTTATGCTTAACAAAGGTAATTAAATATTTGTATTAAGCCTGACTGTTTTGAAATTTATAGAGAGTATATTATTTAATTAAAATTTTTCTTTTTTTTATTATCAAATAAATGACGTATCGTATTTTTAAACATAAATCCTATTGCTGATTTATATTATCTCAACGGATGGTGATGTAGTATATTAGATATATTTGATAAAGACATAAATTAATGAAGGAGTGGTTTGAATTCTATACTCCGTTTGATGATAATAATGTTATTTAAACTGGGGGAATTCGTTTGTGTTATTAAATAGAGAATTTGGCAACAATTTCTAACTTAATTGAGCAATTATTCATCTCAATCGTCAACTTATTGAATCTGTATTCAAAATAATAAGAAATTAAAAATTACAAACCTTGATATATTTAAAGACAGCAAAGATTTAAGGTTTTAAATTGGGATACAAAATTTAATTGATAATTATATATTATTAAGTAATATATTATGGGTAATGGCTGTTCTGGCTAAAGAGAAATGACTGAAAGGTCTTATTCCTTAAGGCAACCATCAATAACTTTAACTAGATTAACAGAATAAGAGAAGTTGATAACCCTTGTTCCTGCAAGTCAATTAACTCAAATAGATTTGCCAAATGCATTGCTTCCTTCCCCTTCAAGACAGAGTATCTCTTTTGAACCTTTAATGACTTCCAAAGTGAGAGTGCCATCAGAAGAGAGCTAGTTTCAGAATCAATTCGTCTAAACTTAAGAAGTTAAGTTAATAAAAAAGAAACACGATTAACCACATCGTCCTTAAATTTAAGTGCCTAAAAAAGAGCATAAAAAAAAGGAAGTATATGAAATAGCGCCTAAATATCACTCTTCAAGTCCAAAAAAAAAAAACAAATAAAAGTCAACATCGCCATTAGGAAACCAATAATATTAATATTATGATAATAATAAAACTAATAAAAGCAAAAGAAAAAAATCATCAACAAGTCAATAGAAAATAAAGTAAGTTAATGAGGTTGAAATAATTTCAAGAAGAAAATATTCTGATCTTCCACCGAGGACAGAAAAAACTTAGGTGAAAAGAAAGATTAGTAATTCAATTGACGATCACAATTTTATTATTGGGACAGATTGTGTTTCAAAGGTGAAATCGTTTACGCCCAGTCCAATTTTGAAAAGAAGAGACTCTGATTGCGAGACGAACTCTTTTTAAAAAAAGATGGTGAGATTCAAAGACGTAAACTACAGAAGATCAGGTTTTGTTAATTGATTTTATGAGCATTTTCTTGATGATATTAAAATGTTAATGATATTCGATAAAGAAACAATCGATAAATATTTCAAAGTAGTTGTTCCAATTATCCATAATTCATTTATCCTGGTTTCCTTTCTATTAGTAATTCAGGGGATGAAGCTTTTTAAAACAGTTTATAATCTGACCAATTTTCCATTGTTTTCGAAATCAATTATTAATACCCATGAAGACCGAAAAGTATGAATGAAGGCATTTACAGCTACGATTAAGTTGAATAGTTTACTTCTTCAGGCAACAACTACTCTTTTTGGCCTGAAACAGACTTAAAATGTTGTTTAATTTCATTAATACTCTATTTTAAGTATTGTAATGCAATCTTATAGAAAGAGTCATTCTCTGTAATGTCATTATTACAAAGGCATCCAATCAATTAATCTTTTTAGAATTCTTAAATATGAATTAGAAACAGATACCATTCTTAGATGCAAGTTTCAACACCTTTTCGAAATGTCTCATGTATTTGTCATTATATTCGGAGATGGCTTAACTAAATTTGCCATGAGATTCGCTCTTCTTGTATCCTTCATAATCATCTAACTAAAAGATATTAACCGATTTGTTTTCCTTATCCAAAATGGTTGCCAATTTGTTTATTTTTAAGGCAATATTCTTACCCATCAAAAATAACAGTTTGTCTCTGATTTCTGTTGAGATTACTTTGCAACTAGCGAGATTTTATGAGAATTTGTATAAGAATCTACAAAAATTGATTTAACTAAATAGAACTTCATTATTAGTTTTGAATTCCAAACTAATAGATTTTTATTTCTAAACTGGAAGTGGTTATTCTTCAAAAGCACTAGTCTTAGTAATTTTTTGTGGTTGAAGTGCCTGCTATTAACTAGATGATCTCTAAATCTGCTCCTATAATTTCTTCTGTTTGGCCTCATGTTGCTTCTTCTTCTCTTCAATTTATTGAGTTTTGTATTCCTTGATTGGAACCTCTTTGACTCCTTGACTTTGAGAGCGCTTAAACTTTTAAATCTAAGAAGGTTCTGTTGGGATGTTCAGATTCGTAATCTCTTCAAAGGGTTTCCTGGGGGGAGCCCTTTCAACAGGTGTTAAGGCTCTCTATTCGATTATTTCGTGATGAACCATCTCTTTGACTCTTAGTCGTTTGTTCTCGTCTACGGAGAGGCATTTTCTGATAAAGTCCTTGGCCCTGTCTGATACAGGGGGAGAAGAAGGAATCACCAAAGACTGATGCATGATATTGGATATCAAGGCAGCTTCTGAGGAGGCATTATATGGTGTTCTACCTAGACATTAGGCTTAAGTGCATTACCATACAGCATTTCAAAGAAGACGACACCGATAGCCCAAACGTCTCCTTTTTCAGTGTGACCTTGTTGTCTCAATGCTTGGGGAGACATGTAAAGTGGAGTTCCTACATTGAAATTCTTCCCTTACAATCGAGCTTCATGAGCAGGCACAGCAAAACCAAAGTCAGCTAATTTTGGAAGATTCTTATCAATAAGAATGTTTGCTGGCTTGATGTCTCTATGAATGTATCCCTTCTGATTCATTTCATTGACAGCACTCACGACTGATTGCAAGATTCGGATTGCTTCGCCTTCATCAATTCTACCCTTCTTCTTGATGTAATTGTTGAGATCTCCCTGAAGTAGATATTACAATTAGAATTACCGAATCACAAAACTCAGTTATGATGTAAGTATTATTCTATGTTTAAAAGACATCGAAAAGTTTCATGATATTTTTACTATTGAATGCCTTCAAAGCATTTATTTCATTTTTTAGCAGTTGTGCATGAATTGATTATTTAACCATCTTCATGTCGATCACCTTGATATTTAGTTACTCCTTACTTTGACTGCCACGGGCTCAAGAGTGTTTTCATCTCTTCCCTTGTAAACGCGACTGCTAAAGCCTCTGCCAATTTCATCGTTGATTGCATAACTATAATGATCAATTGCCTTTCTAGTTTCACTCCCTCCTTTATTATGGGCTTGAGTAGATGACACTGAATACCGCGATTTTGAGGATAGGTGGGTAAATGAGGTCGAGTATGGAACATATATTTGTATTTTGAAATAATAAAATTAACGATTAATTAATGACTGGTGATCGTAATATTAATCGAAAACATGTCAATTACAGAAAGGCAGGGAAAATCAAAAAGAAACTTCACAAATAATAAATCAAAAAGGCTGCCCTCTCAAACAAGACCACTTAACCCAAAAGCATTGAAGAAATGACCAAGAAAGATCGCAGAGAACTCGCAAAAAAATAAAAAAAATTAGATAAGAAATAGAAAAAGCGTGAATTAAAAGAAGCTGCTTAGAAAGAAATTGAGGAAGAACTGTGATAACTTAAAAATATCATTTCTGTATAAACTCAATGTATATTGTATTTTTAATCTGCTAATCTATTCCTCAGAATTCTGTTATGAGTATTATATGGTTTTTCCATAAAATTGAAAACATCTTAAAGCTAAGTGGCATGTAAAATAATTTAAGTTTTTTTCTATATAAATTAAGAAATAGAAAATAATAAGAGAGCTCTAGAATTAATCATAATCTCAATGAATTTAGATTTCTAGGCCATCTATTTCTCATTTCTTACATTTAATAAAGTCTTAAATATTAAATTATAAGTTTAATAATTATTGTTTACTTGATAGATAAAATGAAAAACCTATTGTTAAGTTGCAAATAGTCATCTTTATTCTTATTAATTATTACTCATTACTTATTTTTCCATTTAAATCTAATGATAGTCTTATTTTTCAAGTTAAGAAGAAATTCTAATTTAGAATTATATTGAATGAAAGATTTAGAAAGTCTACATAATTATTATTAAAAATTTAATTTTTTACTCTTTATAATAATAAAACTATAGAAGCGATGTTCATCTATAGATACTTAGGGAAATGGATGATAACTTATATTTAAATCAAGATAATTAGTATTTCTCATGAAAGTCATCAAAATTACAATAGAGATATAAATAGATTTGACTTGAGGAAATAATTATTGATTTATATAAAGTTAGTATTCAGTGATAAAACTTTTCTGTAATTTATTAACTTTTACGCAATGCTTCTTAAAATAATTGATCAATGTTGGTGAGTTTTTTTTAATTTTCTTTAAGTTAAATGATTGGTTTTTTCTTGGTTTCAAGACTTGCTCTATTGATTTATAAGGGCATGTCTTTGGCTCTGAAACTAGGTTCGTTTTCAATAAAACTAAACAATCTCACAGGTTACTAACTTTGTAGGGATTCTTGGATTGAGGATGTGACTGATTGGTCGTCCTGCCTAAAACTAGGAGAAGTTTGCCCCTTGTAACTGCTTATAGTGGATTGTCGGGTTGTTTTCTTGTAGGAACTTCTTCTGTCTTTGGATCTGGCTCTGATTTGTTGTAGTGCATCTATGGAATGTTATGAACGTTGAATGCATTAGTTAACAATGTCTGTTAAAATTTGATTGGATTTGACACATTATTATCTACCTCTGGGTTATTATTCTATCAATTAATTGTTTGATTTAATTAATTCTGATTATCGACGAACAGTTGCCATTCTCAATGGGTCTAACATTATTAAAAATAATAATAATTTTTTATTGGAAATTTAATCACTTGATTGTGGATGTAAAATAAAAGAAGTCTTACAAAGAAGATAAAATATAATATATAATATTTGTTTGAAGAATCTTCATCATTTGTTTAGCTTTTAATACCATAATGGAACTAATTTGGAATAGAGTTCTGGTTTGATGCTTAATTCTTATTTATTGAAGTCGAAAAGATTGGGGGTCTTAAAATTTTGATTAGAGAATCCTTCTTTTCTGAGGTCATCAAAATATGGATGTAAAAGAGCATCAATGGGTTGGATTCTCGTTTTCGGCGAATATCTATGATGAATGTATAGCTGAATACGTAAGCATCTGTGTAATAAGATCCAAAAAGAGTGGTTCTGGTTTTTACTTTGCAAAGACCCTTGTCCAGGGATTCCCTCTAATAGTGGGTAATCTGACATCAGCCTTAGCTGGATTCATCTAATTGATGTCGTCTGGAGTGGGAGTACCAAGAATCTTGATAATTTGAAGGAGTTAATCTTGAGCACTCTCTCCTGGAAATATTGGTTCAAGGATGACCATCTCGGCAATCACACACCCGATTGACCACATATCGATCTGCGTATTGTAATCTGTGGCTCCAAAAATCAATTCTGGGGCTCGATAGTAACGTGAACAGATATATGCAATGTTTGGTTCTCCAACAACAAGTCTTTTCGCTGAGCCAAAATCGCAGATTTTTAAAACATTGTTCTCCAAATTAACCAAGATATTTTAGGGTTTGATGTCTCTGTGACAAATCCCAATTGCTAGAGTGAAATATTTTCTCTAATACCCTGCAAGTAAAGTAATGCTCGTATCATCTAGTAACTGTAGAGCTTTATTAATGGAGCAGGAATGCTTTGCTTCTACTTACGCATTTATCTGATCATTTTTGAAAGTGTCTCAGGTACATATTCCATAACTAGATTTAGGTACACATCTTATGGCTAGAGAATGAATGTGTGATTGACTTACATTTTCCCCTGGTGTGAAGAAGGAGTGTCTTAACATAACCACGCATGGATGATTCAATTCTTGAATGATAAGGTGCTCTCTGTTCTTGTATCTTCGATCTTGGTACACCTTCTTTATTGCCACCTTCTCCTTAGTCCTGTTATCAGTAGCCTAATTGCATTCTTAATCAAATATACCAAGTACACCATTCCAAATGTTCCAGTGCCTACTACTTATTCAAGGGTGAAGTCTTTATCTGATTATTATAACATTTAATAATTTCATTAACAATAATTGATTATCCTATACTATAATTTTGTATACAACTCATCTTAAAAAAAGGATGCCAAAATTCATCCACCTCTCCAATGCCTTAACTTCTACTTATTTCACATTAATAATCATTACGATGAATAGCACCAAATTCCCCATAGAATTAATTAAAAAGAAGTTTTACGAGCATACAATCGCCTACAAATTTAAGTGGAGTAATGGCACCATATCTATTGAACCCATGAATCAATTGACCCCCCAAATGCTTGAACTGGTGCATGAATATGAATTGCAGTAGTACTACCAAACACAAAAGAAAGTCAAACTTAATTCACCCTAAATTTCCCCCAAAAAGTGCCTTCCAAACTCAATTACAGATTTCCAACAAACTTCCTTGCTTAAAAAACAAGAACCATCTACAATTACTAATAAGGCTCCTGTGAAGACTCCCCAAAACAGTATTCTCTAATCTAATATAGTTCTACCCTATGATATCATCCAATAGAGAGAAAAATCCAATTCTAGGTAATATCTGAAAAAGACATTTACTAAACACCCTCACTTACCTAGACCTAATAAGAACTGCATAATCAGGAACATTAGGAAAGATAATGGAGATATTTACTTTTAGATAATTGATGATTAGACAAAATGGATAAAATTGGAAGATCTCAAAAAAGATTCGCCCATTACTCTGTGTGATTATTTGCTGTCCAAAATAAAATTCAAATGAATTTAGATTCTAAAATTGTATGGCATAAGATAACTTCTTCAAAATGTATTTATAGATATTTATAGTAAAATACATTTAATCTTAGAACAATCAATATTTATATATTTCAATATGTTATTAAATCAGGTATGCTTATAATTCATTTCTGTTTATTTCATCTTTCTTAGTTTGAATTGGATAGGATTTCTGTGGAAAGGTTTTTCTTAATTGTATTGTATACGATACTCTGTTCTCACTTAATCACCTGAATATAAAAAATAACATTATAACCATTCATGTTTTCATGAGGAATCCAACCAGATCCATCAAATTGCATATGATTCTTCTGGAAACCTGAAGTTTTGGTTTAGCCTTATTGAGTTTCTAAGTATCTGTCAGTCTTTCGAAATCTAGATTAATATCTTAATTTCTTACGTTGGAGCTACAAGATTTTAGGGCTTCTTGAAACCGTCTTGATAAGTAGTGATCATTTTATCAATGTGAGTGCAAGGATGGTTCTTTAATAATGTTTGACAACCATATTTGTGTGAATAAGCTTCCTTATGAGGATCAATCAATTCTTTAGCATCAAAATTGAATCCTGTGGATGACAATCTATTGAACTTGCCCAATTTAGAATCTGCAAATGACTTTCTAGCTACTTCAGAGAATCTCTCTCCATATAGATTTTCTGATTGCACATATGGCACATATCCTGCATATCCAGGTACAGCTGAATTCTTAGGCTCTTAAGGCAACTGAATCGATTAAGAATACTCCTTTACTTGTGTGTAATGATTGATGTAACTGGTCCTATAAAAGTTATTTTTGGACCATTCATGGAAAGTCTTCTCTTGAATTGGAGGTTGAGACTTGCTAGCCATTTTAATTGATAAATAAATATATCAAATAATCATACTCTCTATACAAATTAACATTCCTTCAGTAGTTCAATCAATTTACACTCATAAAGTGCCTTGTAATTCATTGCAGATGTAAAGAAAAGCAAGCATTTATCTATTTTAAGTACATGAATTTTAATTTCAGTTCACCATTTGTTTTACCAATTCCCATTTGAGTTGATTTGATTCATGTCTTTCCTAATCAGTCATGATTATTTAATCTAACTAAATTTATAAGCATTGATGGACATACATTTTAATCTTAAGCATAAAATTAAATCTAATTATTCCTATTTGCATCTTTGACATGTTCATTAAAATACTCCCCTAAATAATTTTCTATCAGTTCTTCTTTATATTTCCAGGTATTCTCTGAATATCATAAAATAATAAGCTATCGTGCAATAAAATTTTATCCAATTTTACTTTATTGATTCGATCATAGTAATTTGGAGTTTAAATACTTTTCCATATAATAACTTCACATTTCAATATGATAATAGTAGATAATTGATGAGTTTAAACTAATTGAAATAATTAAACTACAGATATATTTGAACTATTTGCTTCAACAATAAGAAATTTTTCATAATACGCCTATCAAAAATTATTTTAGAACTTTTATAATATATTATCAATGAAGGATTGCCAAATTCAAGAATTATGATGCAAAATCGTTATAGAAGTTGTGGCTTATACTATATAAATTACAATTAATAACATAATAATAATTATAAATATCATGCTAAAATTTCTTAATCTTAATCTAATTCCTGAAGTTATTTAGTCAAATATTAATATTTATCCTACAATTCGTTACTCTTCACTTACAACATGTCATGATATTTAACTAATTCCTGAACTCTATCTCTGTATATGTGTCTTTCATGATGTAATGCTTATGAATATACTTCTTTGTTCATTTCAATTTCGCTTATTTTATCATTCAATAGTGAAATTTCCTTCTCCAACTGAGCATTTCTCATCTCGTATCCTTTCATCAATTTAGCAATTCTATTTGCAAAGAACTATTGTTTTTTATTAAGCTTTTCGTATTGCACTCTTGTTCTTCTAAAATATTCGGTGAAAATGGCCATCCTCACTTCTTCATCTATTTTCTCAATATTGACAAACTTATTTTCCTCATAATCAAAATATAATTATGATCTCACTTTATTCCAAATAATGTCAAGGTCATTCAAACTTTAATCCCCAATCAATTAGACCCTTTCCTCCTATAATAACTCCTTTGCTACACTAACATCTCCCAATCCGTTTGAATTATCATAAATATCCTCTTTGATCAATTAAATCACAGTATAATTGAGTATCTCTTCTATTTCATTTCTGAATTAATCTTCTGTTTATTCATAAATTTGTCCAGATGGCAATTCTTTAGGTGTAGGTAGGTTCTTTTGATGTGCCTATGACTTTTGTCTAAATTTTTTCTATTAATCAACTAATTTCTTCTGTTTTAATATTTTGAGTTTGTCCTCAGCATCCATTTCCCTAAAATAAACATATAATCTTACAATTCCATTTCTTTCTGCTCTTCATTGTCCACTTTAGGAATTTCAATAGAGAATTCATTCTTGGGTTTAGGTAACGATTTCAATTTCTGCTTGATCATTTCTTTTAACTTCTATTCATTCTTCAATTATTATTGCCTCTCTTATTCAGCATTGACATATGCAACACTTTAACTGGGTTCTTCCCATGTCCTCTCGTATTCTTCAATATTAATGCCGAACGCATCATTAGATGCCTCAACTTATCTTCTTGGTGTCTCTTTCAACATATTTGCTAACTGATTAGGTGTTTAGTTCCCAATATTCCTGACAATATCAATAGGGTTGTTCATTCCCCCAACCAAAGGAGTTTCAGTATGTTATAAAGCAATAATATTTTGTGCCTCTCTCAACACAGTATTAGGTGCTCTTGGAGTTCTCATATTAGATTAGCTCTAATCTCTTGTTGAGTAGTTACCTACAAGGGCTCTGGTTGCAGAGGTTGTATGTTCAGATATTTCATTGACTGCATTAATCTTACCCAATAATTCTAGATCCTAATCCTTCAATTATGGTTATGGCAATTATAGTTTGGTTTAAGGTGTGAATTTAACTTGATATTTATTCTAAAAGGAAACAGCTTGATCTAGTTCTCTCTCCTTCAACTTCTTAATTCTTCTTTAATCTATCTTCCTTCTTATTTCTTCTTCCTCATCTCTTCTCTAACCCTCCAAAGCTTACAGACTAACATTTGAAATCTTTTTATCAGGTTCAGGTTCTTCTCCTGTAGTTTCATGCACAAAATCGGGAACAGTTCTTTCAAAGGCCAATTCTCTATTGTAATTGATACCCTTGTATTTACGATCCTGTAATTTGATATGATGTTTCTCAATTCTGTGATTGATATATTGAATGCCTGCAGCCTTTAATTCTCTTTTCTTTTATAACAAAGCGAGTCTTCTTGCTTCTTCAATCAACTTTCCTCTTGCCTTTCTCTTGGCCTTCTTACCTTTGGTGTTTGCAAGTCTGACTCTAGCTTCTGCCAACATTTCCTTCTCATCTTCATCCATATCAATAGGATCTGGCCTGGCAGCTTTGGTTTCAGGATTTGGATCGATTTCTCCTGGTCTCAGTCTTCTGGGATCATTTGGATCATTCAGATCCTTGCCTTGGGCCTAAAATACAATGAAATTCAAATTCGTACCAGATCAAGTAGTTTTTCATATTACTCCACGCATTGCATGGGAGTACGATCAACTATTGGTGCAATAGTCCTCCACTGACTTGGGAATATCTTGGCAAGATGCAGGACTTTCTCCTACTCTTCTCTAGTCCACTCTGTCTTCTTGATTGATGGATCGAGCCATTCGTACCAACGCTACTTGCATTATTTTGCTGATTTTCGAACAAGCAGTGATGAAATACGTGACCATTGATTGAGACCATACTTCATGACAGCTGCTTTAAGTATTTCATCCTCACTATTCTTCCAAACACCACCTAAAATTGAATTAAGAAGAAACTTCTACCTTTTATGATGTACCTCATTTAGAATATTAATAAATAAATTAATTTCGATTTTAATCATCTTAATTTTTGTATATTTTTAGAATATTTTGGATCATAAAAATGATTATATATCTTGTCTTAATATTAAAATAAAGATCTGCCGACATTTCAAGTATGTGGTTAGTATTGGGACTTAAATTAATTACACATAAATATTTTATTAAAAAAATAATGATTGCTGCTGAAGAACTAGCTGAGGAATAACAGGAGCATAACAATTAATTGATTCAAAACGGAAAGTCAGCATTTAAGCCTCAGTTTCTCTCTAAATAGCAAAGGGAAGAATAAAAATAAAAATAGGAAGAATAGCAACACAAAGAATAATTAGAAAAGCAATAATAGATTGCACAGATTCGCAAGGAATACATACATTTTAGAAGTAAGGTGATATCAAATAACTTAGGTGATGATTAAAAAGTGAGATAAATTTTGGAGAAAAGAAAATCAAAAAGTAGAAGCAGATCAAAAAGCAAAGAGAAAAACAATCGTTACATAACATCAAACACTAGAGCCACGGTACCAGTGAAAATGGACGGAGAAAATCAAGAATTGATGCACATCAAAATGCAGTACTTGGGATTGAATAAGGAGAAGAAAAAAATCTTAAAGCCTTCCGAGAAGTTTAAAAACATATTCAATTTTGAATGGGATGCAACTGAAGATACCTCAATTGATTTTAATCCACTCTACATGAATAGAATAATTGCAAGCGGTCTGCATTCTAAAGCCCAGGAGGACAAGGATCCCGATTAATTGTTATCCTCAGATCATTGGAGCAAGAAATCCCTATTCCAGATGCAACCAAGAGATTGGAGAATCTTCAGAGAAGACATGGATATCATAATCAAAGGAGGTCGTGTTCCAAATCCTATTAGAGAGTGGAATGAAGTCTAATTGCCTAAAAATTTAATGAATTCTATTCGAAATTTAAACTATGTTAAGCCAACTCCAATTTAGATGTAGACAATTCCAATTGGTTTAGAGCGTAAAGATATGATTGGTATTGCTCCTACGGGAAGTGGTAAATCTGCGGCATTTCTAATTCCATTGATCACCTATTTATCTACACTCCCCAAACAGGATGATAAGATATGCAAAGATGGACCATACGCTTTGATAATGGCTCCAGCAAGAGAGTTGGCAATTTAGATTGAGGCGGAATTCTAGAAGTTATCCTAAGGATATAATTTGAGATCATTTGTTATAGTGGGAGGAAGGAAGGAAGAAGAATAGGAGTTTCATTTGAAGAAAGGAATAGAAATATTGATAGGAACACCAGGTAGAATAAAGGATCTTTTGATGAAGAAGTACCTGGTGTTAGAGTAATGTTCATGGATTGTATTAGATGAGGCAGACAAAATGATTGATTTAGGATTTGAATAAGATGTGAATTACATCTTGGATTCAATTACTACTTAGATGAAATCTGAGGATGAGATTGCTGCTGAATTGGAGGAGAAGTTGGCTCAAGCAGGAGAAAGGTAGTATAGAGTGACTCATTTATTTTCAGCCACAATGCCTCCTCAGGTTGAAAAATTAGCAAAAAGATACTTGAGGGCATTTTGTTTTATTAGTATAGGAGAACCAGGAGGTGGTAAGAAGGATATTGAATAAAAAATAGATATGATTAACGAGGCAGCTAAAAAGTAATTTAGATTATTAAGAGTAGAAATCGTTTATTGTAGTTGTTAGCATCCAATAAACCTCCGATTATAATATTTGCAAATCAAAAGAAGAGTGTTGAAATATTAAGTAAAACATTAGAGAAATATGGAGTAATGATAAGACAATATAATTTAGTATAACTCTGTTGTGTATCATGGAAGCAAAACGCAATAGCAAAGAGAAGCAGCTGTCGAAGGATTCAAGTCTAAGAAGATTGATATATTGATTGCAACAGATTTGGCATCTAGAGGTTTGCATGTTGAAGGAGTACAGATGGTTATAAATTTTGATGCTCCTAAAAATATTCAGGTATTTTGTGTCAACAATCAATAGGATTTCATTCATAGAACTGGTAGAACAGGCAGGGCAGGGAAAAGAGGATTGGCTGTGACATTTCTTACTAATTCGGATTCAGATCTGTTTTATGATCTCAAAGAGTATTTGATTAAAAGTGGACAAAATGTTCCACCTGAGTTGGCTTAACATACGGCATCAAATCAAAAGCCTGGTTCTGTGCCTGATAATGTGCCTAGGAGAAAACAAGTAATTTTGGCGCATTGATAACATATGAAAAATTTGAATCATAGATCACTTTACAAAAATGTATGCAGTTATGGAAAGAGTGGAGAGCGAAATAAATTGTTCGCCCACCCTTATAATGAAATAATTCCATGTCTTCTATTCCCAAACTACCTTCGATGTGTAGTATTGCACTTAAAAGCTCAAACTAAAAAATACAGCCAAAGTAAGCGCCAAAATTAAATCGCGTTCGTCCTATAATTAATTATGAGTCATTACTTTGGACTTTAATAGGTTGTAAAAGGTTGTTATCAAACAGGCTTACAAGAATCTTCCTGCCAGTTCAAATAATAATGGCCCAATATTTTATTAATTGTTTTCTTTTTCTTTCTCCTACTTCACATTGGTTTCTTTCATGTATCGATCTCGAAGTGCAATTGAGTACCAGAACCAACCTATTGTCATTGTAAATAATGTCCCAAATAATATTGACAATAATATTGATATCATGTCGTTTAAATTAATTATTATTTTATAAATAGATAAAAATTTAACAGTTAACTATGTACATCACCATGAAAGGAGACTTGGTTGAATTGAATTAAGTAACTTTACCCTCATTATGTTTGTAGAGAAATCTTGTCATTTCCAGAACATAAATTGATAACCACACCAAAGTTTAATATAAATCAGATAAGTTGGTGATTAATGATAAAATTGTGTTGCAAAACTTCAACAAATAATTCATTAATCGACTCGATTACGCAATCAAGAATTACGAAATCAGATTGTAATAAGCAATCCAACAATTTGTGTGTAATAGGCAAGAAATCCTCAAAATTAATTAGACTGATAAAAAGTTAGTTACAAGATATCTGTGGATCAATGACAATTATTCAGAAATCAGATATTCTGATGCTCCTTTAACCAAAAACTTCAAAAAAAGTATCTCAATACAAATTTTTAGTGCCGCTCAATGAAATCACATTTCAATACCAACAACTTGATGATAAAGTTATGAAAGCACTCAAAAAATATGATCTCTATCCTGAATACCTCTTGACAATCCTACACAAAAAGAAATAGTTATCAGTTGTGTTCCTGTCATTCAGAAAATTAAATGCCTTCACATCACTTTGCAATTGGATTCTCAAATCCAGAGATTTGCCATAAATCCAATTCTCAGCACTCATATTCCTTAAATTAAAATTGTAATATGCAGCTCAACAATAGGGTTTGACAATCAAAAAATACTTACTCATCCAGTTAAATAGAATCAGAACATAACTCACTCTTAAAAGTACTCAATCTCTCTTATTCTTTTAGGCTTGAAAGACAAAAACTCTTAAATATTAGAATCAGGCAAATCATCAGAAAAAAAGCAATGGTCAGTTTAGTTAACCATTAAAAAATCTAAACAGGATAGTCTGGACAAAGAAAATATTAATAAAAAAATTTAGTTTTCCTGAGAAATAATGTTATTATTCACTTTTATTAAATTAAATTTACTACTATTTTATTAAATTATGAATTATAATATGATTTTAATGCTTTCACATACGGCAGAGAAAACTTTGTTATATAAATGTCTAAAAATTAGAAAGTTCTTGTTTTTGCCCATAATTCTATTTAATTTTAATTACTAAATTAATTATGAACAACATAAAATATTTAGAGAATTATCGATTATCAATTATCAATTAAAATCGAAATTAATAGGTGAAATACTTAATCCATCTTAGTAAATTAAATCAAAGGCTTCAGATTAAAAATTAATTATCAAGATAACAAATTTATAATAATTTCGAAATCTTATAAATTTCATTTGAATCCTGATCTGTATCCTGATCCTAACTAACTTGGTAAATTAGCTAATTCAGTTTGTTTAAGAAGAGGTGCTTCATCAACTTGGTTAGCGAATACAACAGCTTCACCCAAGCCTATACTTTAGAAATGAGTCATTACATTAAGATTTATCAATTCCAACTCTTTCTGTTTCATCATCAATTCTAAGAACTCCGAATCCTTTCAATGCTAAGAGAGTTAGTATAGTAAAGAAAACAACCCAGGCAAAGATTATCAATAATCCTAATAATTGATAACCCAACAATTTGAATCCAAATCCATAGAATGCTCCAGCCTTAGTATCAAAAAATCCTGATAAGAAAATTCCAATGAATCCACTGCCCTAATTAATATAAGTGTGTGATATCTTACAAGATAGACTGGAATAACCTCAGCAGGATCATCAATATGAACTGATGGTGTAGCTTTGGCTAAGATACTGTAAAATAATGCTGCCACAAATCCATAGATGAATGCAGTCCATGGTTTCATATCATCAGCAGCAGCACTTACAGCAACGAGTCCACTGACTACTCCTCTTGACAATGCCACCAAATTCGTGGTTTCATATTAGAAATATCTGATAACAAAACTAACAAATCCACCAGTGGCTCCAGCAATCAAAGTATTTACTGCAACTAAACCTTAAGAATATTGGGTTTAAGATCCTTAAGCAACAACACCACCATTATAGAATAACCACCCAGCAAACACCAACAATGATCCAAATCCAATATAGAGTGGTGAATGTCTGCTGAATTCTAATGTGGCTCCATTATCAAATCTTGTTTTTCTGGGCTTCAAGATAACAGTCAAAATCAATCCTGCTGCTCCTGCTGCAAAAAATACTACACCTGCGCCTGAGAAATCCTTGAATCCTAAAGATGATAACCTTTTTTAATATTGATAATCAGCTTTACCATCCTGCAGCCAAAGTCCAATGAGTCAAACCTGCATATATAAATCCAGAATAGACGAGGGTTAAAACAGACCATCCTAAGAATGTCATTCGCTCTGCAGATGCTCCAGCCAGAATTGCAATTCCAAATGCTGCTCCTGCTGCTCTGAATACTGTTATGTATATAAGTTTAATCCATTACCAAAATTGGTATAATCGTTTCCATATTGAGTGGCTTCCCATTTGGAACCTCCTAATTTTGTACCTCCCAAAAATTTGGTCTAGAAATCATCTCCAAAAGAAAAACCATAGCCAAACTAAATTTAGAAAATAAATATTACCAACCACCAAATTAATATTGTCAAAAATAATCCCAAAAATACTTTTATTACAACTGATTAAGCATTTTTATATCTCACTGAACCTGCACCGATGAATGCAAATCCAACCTGTGTCAAAATTACTATAAATCCAGATATCAAGACCCAATCATAATCTTTTGGCTATGGACTTGGAATGCTTAATGCGGGATCTAATCAAAAAGAAATACAATTAAAAGCATACTTGCTCCTTCATTATGTCTGAAAAGATGACTCATATCTTCCGTTATTTAAAATAATATTTCAAATAAATTTATTTACTCTCTATTTATATATTGTATAATGAATGTTATTTTTATGAAACCTTATTTATATATAAATTCGTATTTTATTTATGTATATAAAAACAAAATAAATATCTACATAGTCAATCTAATTTCACCATAGAATATATTTTTTTAACAAAAAGATGACTTGCCAAGAAACCCACTGTTCCACATATTAATCCCAAACAAAGAGATACCATATACATAGTCCCAAAATAGTACAAAATTGTTGAGAATCTAACTAAATTATAACAACTACCTAGTAAATTACAAGGAATCCAAGTAATATTAAATTGAATATATAAATAAGTATACTCCTGAAGTAAAAGGCACAAAGAACGCTTTCCACCACCACCTATGATTTTAGTGTTGAAGCAGGAAATAAACCGTTAAGATTGAAACCTCTGCACTAATAATAATCAACAAAATCGCAGTAAAAAGCAATGAAACAAAGAACTCATAGTAAGAATTCTTCCAAATGGATTGCATTATTTAACTAATCTCAAGACCAATAGATCTAAGTAGTAAATAACATACTTACATAAAACACACGAATCCTCCAATCAAACAACTATAAAAATAATCCAAATAAAATGGCTGCTAAGGAATTTCCTAAGCAATTTATCCATATCTACATGGGTTTTTAGGTGATTCAGTTTTGAATCCAATGAGTGATCCGATTAAATTTAAAGGAGTTTGAATACCAAGTTGCAAGGCTATGAATGTAATGGCAGATTTAAAGTCTAATCCACTTGAAGCCTCTTCAAACATTAATGCAATATTTTCGATTCCAAAAATAAACAAAGCCATGATTGGAAATGCCAAATTGCTTCCCAATGTACATAACAGCCAATATTCCCCCTTAAAATACTTGTAAAATTTAGAAGAATAATATCCATTCAAACCACCAGTGAATACATACACAACAATTACTAGAGTAGCTTGATATCCTGTGTGTGCAGAATAGAGAAATCCTATTGATGAGACAAGGAACACGTATATAGTCATGATGGTAAATTGAATGCCAGTTCCAATCAGAACACTCAAAAATAGTATGCCAGCTGGAGGTCTAAACACATCTCGACTGATTTATTTCCATCCTTTTTGATCAAACTAGCCGTCACTCTCTTCTTGTGGCAACATTTCAAAGGTTAACACATCTCTCTTAATAGTGAATCTAATGAACAAAGCAATGAGACAAGTCAACCCAAAAAATACATATAAGGTTACACTAAGTGGCATCCACTCTTAGTCAGTATTGGAGACTATATTTAAGTAGGCTGACCATCTATTTGATGAGTTAGTCATCAGAAATCTGACTGAATAGGTGACATTCATGTTTGAATTGATTGGACAATTGATTCCTGAATCTATTTCAGAACTGTCCATGCATTTGGATTCAAATTCAACTGTTATTGAATTAATGATAAAAGTCTAATTGATTTCTGATTTAGAGGTGTTATAGATTTCAATATTGAAATTGTAATGATTGTAAAAGGAATATTAATTGACATTTCGAATTCCCAGAGGCACTCCAATAATTGTATTGTTCATAGAATTACTAGACAGAATAGGTAATTCATCAATTAACATGTTGACTCTGTAGTCATGATCAATAAACCATTTCAAATTGTTCTGTTCTGTTTACGTAAAATGTTTGGTGCAGAGTATTTCATCAGTGATTTCATAATTCATGAATATCTACGATAATGGTTATTCAATTACATAATACTTGGACTATTATGATAGAGTGCCTAAGATCATGGATCCAATGTTTTAATTCTGATTTTCAGTCGATTGTGGTTTGCAAATATCTAGATCGTAATAGTCATATGGGAGTTGAGTAGATTCTGAGGTCATCTCGTTTATTAGGACGGGGATATATTGTCCCTCAGAATAGGTCCTTTGTCGGATGCCTGGTAAGTCGAAAGTATAAATGGCACATATCATAGAAAGCAGTAAAATGCTCATTTTATTATTTTTATTATATATTAAGTTAATGTCTTCAGTTTAACATTATTTGTTGAGAAAACAAATCACTCTGAATTAGCACCCGAACATCTTTATGACTCAGCACGACATTGATGAATCTTAGTTATACAGGGATGGCAAGATTGTGCCTTATTATGTTGTTGGGAAACCTGAGATCATAGATAAAAGATTGAACAAATCACAACCAATTGAAGAGATTGTTCAACCTCATCGCAAAATCAAGCCAACAACATATAAGGAGTTTAAAAATAAACAATCCCAATAGTTGAGTGTGGAAGAGGAGGCTGATTTTATTCAAATTGACATGGAACCAAGTTAAGTTGAAAATGAAATCCAATAAATTCTCAATAGAAAGACTTAATAACAATACTTGCATCTCAAAAAATTGAGTAAGGCAGATCAAGTTGCTGCTGCCAAAGAAGGTAGAATCATCAAGCAATTTGAAAATCAACAATAAAAATGGCAGAGGAGGGTAGTCTCCTCAGCTCAACAATGTAATAGGCCAATTTCCTAATCTATTTACAATTAAATATAGGTAGAACGAGAAAAAGTGGAAGACAGAAAGTTATTAGATCTCATACAAACCGATGCGGAAAGATATGGCAATAAATTATGGGTAATAATCAGTTTCATTTTAGGAAAGATAACTTAGATCAAGATCTGATGCTGTAGAGTAACACAAAAAAATCAAGGAGCAAGGGCATGAAATCATTAAAAATCCCAATTGTCAGACTATCTACAAGAGACCTAGAAGTATTGCCTAGAGATTTGAAGAAAGGAAGGAGAAGGTAAATGAAGTTTATAGTGTTGGCCCATAATTAGATAATCTGTAGGTATGAACTAGACTTAATTAAAAGATAGAGGGAGAGAGTAAATTAGTCAAAGAGACATAAAGTGTCTAAAAAATGTTGGATGAATAGAAAATCAAAGAATAGAATGACAATTGTGGGAAAAGGAAGAATCCAGCAATTTTCAAGAAAATTATACCTACTGATTAAGTTGGTGGTTCCTATGAAATTATTTCACTTAACTATGATAAATAAGTCTTGAGGTAAAAGGGAAAACTCGATATTTTTAAATAGTTCTTTTGATTACATGAACTCTCATTTAATTTTACTTAACATTTATTGATTATTATTAATAAATTTAAGAATCACTCCTCGTCCTCTAGTTCCACTGTTACCACTTCCATTTTCTTTGACCATGGACTATATTAGAAATCAAACATATTACTTTTCATACAATGTTCCTTTATACTTTTTACCATCTGATAATTGAACAAATATTAAATAGGTTTTGCCAGCAATAAACTATTCTTTGACTGATTATATTTCCATTATGGAAGTACTGTCCTCTAAGTCAAACTTGGGTATTAATTTTGAGAGCAATAATGCTTAAATTTGAGGGTATTTTGTATTGAATTATTAGGCATCTAGGTCGACCCAACCATGATATTTGAAATTATTTGATTTTTTGTTATCGACTCTAAGGTTTTTTGATTCCAAACTAGTCACCTTGCGAGTGTTAGTCCATGGTCTTAAATAAAATTACTATGAAAGTCTTACTAATCATAAAGTATGATCTCGTATTGAACATATTGGTTGGGGTCTTCTTTTTTTTAATAGTCAACGACCATTTTATAGTTGATTCCTGAAACTATTTGCTATTAAACGCTTTCTATTTTCCAAAGGAAATATTCTGGGCCTGCTTCAGCATCTAGGATTTCATTGATATGTGTGAAAATTTCATTATTCTGACTCATAAATTCCTTAATTTTGACATTCTGGTATCCTCCTTCACAAATAGCTAATGCTAGCAAGAGACAGACGAATAAATATTGTTTATACATTTTATTAATTATAATAAACGGATTCTATTATTAACATAATATTTTTGGACAAATAAAATTCTAAAATAATCATATCAGAATATTGCTGCCAATCTATCAAGATCCAGTATTTCCAATGGCTTCTTTTTCTTTAATTATTATAAAATTTATGAGATATTTATTTCTTCAACTTCAGAATCAGATTGTGAAACTTAAAATTGCAGATCACTGACCCCCAATTAATTTAAATACTCAATTAAATTATCCTTTTCTCCAACTTGCAATTATTCCAATAATCTGGCAACAGCTATGAATTATTGATCTTATTCCAAACTTGAAACTATTTGTTAGAATTATAGATTCACTTATCCCAAGACCAGTCTTAAGAAACCATGCATCAACGATTTAACCAACAAATTATCAGACTTCTGATACAAATCAAAGTATTTGTGATATTATTTTGAATCCATTTGAGTAACTAAGTCTATAAAAATTTAAATAGTAGGATTTTAATTCTCCGACTACTCCTTCATCTTCAACATTTGAGAATAGAATTCTTGACATTCTGGAATTTCATGGAAACAAGATAATATTAAAGTATATTACAGAGTTTCCTCATTCCTGAACGTCTTCAGCAATTCACTTAAGGTTCTAAGATTGTCTTGATTATCAGTTAATTAAGAATGAGACAACACGTAAAATCGAATGATTTTAACTAAAAACATAGAATACTACTAAAATACCATAAGTGCTCTAGTCTTCATATTGAAGGTAATTCAATTCAACTCTCACTTATTTTAATCTATCATGTATGAATTCGTAAATGTCTTCATACTCGATATCTCTTGGAGTGTCTCCTTTCATGGGTTTTTTGAAATCTGAGTCTGGAGCATCTGCTCTCAAGAAGTTTTGAAGGAGGAAATCAACAGTCTTACATAGTGTATCTGGTGTTCTCACATACTCTGGCAAGAAGGGTTTCTATTCTGATTTGTAAGCTCTAATGATGTTCTCTCTGATGGGTTGAATTTCAAATTGATAAAATCCATCCTACTCGAAAATGGATAATTATTCATTTTTGGTTCTTTCTTCGATTTCTTCATCATCACACTTTTTGGTCAATTTGGCTTTGTCAGAATATTGCTTCTGGAGTTTGCTGAAATTCTCCTCTTCTAATTTGGTGTATTAAACTTCGATGGTCTACTCTTCGTATTCATATTGCTTCACCTTTTTGGGTTTAACAATGATGTCATTCTCTTGAGCAGGGTCAAAGATCCGTTTGTATTCATCCAAACATTATTGATTCATCTCTAACACCCAATTTACATTCAATAACCCTACTGCTTTTTTGAGTTTCTTGAGTGCTAATTCAGCCTGAGCTTCATCCCAAAAATTAAGCACGTATTATTGAGATTATCTTTCTGAATAAAAGTCTCCTTTGAAATCAGAGAGGGCATTTTCAATATTAACAGCATCTGTAGATGAGACTTCATAGAAAGTCTTAATCTTAGCTTTGAAGGGTTGATGATCTCTCTTGATGATTCCTTTCTAGACCTTGATGAAGTATTCAGAAAGCTTAATCTTGGGGATGCAAGTATCCTAAGTTTTGTACAGACTGAACAAGTATTGTTTGTTTTGTGTTTTAAGAATTTAGACATCAAATTTGTAATGTCTAGAAAATAGAGTCTGCAGAGCAACCTTCTTCAATTCAGACCATTCGGACCTTGGGAATGAGAAATCATATCCATCTTCTGGTTTGGAATGTACAAGGAAGTGTTCAATCTTTTCTTCCATTTTTTAGAGATTCTACAAATTATAATGAGTATATTTGAGTAAGATGTCTGGGTAATAGGTTTTCTCAATATCCACCAGAGAATTTGATTTATAAAATGCTCCAAATCTTTTGATATTCTAACATTTTTAATCACATTTCAGTGTTTTCTCAATCAATTCATCCACAACACCACATTCTGTGAAGGTGTCTCTGTTGCCACAACTACAAACAATTCTAATCTATATTTTGCAAGGTTGTTTGGGACAAGGCTAATTTGGATGGCATATCTCTTAACATAAATGATTGCATAGCTTCTTAGCATTGCATTTTTGACCACAACCTTCAGGTCCATTTCCAGGACATTCCTCTTAAGCTTAACATATTTCTTAACACTTATGTCCACAATTTAAGACTTTATTGCAAACATTTCTACAGACAGCCTACTTTGAACAGATAGTTGAGAGTTGGTTTTGTTTGCACCTACAGAATTTATCAATTTACTCCATACAATTAGGACATGGTCCAGGATGACACAATGATTTACAACTATGTCCACATTCTAAGACCTTATTGCAAACTTCTAAGCATGAAGGTGGAGCTGTGCCACACTTCATAGGAGGATTTTTAACACTCTTACCGCAAGGACAATAGAGAGGTTAGTTAATAATTATTGGACATTGTTGACATGCACCAATGTGACAAAACTAATCACAATTATGTTGACCGCATGGAAGTGGTTTGTTACAGACTTTCAAACATAAATGAGCTTCTTGATCTCCAGATGGACAACACTCCTTCTGACAGAAATGAACTCCACATGATTTTTTCTTTTTGCAGACATCATCACACACAAATAGTGATTTATCGTTGCATAGTTTTAATCTTGTAGAATCTCCACATCTGCATTTCTCTTTCACTTTTTATACACATTCTGGATAATCAGAACCGCAGATGGTTCTACTTTTATGTCCACATGCAAGAGTGGTTTCTATTGGAGTTCCACAATTGGGAATTGGATCCAAACAGGATTTTCGTTGTTCCTTGATTAAATCATTAATTTTATATTTTCCACATGCACAGTATACTATTAATTCTGGCTTCAATTTGCAAGGTTGACAATTGGGATGGCATTATTCAAAACATTGATGATTACCACAATCAAGCACTTTCCCACATATTTTACCACAAGAATAGGAAGCCTAGGCACAATTTATTGTATCTTTTTAGGATCCACAATAACATTAAACTTCATGAGTTTCTGAACAAGGTTAACAATTCCCATTGTGACACTATGATTATAATGATACTTTCTTACTGGCTTCTAGCAGAAGTGACGATTGCAATTCAACACTTTGCCACAAGGTTAACCACATGAAAAATCCTTCTTTATTTCACTACATTGCATTTGCTTGGCTTTCTTGCCACAAAAACATTTGATCTCCACTCCTTGAACATGACATTCGGGACATGGTCCAGGATGACAATCCATTGGACAAGGATGGGGACAATATTATCCTCTCTTCTTTTCGCATTTCTAAGAACATGAATGTGGAACAGAATAGGAATCTGCCTCAGGTTCTTATTGTTTTCCACAAAAACATTTATATTCTGGCAACTTATCTTAGATCATGAGATTGCATTTTGGACAACTCCAGTAGAACAATTAATTGGTATTTTTTGGATTTAAATTCTTTATCCATTTATGCATGCAATACAAATGGAATGGGGAATAACACTAAGTACAACTCCATATCTTCTGTTATGGATGTATTTTATCATAGCATACTGGACATTCGATTTTTCTATATTTGAGCATTTTTATCAATGTTTATGTCAGCTCCTTTTACTTCACTTTTGTTATGTCAAACTTTTAGGTATCTACTTTTGTAAATCATTAAATACCTTCTTCAACCTATGGATCATCTCTTCTGTAATCCTCATCCACCTCAACACTCTATTAAAATCTTTTCTGATATGTTTTGGTGTCCTTCTAATTATTCTGTTTCTGATACTACTTATACTCGGGCTACTTTTTTTAGTAATGCTATGGCTACTGCTATTCTCGCCTTTCATCATCTTATTTATTCTTTTAAATCTATTATTATTGTTTTTTTGGGGGATTATATGCTTTCTGCTATTATTCTTAATTCTACTATATTTGCTATTGCTCATACTCCTCCTTCGTTACATACTCGTAAACTTCTTAGCGAGGCTTATAGTTGCCCCTCTTATTATATTATTTGCTCATTAATTAAAATTATTTAAAGTCAAATATTTTTGATTGAGACTCAAATATAATTTATCTGCATTATTCTTTAATAATTTCAAGAGTATTTGTCTATTCTCTGTTTTTATCAGAAACCTCCCAAATCGAACCCCTCCTTTACTCATCTTCCAAGCAAAATGCCATCGAAGCCCATTCTCGACAAAAATACAAATTAGAAGTTCTTCCTCTCCTCACTAAATATATTCAAAATGAAATTTATTGATACTAATAATATATCTTTTTTTGAGTTAATAATTTATTAGTTAGTAAGCTAGTTTGGATTAGATTGAATTCATAAAATAGTCGAAGAAACAAACCATATTAAAAAAACCATTTCAAAAAGAGAGCTAATATCGTAAATTAGTTTCAAGATAAAACAGATCAAAGAATATTGCAAAAAATTATATTTCAATATTTAATTACCCAGCACATTTGCTTTGAATTCTATTTCTAATTATTTGATTGAATTGTCTAAATGCTGTATTATTAGTATTGACATTCTGATTTTCTCAGTTTAAAATGAATCAAGAGTAGAAATTTAATAATAAATACTAATATAATATTATAAATTTATGAATAGTAAATATCCTAATTCGGGGTGCACATTGAAAGAAGATGCTCAATCTGATGGGTTGTATAATAAATCCAAATAGAGCACTGATTTTAATGGGAATTTGGAGTTCTCAAAAAATAAGAGCAATTCTGCAGCCTCTTCCTTAAATGGAATGTCAGAACACGTTAACGAAGTTACGCCGCCGTTTAATAACAATGCGGATTTAAAAGGATTTTAACCAGCGGATACAGAATTATTTCCATTTGAACCTAAATCAGAGAAAAACAAGTATGATCAAATATTGATAGTCTAAGTTTTCGCTTTTTGTATGAATTCTGGCCTTCATTCAATTAGATCTTTTGTTAAGGGCGCTTGATGACAGGCCCAAAAGGAGATAGGTATCACAATGCGTTTACTTGGATTATGATTATTGGCATAAGCACTTGTTTTTTTATAATTGCTGCTCCATACGTTTGGTAGAAATTGCATTGGCTTTATGTTTTAATTGTTATTTATTTATTCTTAAGTACAATACTATTTTTAGTGTTAACCTAAGTAATAATATAAAAGTAGTTTTAAATAGTTTTCAGATCCAGGGATCATACCGAGAAAATCTATTTTAGAATTATCTGATTAGAACACTCACTTCATAAGTAAGGAGGAGGTTAAAATCGAAGGAACTGGTGGGTGTCCAGATAAAAGGAAGAAGAAATATTAGAATTAAGAATCGAGAGTTTGTCCAACTTGTTAAATTGTGAAGCCCTTGAGATGTTCCCATTGCAAGGATTGCGGAAACTGTGTACAAGTGTTGGATCATCATTGTCCCTTTGTAAATAATTGTATAGGGCAAAGAAATTACAGATTTTTTATAGCTTTTCTGATTTCGCTGCTCCTATTGGCTTTGGGAGAATTGGGAGGCTTCTTGATCTTATTCATTGGAAACTTCGGAGAGGGGATCTCAGGGAAGGATGGGATATGTAATAATATTATAAATATTTTGAAAAGTGATAGAAAATCAAACAATTTTAGTTATAGTTTTATTTGCTTTGGGGATTCCCACAATCCTATTGACTTTATGCATTTTGGTGTTTGTTTGCTTTCACATTTGTTTGGCTTACAGTGGAAAAACAACGAAGGAGCAACTTTAAAAAAAGAAGATTTCAGAGAGAGGTATTATACCGTCGACAACTTGGTGTGATAAGGCGAAGACCTTGTTTAGCCTTAGATAAAAAATTCATATTTCTAAAATAAAAAAATTCTAGATTTTTGCATGATAACTAAATTATATTTGTTTTTTTATTATTTTGAACAATTTTATAAGTAGGAATTTAAAAAAAAAAAATCCTATTGTGAATGCTGGATTCATTTTGCTGTTAATATTAAACTTCTTTATAAAACATTAAGTTTTTTTGCTTACTATTATTTGTTGTACTTAAATTTCGGAAAATTCTCAACTCAATTATTATTATCTTTCTTAATTACTATATATATCAAGCATTATGGGTTCTCAGATTTGCCAAAACGTGTAGCCCTCTCACGAAGAATAAATTACGCAGGAGAGGAGAATCAAATTTAATATCCATCACCCTCCTCAAATACATAAACCATAACCTATACTAAAGTTACTGTTCCCTGAAGAAAACACTTAGATTGAGAAAGAACGAATGAATTCTTTGCCCAAACAAAATTCTTCAGACAATACTCTCACTAAACAGGAATTAAAAGGAAATAAAAATGAGCCTTCAGACTTTAATTTAGCAAATGCTTTAAATGATCAATTGGATCTCCAAAATAATTCAAAAGACGATTCGAATAGTGGATTACAAGACGGTATTACCAATTATTTATTTTATAGTCAAACACAAATCTATTTTAAAGAATAAAGCAATGGTTGGATCGAACTCTTTCAGTTCCAAGGAAGTTCAGAAAGACAATGAGTCTATTGGATCCCAAAGATCAATTAAAAAGGTCACCTTCGATAAAAAATAAAAGGTTATCTACAGTAGTTTTAGAAAACCTAAAGCCTGAAATTCTTCTATACCTTTCTTATAATAATTATTGATTTACTTAAATTTGATATCTCTTACTTGCACCTTGATTAATTTAAATTTAAGGATTCCCTCTAATCATTTCATAAAATATCAAATTGTCTAGCTTTGAGGTCAATAAAAAATTATTATAAATCATGAATAATTTAGAGATATAAAAGGAGTAACAGTCTGAAAATAATGAAGACTGCGAATTGGAAGCGGATTCAGATTCACTTCAAAACAGATTGTTATTGAATAATATTCCAACGCCATCTCGAACAGAATCCGATTTTTAGACATCCATAAATAAAACTATGCAGACATAATCAATTTAATAACTAAGCAATCATCAGAAATGCGAATAGCCATCCCAAGATTAGGATACTCACTTAACTGATCTCGATCTCAAGAAATAAACCTAAATGTCGTATAATTCCTCTAAATCATCCAAAACCCAATCACCCTTGAAAATTAACTTACTACAAGCTTCGTTAATAGCTAAAGATTAATTAATACTAAACTTACAAGAAGAAGTTAAATAATTAAAAAAATAGTAAATTGATAAAGATAAATAAATGGCTGATCTTTCAAGGAACTATGAAATCAAACTATAGCAAATGAGTGACAGAATCACAGATTTGGAAAAAATAATTAAACAAAAAGATAATGATATCGAATAATTCAAGAATGGTAATAATACCCTAAATCTACAGGATTCATCAGTTCTTACAAATATATAAAATGATCCAAAAAAACTCAAGCACAATGAATTTCAACCTAATGAATTATAAGCATATCGATAGAGTGCAGATTTATATCTCAATAGCAATTTTTGGTTAATATCAGCAGAAAGAAAACTCTAGGGTAACAATCCAATAAGCAATTACTAAGCAAAAGATAACATAGAAGGAAAACAATCTTAATTAGTTTCATAATAGCAAAAAGGAATTGATAAGCCATATTAAATGAGATAAAGTATACAATCTATGAATTAAATCAAGTATAATACTAACATGTAATTGCCTAAATTAGGGGATGGGAGTTCTCAAATTAATTTATAATAGCATAAATATTATCACACTAATGTAAGGAGTTAGAGTCTTTAATAACAGAATTATAAGAGTAATTCATCTCTTTCATAACCTTATATTAATAAGGATGCTATTTCATATGATCCTGATGGTTTGTTTGCTGGTTAAGAGATAAAATAGATCTTTACTAATTAAACTCCACTTAAGATGGAATCATTAGATTGGAATTCATAGCCATCCAATAAATACATGATTACATATAATCATAATTTGAATTAATCTAAATTCGATATTATTGATAAAGCCTAAAAATAATAGAATTATATTAATTCAAGGAAACAAAACTCACAGAAGATTTTTAATAAATAATGATGTTTTAAGAGTTATATGTATTTATATAATAAATATCTGTGAGTAAAGTTTCAATATAATACTGTTTTGATCTTTCATATTTTTACAAAAAAATAACTGGATTCAATTCTTATTTTAAAATATAAGTATATTAGACCCAATCCATTCTTCTCCGGAGAGTTTATTAATTTTTTATACCTAAGCAGAAATGATCAATTTATTTATGAAATTAATGTATTATGTTTAAGAATTGATTAATTAATGTCAATAATGTGTTTAATCAATAACAATTTTATTTTTTTTCAATAAATTTTAGTAATTACTATTACTGTATGATAATTTGAATCATTTCAATAATAATAGAGTGGAATATTTAACATTACTTTTCTTATAAAAAAATATGCGGAAAATTTATGGTTGCTGAATCGAATAGATAAAATGATAAATTCTTATATAATTATATTAGTTTGATTAATTTTATTAAAATTTGCATTTAATGTAAATTAAATGCAAATGTTGCAAGCCCGACTTGAATCTAAAACTTTGTTGATAACATGTATTTATAAGAATACAAAGTAAAGCACAAAATTTTTGAGAAAAACTTTAGTCCGATCTTAGAATTTGAGCCTCAACAAATAGTTCTAAGCATTTAACTGCATAAATTATGAATAAATATTATATTTATTATAATAAAACTGATGTGATATACTGAATACGATTAACATATCAGGGTGAATTATCAATTGTATGGAGTATATCCAAAGGATGATTTAAATTTCTTTTTCCCCTTTATTAAAGGATTAAACTTTTAATGGTGTGATCTACATTAAGTGGAAGTTCTTGTGGGTATGAATTCACTCATGAGTTTGAATATTTTTTTTGATTTTTTTTCATACTTCGATTTTAAGAGAGACTCATAACTCTTTACAAAGTTGAGATATTATAAATGTTCTTAGCTTGTCCAGTGGCCTGAATATATATGAAATACTTACCATTACCTCGTCCTTATGAATCTTATTCTGTTGATGCGGATTTTTCTTAAAATCCTAACTCTACTAAAGTTTGATGATTATTTTGGTCTGTTTTATAAATTTCAGGCAAATTTTATTAGCAATTCGTGTTGACATTCATAGGCTATGCTCTCCAATTATAATTTAATGATGGAAAATACATCGGTACATTCTCCTATTACATTATCACTTAAATCTATTTAAACATTAGTTACTTAATGGGATAAATTGCTATTGATAAATTGAAACTTATGGAAAATAATAGCCAGTGGACTATTATGGATTATATAATATATCTGAATTCATCTAAAACTATGATTTAGATTTTTTATTAAATATTTAAAAATTTTTATAAAGAGCCTATTAAATAATTGTGTATTTATATTTAATTGTTATAAAGTCTAAAACATAGCAAAGTTTAGTATACGAAATGATTCAACTGATGACAAAATGCTAAGGATATTATCTATGACTAATTAACGAGAATAAGAAGCACATCTATTAATCTTTGATAAAATAAAAAAATCAATATTTTTTGACATAAAAATAATTATCATTATGATCACCAAATATCATATAATGTAGAATTAATTGTAAGAATAACTGAAGTATAATAATTTTCCTAAACATTTATCACACTAAAGAATGGGTTTATTAGGATATTTAATTCTACCTTCTCAAAATAACAAATCCAAAATTGATCTGGTAGTTGTTACTAATTTATACTTAGATATACTTTAATATATATTTAATGCATAATATCTAGCATCTTTGTAAAAATATAAAAATCAAGCATATATCAATTATTAATGTTTTCTCGTTCTTCTCTATTACCCAAAATTTTTCAGATTGAGTTAAAAAAGATCCTTTCGAAAAACAATAATCGTATTGGCTTTTATCTGCAAACATGTCTATTTTGATTGATATAATGAAATCTAGTTGTTACTATTAATTTATTTTCATTACACTTATACTGTTATTTTCTACAATCAGCAATACAAATTTATTTTGCTCACAGTTGTTAAAATAACACGGAATCAGACTTAAACTTTGAAGAAGCATACTTTATATATATCAAGACCTAAATTTGAACATTATCATAATATAAGTAATTTTAGAATATTTTTAATTATAATTAAATAATGTCTTTACATATAATTGTTAATTATCATAAATTTATTTTTCATAAAACAGGATATCCATATTAGTTGTAAATTAAGAACCCTTTTTATTTCAATCTTCCATTTTGCAAAATAATCATTACAGCTTTATAGGCTTATTTTCAGAATCTATATACATTTTATGGATTGAAACCTATATATTAATTTTAATGGATTATTATATTGACAAGTTGTATTTTAATGCACTCAAATATTTAATGAGAAATACCAAATTTGATAAATTCTAATTTTTGAATATTTAATTAAAAGAAAAGTAATTGCAAGATGATCAAAGAATATGATTATTTGTTCAAGTTGGTTATTATTGGTAACTCTGGAGTGGGAAAGAGTTCATTATTGTTGAGATTTGCAGATGACTAATTTAGTGAATCTTATTTAACAACTATCGGTGTTGATTTTAGATTCAGAACGTTGCCTATCGATGGAAAGAACGTTAAATTATAAATTTGGGACACTGCTGGATAGGAAAGGTTCAGAACAATCACAAGTGCATACTACAAGGTAATGCGAAATTATTTTAATATTTTTAGGGTGCCGATGGAATTGTTATGGTATACGATGTCACCTAAGGGTAATCATTTGATGATATTGATAAATTCTGGTTGCACGAAGTAGAATCATATGGAGAAAAAAATGTGTAATTGTTAATCATCGGAAATAAAAATGATTTGGATGAATAGAAATAGTAAGAAAATTATATATTTAAATAAGAGTAGAAACATAAAAGGCTGAAGAATATTGTAAGTCTCATAATATGCTTTTCATGGAATGTAGTGCTAAGACAGCTGATCATGTTAATAATGCCTTCCTTGAACTCTCACGAAAGTTAATGGCTAAGAAGGATGCCTCACAGCCACCCAAGGCTTCTAATATGACATCCATTGCTTCACAATAATCATAATCTAGAGGGTATATAATATATTTTATTTTCTTAGATAAACTAGCGCCAACACTTCACAATCAAATAAACTAAGTGCTAACCCTTAAAACTAAAAAAAATAAAAAGATGGTGGTTGCTGTTGATTATTTATTAAGCATAATATATTGTTAAAATTTTATTGTTCTTATACTTTCTGACTTTAATTATTTAAATTCAGTATTTAATAACTTAAAACTTAATTAGTAAATAGAATGAATTAAACCTAATACGATTCTTATTACGTATTCAAATTACACTGCTAATTTTAATATATCTGACTTACATTTAAATATAAAAATTTCTAATATTATTTCAATATATAATTCCAATAGTGGAAATTTTACTTTTAAGAAAGAAATTTATACATAATACCCATTTAATAATATATATAGAAAAAGAAGTTTGAGAATTAAAATATCTTTTTTGTTATTCTTAGAAAAATCATGAAAAATATAACTGAATTTAATAACTAGATAGCGATACTTTCAAAATACTAAGGTTCTTTAGTAAAATAGTCAAGTCTGCTATAATCATGATAGTAAAGGAAATTAATAAATTAATAGAACTAGATTTGATATAAAATGTGATTGATGAAATGAAGATGATGTATAATATATTACAAATAAATATAATCCAAAAGTTGGTTCACTTATTCTGCTAAATGATTTACTCATCAAAATGCTTCCATGAGTAGTCGCTCTAATAATATTAAAATATTTTACTAATTCTCTCTTTATTTTACTTTCAACAAAACCCTAGTAAATATCAGGGAGATGATCTATAAAATTGTATGGTTAAAATTTTAAGAAGAACATCTCTAAACTACAAAATGAATTTGTTAAAATAGTAATTAGCATTTAGATTGGTGTATTTCCAATCAAAATCATTCTATCATCATTCTATAAACAAATCATGCCTTGGGGATTTGTGTGGATGTATTGAGGTTTCTGGAGAGGATCCTTTGCAAATCTAGTGATACTATAGATTTCGTTGATTATTGTTTCATCAATTTTCAAGAAAGAATATCCATTGGTTACTCCTCCCTCCCAAAATAGCATCAAAGGACCAGTTCTTTGACTTCTAATCTAGATCATTAAATCTTTTATATTATAGCCATCTGTAAACTCCTTGAAACCGCATTTATTTATTTGAAATGACTCTAAAATAGCTCTTCCATAACTTATTATTTTACCCTTGACTTAATCATTTTTGATAGATAAATGAGTAAAAGATGGAGAAAAACTAGGTTATAAATATTTATTACTATGTGATATAAACAAACACATCAACCGGAGATGTTCTTGTACAATAAAAGCAATATGATTATAAGTTCAGGTATTTAAAGTTTTATGTACTGTTATGAAAAAGTGATTTATATTTAAAGTATCCTAAAACTAACAATAACAATCTTCCGCTTAAATAGTTATGGATTAAGATTAGAAATCTCAGAAATTTATGCAGTACAATATGAAATTATCGTCTTTATATTTTGAGAAATATTAAGTCATTCATGATTACTATTTCTAATACCATGATGAAAAATATAGGCAATTTTACAAACAGCATTAAATTATTCAGAGTTTTTCTTAAAGCTGAATTTTAAGTTGTTTTTTATATTTGTGTGAATGGATCCATAAAAATTATATTTAAGAGAAAAATTATTATGTGATTATTGTATTTTATAAATGCAGATTTATCAGTATTTGATGGGTTTGATGAAAATTAAAATAAATTTACGAATATAATTATAGCAGTAATAAATTCAAGATCTAAAGTACTAATTAGAATACAGGTAGTAACACTTTTTAATTGTTGAATAAATTATGATAAATTAATATTGAATTTGTTGGGTAAACCTTTATAATAAAAATGAAAATGAGTAAATTAAACATCCTTCTGTTTATTTCTTATTTCAGAATCAATTCTTTACCTTTGAAGTATCTTCCAAACAATTTAATTGTCAAATTGATTTCTAAATCGTATTCTTAACCCAGATTAGTTAAATATACTATTACCCATATATTTCAGTATATTTAATGAATTAACTGCACAGTAAATTTTACATGTTCTGTATTAAATATTTCAATAACTTTCCACTTCTTTATTTACTAAAATTATTTAGTAATACGTTTTTGATTCATTATATCAATACAGAAGTAATAAACTATGCTATTGAAATTTTGAAACAATTAACTTAAAGCGGTTCAACATAATAATAATTCATTTTACAAAATGTGAAATTACTAAATTATATTATTTTTTAATTTTTTCAATAAAAAAGTAAGTAATTTATTTTCAATTCGAATTCTTTCAAATGAGTAACTTGAGCACAATTATGAGAAGAGATTACAATGCGAAATAACCAATTTAGCCTAGAATATCATTAATGAATGTCTTGATTTCATGAGTTTTTGAAAAAATATCAAAAAATGGGATGGTGTTGGAATATAATTGTATTGTTTTAGTACAATGATGACTAATGTGATAATTTTGGAGTAGAATTAAGCAATAAATCAAAACAAAATAAGATCAATAATTTCTGAGAAAATTCACGCTTTTAAAAAGAAGAATTGATTTAATTTATAAAAATATTTAGTATTTTTTGTTTTAAATTAGTATTTTAACTTTTTGAAACGAAATAATCTGAAAATGGAAACTTTGATTTTTGATAATAGTAGTTATTTGATATTAAAATAATAATTATATTTTTAATGCATCGGTTTACTTTAACCTTTTTGAACAAAGATGTAGAGTAGTAATACTAATCTATAAACAAAAAGCAATCTATAGAATTTCAATAATAGTAAAAATGGATATTCATCGTCATGGGCCTCTACTTTACTATTATAAAAATTATCGAATAAGAATGGGTAAGTTTGGGATTCATTTTATTTAATTGGATAGTCGTCATTTTTAGTTACAAATTTATTGCTCAACGCCACAAATTATATGATTTCTTTCTGACATTTGTAGTTGTTAGTTACAATTTATACTTTCCAATAACTAAATACTTTTCACTAGTATAGAGTGATAACTTCTATGTGGATGGCTACTTTATTTCGGTTGGCACTTTTGGGTAAAATCGAAATTTAAATTTTTTAGTGTGATCAATATTTTTAGTTTCAGATATAAAACTATCATCATAGCTATAATATTTACATCGCTAGTGAGTTTGAGCATGATTTAAGATGAGAATTTTTGGAATCAACTCATAAAATCGACAATCTTTACATCACTTTATTTATAAAATTTGTATTGTTTGGAGAAACACAAAAAGAACAGTTTTCTTGACCATTTAAAAAGAACAACTACATTGAAGGGCATTTATGACTTGACAAATATTTAAACCTTCATTATACATTATAAAGCAGAAACTAAAAAAATTGAATTAGTATAGAAAGATAATCAATAGGAGATATAGAAGCAAATTTTAGATGATTTCGATGATTATTTAAACAATATGAAAATACAATAGTCTAGGAGTTCAGGAAAGTTCGCATCCATCTTAGGCTAAGATCCTGTAAATTAATCATAGAGAAAGTAAGAATTAAAATCATATTTATTTGAATTGTTTCTCAGAGATCTAAGACTAAATAAGACTATCAATGAAAATTAATACGAAAATAATCAAATATTAGGAGAAGCTATTTATGAATAGGATTATTATTCGATTCAAATTTCCAAAGTATTTGATACCCATCCTTGTTTCATTCTTATATTACAGGAAAAGAAATAAGAGGTTTAATTGGAGGAACTATCTTTGAAAAATAAAATGTTAAAGAAATCTCTAGATTAGACTTCGTTAATATTCAAGCATCAAGTACGTATATCTTTGATTTATTTTTAATGGATTTATAAATTTGCTAATAAAAAGGAACAAATTTTGTTGATTAATAGATGCTTATAGTCTATTCATGGATAAATTATCAAAGCTAACAATGACTTTTAAAATATTATTGATTTTAATACCATCAATTCTGATTTCTAGCAGTCGGTAATCAAAAAATTTAACATTATTGATTGTCTTAATGAACTAACTAGAGCAATAAGTTATTATGACATAAACAAAGATATTAAATTTAACATCATAAACTAATTGGACGTTGAACAATAAAATATATAATAAGATGAGAAATAACTCAAATAATTATTTTACAATTTGTTGTTCTTTGTTTCTCATTCTTCTCAAACTGTAACAATTACCTTACAACATGATACTCATGGTCAACCAAGTAAATCTGTAATTAAAATTAAAATCAACTATTAAGGCCCCAACCTTAGTAATTAATAGTTATAAGGGTTGCAAATCATAAACCCCTAAAATTTAGGAGAATTACTGCATAACTCCTAAAAGCCCTTAGATTTAGAAATACCATTATCATTGATGATTATTCGTAAGATTGGACCTTATGATAAAATGCGATTGTAATAGAATAAAAAGACTTAGAATTATATCGAATTTTATATTTTTTCAGTATTAGAAGAGCAGTATCATTTAATACCCATATATTCTTTACATCCTTTAAATTGTTTGATACTTAGAGAAAAGAATATGTAAAATTCTAAGAAAATCACTTCTTTATATGAGAACATGTAGCCAAGCCCTCGCATAAAGATCCAAAATTTTAATAATTTTTGATTTGTTCAAGCATTATTTGAGTCACTTATTTATAAATTAAATTTTCTTATATTATTATAATAGATAATTGAATTTAATAAAATATTGTATTATATTATTTATGAGTTCCACACTAAATTTATTCTTATTCAAGCAAAAGATGCTAATACATGCTTGTTGGTAATAGTTCTTTGATTTTTGGTTGATTATTATATTATTCCTATTTATTCACTTGAATTTGTCAAATAATGATATACAATATCCATGACTATTTGTATTCTATTAATAAATTTGATTGAATAAAAGTTGCTAAATTATTTTTTCCTAACCGACTTAAAATATTAATTTATGCAACTATTGTTGATTAAAGATTGTTTAGTAGTAATATTAATGCAATTACTCAATGAAAATATCTCAACCTATCAATGATACTTAATCAAATGTAGTGTAATAGATTAAGGCTTATCCAATACCAATTTATAAGTATTTTCCAATACTCATGTCTGATTGGCAAAGTTATCAAACAGATGAATAAATTTAATAGAATAGCCTTGTTATTTATAAATATCAAAATGTTAATAATTAAATAAATATATTAATATAAATTTATAAAAATTATCATTAATTTAATATTTAAATTTTCACAATGACCTACTCAATTAAGGTTTGATCATAAATTACATTTATTATTTCTAATGAGGATGACTACATGTTTATTTTCAAATGATTGTATTGAGGAAATGCTTACTAAAAGAGAGGGAAGAATCCAACATAATTCATTTTATTAAAGCAGTTATACTTAAAAGACTGATTCTTTTTGGTACTACAAGAATTGCATTTGTTTAAATCGGCTTAGATTTTCATACCATTTTCACATTTAACCTAGATACCCATCTTCAACGGTGTGATTGATTTATCAACCATATATTCATAGTTTCCATTAGTAGTGTAAATTTAATTAGTTTGAATCAACTCTAAGGTGAAAGTAGGTAGGGTGGCTAAATTCAGAACCTCCTTTCTACTTGTTCTTATACTAAAACATTCTAAAGGTTTGAAGGTCTTCGTAAACTAGTATGCTACCCAAACTTATGAATGACTATTTGGTGTATCAGTTTCAAACCCTTTAATAGTTAATAATTATAAATAATTACAGGTTTTCCAAGTATATGATAATGTTGTTTCTGTGTTAGTATATGTTGCTCCTAATCTTAAATTTTTAAGATTTGGATAATTCAATCCTTGTAAAACAATAGCAAACCATCTATTTGGTTCTATTGTAAGAGGACCACTGCTGAATGCTCCAGTTACTGTCTTTAATCCTAAATTAATAAATGCTTCTTCAACTCCAACAACTAAAAAATATCCAATCTGCATAAGATTTGTGAACTTTCCATCGACTTTAGTAAGCTCACAGTAACTGAATTATTTGAGATTTGACCCATCTATTTGATATTTTTCATTATTACCGATAATAGAAAATCGATTGCCTCTATATAATGGAAACTTGTGATAGCTACAAATCCAGTCTTGGCATTAGGATTTTTAATTTAAAATGTTTTATCATCAGGATTTGCCATATTGAAGTTGCTGTAGACCTCGATACGCTAGTCGTCAATTGCATACCATCTTAATGATATTGTGGTTGCTCTATTCATATTGCAACTAATTTCTAATGTAAAAGCTTTTAAAATACTCGATTTTATAAATACATATTTAAGTTATAGCTGTAATTGCCAATTTAAAGCCCAATTCTGCCTTGTTCAAGTCGAATTATTCGTGGACAAAAAATACTTAAGGAATATTCTCAAATTGACTAGAAAACGACTTCGTTGCAATTTTTGAGTAGCCATTCTTGCAAACGAAGCTTGAATATACATAAGATTGGAAGTCATCTACAATTCCAGTATCGTAGTATATATAAGCGGAGGCTACTTTTACTATTATCAAGAGCATTAGCAATTTCTTCATATTTAATAATAAACTTTTTATTATGTAGACAAATAATCAATCAATACATATGAGAACAGTTTGATCCTCAATATTCATGAATTTAAAGAAATGATGAACTTCAATATTCAAGAAATGTTTTAAACTGTTAACTGTTTCAGGTTTGCAAAATTTAATTTTTGCTATACTTTATAATATAACTTTAATACGAAAAATTCAAAATAATACGCAATCTAAAAGTAAATAATTATATATTAATTAAATACTTATTTATTATTAATCTTTAATTAAAGAAATTTCCTTTGATTCTCCATTTCATTTGATCTCTTGATGTGCAACACAATTTATCTAAGAGACGTGTATTAAATAATTATCCAACTATGCGATTCATTTTTTCAATAAATGTTTTGTTTTGCATATTGTAATTTTAAAGCAAAAAAATCGTTTTTGATCCTGGGATGATTTTATTATGGAAATAGATAAGTTTATTAGAATAATAGCTGGAATAATATAAATGAATTATAATAGATAAGTATAAATTATGAAAATTTTCCATGAGTAGAACTTAGGGAAAAAATGGTCTAAAATAATTAGTATAATTAATATAAATAATAATTTACCCTTTATGATCGAAAAGAGTAAGCTTTGAAAAGTTAATATTGCTTGATATATCAGCGTTTTCATTTATATATAAACTTGTAGAAAAAAAAAATATCAGAATTTGATTAGTAAAATTAATTTCAATATTTATTAGAGCTACTCAAATTTTTATTTAAAAAATTTTATTAAAGAAAAACAATCTTATATTTAGTTTTGCAAAGGTTTATAGAATCCTTTATTCTGAAAAATTAATTTAAACTCTCAATTTTGACATCCAGAAATTTTTGTAAACTCCTAAACCTCATCTTTGTTGTCAGAGAAGAATTTCTTTTTTCAGCACCATTTTTGAAGACTTCTACTTGTATATTTTAAAGTAAAGATAATAAAATAAATGTATAAATTAATCTAATTCTAAAGTGTAATTTGTAATTAATTAATACTAAAATAATATTCTTGGCATTAGACTAAATAAACATACTACAAATGGCTTTAGATATATTGAAATAGAATCATTAATTTTCCTCAAATAAGATTTAATAATTCATCTAAGGAAGCATTTTCGGTTTCTTCATAAAATGCATTAAAGTCAAAGTCAACTTATTTGAAAAAATCATAAGGATTCAAGCAAATTTTCAAATAATAGATTCCAGAATATATATCCTTTCCTAATGAATTTGTTGAGGCAGCCTTAAGAGTATCTATTGCTTTAGATATAATTTATTTGTATTATCCCAGAAAATCTTTGACATTTTCAATTTTGTCAAAGAATTGTTAAAATTAAGGGCATTTTTCTCTTACTTAAATAAATACTTCTTTAATGATAAGGATATCATTCTTAATTGTTGTAAGTAATCTTGAGCAATCCTAAAAAACTTATGAACTTTTTTACCTTACTGACTATAAATCTGCCCCACAATTCCTGATCAAACTAATCATGTTTATTTGAATTCAAAGCCGAATTGATTTTTTCTAAATGCAATAATTGATTTCTGGCCAACATGAAAATTAATTACAAAAATTATTCTTTGACAAGTGTTATATCTCCAAACGTTTAAAGTTTAATGATTCTTAATTAAGTATAATTGATAAAAAAGGCAACATTCCTTTCATAAAGATAGTAAGTATAAAATTTCTAGAAGGATTCTCTTCTTTTCATTTCCTTCTAATACTATGATAATATCAAATCTGGCTAGAATAATTAAGATTTTTATATTACATTTTCTTCATCAAACATTTGTTTGAGTCCATCCAAATCATTTTTGCTGTCCTCTCTGTAATCTTCAATTTTTGTATGTAAGTATCCAACAACTTTATATTGATCCAAATAAATTTTATTTAGACTCATTGATTTAGTCATGGGATCTTCCTTCATGATTTCATTCATATTCTATCTAACCATGTCTTCATTCATCTTAATAACTTAATTTTCGAATATTTATTGCCAATTTAATCTATCCTATTTATTTTTGTTGAATTAATTACTTTTTCTTCAATTTGAAGCATCATAGCTACCAACTCTTTAACTTTTTAACTTCTAACAGGTTTTGTAGGAAATTTAAGTGGTTTATTTAAAATCAATTATTCCAATTAAATCTAACTTTCAGCTTGCCAAGGTGTTCTTCCGTAAAGCATCTCATAGAACATAATACCTAGAGACCAAACATCGCATTTGGCTGAGAATGGCTGTCCTCTTAATATTTAGGGTGACATGTAGATTGGAGTTCCGTTTCTGGAAAATTTCCCAGGTTCTTGATTAGAAATTAAAAGTTTTCAATACCATCCATTTCAACTTCCATCACTCTAGCGAATCCAAAATCTGCAATTTTAGCAATTCCATTTGACAAGAGTATGTTTTCAGGTTTGATGTCTCTGTGGATGATTTTCTTTTGAAACAACTCTTTGAATCCTTCGACTATGTGTTTTAGGAATATAATGGCCTCCAACTAAAAACAATTATAATTAAATGTAACTTCAGATAGATGCTTCTCTTTCTTGCTCAACATAAACTTTCTCAGATCTCCGTCTGGACAGAATTCCAAGAAGATATAAATATAATTTTATGTGCGATTCGCATTATAGAGTCGAACAATGTTGGGGTGTTCAACAGCCTTCAGAATGGTTGATTCCCTTTTAATTAGATTTAATATTTGTGGGGATTGTTTTACAGACTAAGCTTGATCGATTAATATGTACATCCATGGGAACTGTTTTGACAGCTATTCTCACTTGATTCTATCCGGTATCCATATAGCCGAGATAGACAGTGCCATAAGTGCCTTTGCCTAAGATTTTATTTAAAATGACAAAATTATCTATTTTTTTTTTCTTCCAGTCTTCACTCATGAATGAATTAGGACTCAATAAATAAATTATTCAATGCATTTATGAAAATGTAATAATATTTCTATTATTTATATTATTTAATTGGTTTCACATAAAAATGAAGTTTGCAAAATTATTTTTGAATGCAATGATACCTGAGTGGATAAAGTTATACTTAAACTACAAACTATTAAAAACCCAATTGTCCAGTTCAGTTTACATAAAGAAAAAAATAAAATTATTGAAAAGTAAATACAAGACAAAAAAAAAATATTATAAATAAGAGAAGCAGAAATTGCTAGAAAACGAACTAGTCTCTACTAAAATTAAGGAGGATCTTCGTGGCTTCTGTGACACGATCAAAGATGACTTGATAAAGATACAATCCTTCCTCATTTGGAAGTATTAGGATATCCAAAAAAAAAACAATAAATTACAAGAGCAGATCAAACTTATGAAGAAATAGCTAGAGTTTATAAAATTAAAGTAATATATGGGTGATGAAACCGACTTTAAAAAACAAATGCAGGATTTCAAAGAGAAATAATATATTCTTAAATAAACTATTTATCAATTCTATATCGAAATTTTACAATATAAAAGTTTTGTAACTAGCAATCATTTAGGGCTGATTAAGATATTAAAAAAATATAAAAAGTGGTCAATCACATAATTTAGAGATAAATAATTTGAAAGCCTTGTTCTTAGTGAAGTTATGAATGAAATTATGATTCTCAAGAAAGTTCCAGATAAATGTTCCCAGTTACTCAACATCACTGAAAGACTCTTACTCAACAATTTTTATGCCCTTAATCCCAAGAAAGGGAGATATAATCTCCGGAAGTATCAGCAACAAAAAAGTGTTAAGGGTGAAATTCTGTTTAAATTTGGTTTGTTCATTGGTTTCGCTTTAGTATTATTAACATTTATATTTTTATTAAGAATTGAAGGGTATATCGATCCTGATAATAATTAAAATCAGCACAGTATCTTTTAAAAGATGTTCCCGTGTTTTAGAGGATTGGCTTTGTTCATAATCTATTATTGGTACTTAGCACTGGATTTGTGGGGTTGGACTCACTTCAGAATAAATTATAAAATATACTTAGGATTCAATCATCACTTCTCGACTGTAGAGGAAGTGTTTAAACGTGTGAGTTATTTCTCCGCGATGTTCTTATTATCCTTTGTTTTCTACAGTCTCTAAGCCGAAAACATAGATCCCTTTTCATATAGGGATTCATATACTAAATATATCCCCCTTGTCTTGTGGTGTATTTTGTTGCTATACATATTCTTTCCATTTACCACCATTCTAAATGGTCCAGGTAGAGTTTGGCTATACAAAATCCTGGCTGGAGCTATTTATGGACATTTCATTAAATATGAGTCCAGATTTACATTCTGTTTGGATCAATTTATCTCGATGGCTATACCATTGAGGGATCTTGACTATACAATCTGCTATTACAAAACGATAGTACAAATAATTTGATAATTAGTGGCAAACAGGAGAAATCCATGATAATGAATGCTTCTCATCTAATCGGTTGACTGGTGCTTTGATTGCTATCATACCATTTTCTATGAAGACTATCCATTACCTAACGAGAGCCAGAGACAAGGGGAAGTTTTGGCATACTGATGAAATGTGGAATTTCTTTAAAACCCTATTGGCAACATGGGTAGCAGTTCTCTCGTTCCTAGCTAATAAGCATTATGTTTATAGGATCATTTGGATACCATTTGCTGCATTTTGCTCTTTATTTTAGTACTGGTGGGACTTAAAGAAAGACTGGCTGTTTTTTGAGAAAGGATCGAATGTTAGATTTTTAAGAAATGATTTGGGTTACAATCATCCGTGTATCTATTATTTTATTGGGATATCCAACTTCTTTTTGAGACTGACTTGGATACTCACAGTATCTCCAAACATGTATCTATATCTCAATATAACCAATAAAGAATTGTTTATATTTGTTATTGGATTTCTGGAAATGACAAGAAGTAAAGCAGCATCATTAATTGTTAGGATTAATTAATAATTTTATCAAGATTGAGAAAGAATACATCACAAATTTGAGATCTCTCAAAACAACCAGAGAAATCGTATATCCATTTGCAAACTAAGACAAGAGTAATTTCCAAGTGTAATTATGATTCTTAATCAAATTAGTATACCTGATAGATTAACATTGTCAGGCTTATATCTGAATGAATAGGATAAGTCAGACGAAGACTTGATTCAGTTGTTTCGAGCCACTACTAATATGTTGGAGAAGAGCGATTTAAATAAAAGTGATTATTTATTCTAAGGATTTTAACCGGACATGGAAATACTAGAAAGAGCCAAGAAACAAGAGAAATTTCAAGAATCATAAATTCGAAAGATAAAATAAGAGAACAAGAATTTTAGGGCTTAATTAATTTGAAATATGTGCTAAATAGCTTTTCATATTTTTGTTATTTTATAACAATGAAATTAAGAATCAAAAAATAAACACTATATTTCAAATTTAATATAATTCCTAGTTTCGTCATAATCTTATCAAAAGGCGTTAATATGAAAGTAATCTTCACTTTTTACTCAATACAAATTCTTAAATGTTAATCTAATTAAATGTCATTTATTGATATTCTATTGGATAAAGACATGTAAACTAACACACTTATAATAGCCATACTGAAAATTTAGAATTAATCCTTTTTTTTTTTAATAATTTAATCCAAAAATAATAGATATAAAAATAAAATAAATTATACAATATCTTATTTAAGTAGTACCTCATTCAGAGATATATAATTGAATACAAAAAGTTCTAATTTTTAATAAAATATGAATGGCTAATAAATTAGCGAAATAATACAGTGATTATTATTAGTCTTCATGAATTATTAATTAAATTTATGTATTTAGAAGCAGAAAATGCGAAATGAAAGGGTAATGCATGGTAAAATGGGTTGGATATCAGCAAGGACTATTTAAAAGGTGTATGGACAGAAAATATTATGTTTATTATTAATAAATATAAATATTTGGGATTGTTTTAATTTGATACTTATGGGTTCATTTCAAAATATACAAAACAATATTAAATGGAATAATTTTAATTGGCATCGGCAATATTTTTGAAGGAATTTTTGAAAATAGTTGATTTATAGAATTTGAATCTAGAAAGAATAGATGAGCATATAGAGTATTTGAAGGCCCAAATTTTATTGGATCAGGACTCTGATGAACATGTAAAAATGGAGTAGAACTGCAATCCATAAGTCGAGTATCCTGAATTCGAACACCACATCCAGTAGAAAACAAAAAAAAAACACTCAAATAAAGAGAGGAGTAATGGTGACAAGTATTTCTATTGTTCAAAATGTAGCAAGAAATTTAATCATCCCTCAAGTTTATCTAGACATAAGAAGAATCAACATAAAATCGTAAAGAAAGACAAGTTTGAAGTGAACCAGCTTCAATCCCAGCAACAGGAAGTTATAATTAATTTGACAGATCTCGACAATTGAATATGATTATTTAATTGCAAATACACAAAAAGGATATGATATATTTTGATTTTCTGCTCATTTATACATTATATTAATCAATTTACGTTGTTGTTGACAATTATGAGTTATGATTTCTTATTGAGAACTATCATGGCAGGCCAGCAAATAAAAGATGAGCTCGTAACCTTTGATCCTGATTGCATCCCTCCAAACTTTGAAATGGCTCGACTGCATTAAGTATACAATCCGTTGAATATGAGAAAGCGAGTGCAGTTGGCAAAAACTCAGCAGAAGAGGAAATCGTTAATATGTAGGAAGCACGTTGTCCATGCTGTTTAAAATGGACGGAGAAGACTCCGTTGTCTGTGAAAGTTAGTCCATTGAAATTATCCTTCCTTGGAACAGGAGTGCCACTATTTTTCGATTTCATAAAATAATGCATAACCATTTTGATCATCATGTTTTGTACATCCGGAGACTACAATCTAATAACCAACATTGCTTTTGGGACGAGTTGTCAAAAGGATCTGGATGATACGAATACAAGTGACAATTGTGACCTGAATTATATCACTTAGTCATCCTTGGCAAATAAGCGTTTGGATTCTTCACTGATGAATCTGCAATAGATGTTGAATTTGGTCTCGATCTTTATCATAATCATCTTGCTTCAATACATTAGAATTTAATAAAGGACTATCCTTAGAGATTGTGATTTCCACACAACCACTCCTTCAGATTTCGGAGTGAAGTTAAGTCACATTCCAGTTGAGAATGCTGGGTAGATCAAAGATCGACTTAGTAAAGTGCTGAATGAATTCTTGGAAAAAAGTAATCTTTGTTGAGATATGCATTTAGATGTTCCTTACGATCCAAAAGTATTAAAATACATGGAGTCTAAGATGAAGAGAAGGAATGTCAAAAAGGGGTATAAGATTCCTCCCAGAATCCATTCAATTACACTGTGTTATGACATTTCTAAATACGAGTAGTTGAACGCTAAGAAAGAATCCTTTGTGAAGGAGAAGCAGAAGTATCTGGAGAAAATGTATGAAAATTACAGTCCAGAGGATGGCTTACTTTAGAAGGTGGACGGAGTGTATGTGGATAATGAACTCAATGAAATCGAAAAGAATCTGGAGGCAGCTAGGTAACAGGTGAAGCTGTACTTTGATTAATTCCTTGATTCAAATAGCGAGTAGAAGGAATTTGTGGGGATTGCATTCGTGACCTTCTAATGGGAATCAGATTAGGAAGCCTTCATAAATCTGAATAGAACAACTGTTTGGGGCAGATATTTTGGGGAGCAGACTAAAATCTTCCTGGATGATTAGAATATCGTTGTGGATGAGGCTCCGGAGCCAAATGATATCAGTTGGCAAAACTTACATATTGGAAACAACAAGAAGATATTTAATAGGATATTGAGCGTAATCTTAATTGGTATATAATTATGTTTTACAAGTTGGGCTATCTTCAACATTTCTAAACTATAATAAGAATTGTTGGAGAAAGAGAATCTGCTTTTAAAGAAGTTAGCATCTCTTGCTTCAGTGATCATCATATTCATAAACTACTTATTGTCTTATAGCATTAAAAAGATCGCAGCATTCCAAGGGTTTTCAACCAACACTGGTCATCACATTTCGATTGCTACTTCAGCTGGGATTGCTCAATTTGTAAATAGTGCCTTGGTGACATGGCTAGTATTCACACTTCTTTTTGACGAAAACTATTACAAAGATGGAGGCTTAATTTATAACCAGACCTATGTGTTCATCTCTAATATGATAATCCCAGCTGTAACTGCAATTCTAGATCCATTTTATTGGCTCAAAGTGTATTAGCGATATTCGGAGGAGTAGAAGGGGAAGTACTCTGTGTGTACTCAAGAACAATTGAATAAGTAGTTTCAGGTTTCTATTTAATAGACTATTTGAAAACAACGAGGAAACACTATCTGATCGTTATGCTGGCATAATAAAGACTATGCTAATGACTTCGTTCTATGCAAGCATCATACCTTTGGGCATTTTATTTTCAATTGGAGCATTGACTCTGTTATATTGGGTCTACAAGTACTAGTTTCTGAGGAGAAGAACATTCAAGTAATCTTTGAGTTTCAATCTATCCATTGAAATGACTGAGGTATTGGAATACATGATACCTATTTATTGTGTAAGTTCATGTTTTTAATCTAGTTTTCTAACTTCTGGTTTTAATACACTTTTACTAAAGGGAAGGATGTTTCTTCATTTGCGATAATCGGAGTGGTTGTTGGAATAGTTAATGCTGTGTTGCCTTGTTATGAATTGAACTAGGCACTCTTCATAATTGAGGATTACGAGCAGGTGACAAGACCTTACAAAAAGATAGAGAAATCGTTGGATAGTGATTATAGTAGGAACAATCCAGCCACTCAAGATCAGGCCAAGGAGAAATTCATTTAAAGTATGCGCGTTAATAAATGACGTTATGGGATGCATAAATAAACAATATATAATTAAAATATTATGAATAAATCGTCAATGACTGGCAGTGGAATTTCCGACAAGGCTCAGATCATCAACAATAAGGAAATCTTGGAGTAGTTTGAGAATGGAGGTATCATTCGAACTATCAACTATAATAGAAAAAATTATGTTGTCTACCTTGATCATTAAAGTCAATTAGAACTAAAAGAAATAGGAAAGGATATTCTTGATTACCAATAAATATGTGTACAACATCATTCCCAAGTCAGACAGCAGAATTATGCAGATCTTTGGTAATTGTTATTTCTTGATATTAATTACATAGGCAAAATCATGTCAAATCAAATCAAAAGAAAAATCAGGTTGTCTGCCATTCAAGCAGTAAGTGTTACAAGTCTTGGAGCTGAGTTTGTAATTCATGTTCCAAGTGAATACGATTATCGCTTCTAATCCGCCGATTAGTAATAACTCTATTAATACTTAGTCGTAAATAAATATTGGAAACCTTATGTTAATGTTTTTAGATAATTAACTCAAGGAAATTGCCATTCTTCTTTAAAGAGGATTTTACACTTGTATCTGTATGCACAACTGAGAATGATGTCAAAAAAGGCATTAAAAGATTCCCCACAGAAAAACCAATAGTATACGTTCATTCATGATGTGTTTAGGAATTGGATGTCCAAGAGTTGAGAGAATATAGCAATAGGAAGCCCCAAGAACAATTGGTATATAAGCGCCCTGGTCTTCAGAAATAAGTGAGCAGCAACATGATTTCAATTGAAGATTTTGATCTTATTAAAGTGTTGGGAAGAGGAGCATTCGGAAAAGTATTCCTATTTGTTCCCTATACTCATCTAGGTTATGATGTGTGAGAAGAAAGAGACCAAGGAATTGTTTGCCATCAAATCATTACGTAAAGAGCACATCATGGACAAGAATTAATTGGAGCATACTAGAGCAGAAAGAAAATTGTTGGAAGAAATTGATAATCCATTCTTAATCTCTCTTGAATATGCCTTCCAAACACAAGAGAAGTTGTTTTTTGTCATGAGATTCATGCGAGGAGGAGAATTATTCAAGCATCTCAGAGATAAAAGAAGGTTCCCAGAATCAACAGCTTAGTTTTATGCTGCTTCTATTTTATTAGCATTGGAATACTTACATAAAATGCAAGTCGTTTATAGAGATTTAAAGCCTGAAAACATTCTAATGGATGAATTTGGTTATATCAAAATGACTGATTATGGATTGGCTAAATTCTTGAAACCTGGAGATTTCACCTATTCATTTGTTGGAACTCCTGAGTACTTGGCTCCAGAAATCATTAGACAAAATGGACATGGTCTTGGTGTGGATTGGTGGTCATTTGGAATCCTAATTTACGAAATGGTAGTAGGAAGACCACCTTTTTTCTCGTAAAACTAATCATAATTATTTAAATCCATCGTTGAATCCGATGTTGTCTTCCCATCTCAATTGACTCTTAGTATTCAAATCAAAGATCTCATAACATAAGTATACATTCTCCCTCATATTATAATAGCTATTAACCAAAAACCCTTTTGAAAGATTAGGACATAATGGAGATGCATAATCAATCAAAGAACATCCTTGGTTCAGAGACTACCCTTTCCAAGATTTGATTGATAAGAAACTTTAAGCTCCTATTGTTCCAAAGTTATATGACAAATTAGATGTGCAGAATTTCGATTAAGAATTCACTAGAGAAGGTAATTAATTAGCATTTATGTTTAGAGGCAATGAATTCAATAGTAAACATGGATCCTAAACTAATAGAAAAGTTCAAATAAGACTTTGGAGGTGTAACCTATGTTCCAAATAACAATGGACTGAATTGAATTTATGTTTGTATTTTCATAGTTATTCGGATTAATTTGTTTAATATTTTAATATTATTAAATTGAAATATTTTTATATTAATAGTGCAATATCCAATTCTTACAAAATGTATAAATTGATTAGATATCAAATATATATAGTGTTTAATTTGTAGATATGTATATTGAAAAACGAAAATTGCTTAAAATCATAGTAATCATGCAACCTTTTATCCATTTATATAGTTTTCAATAATTGATTCTCCATTTGGCTTAGTTATCGTTGCTTAGCCTTCTAACTATCCATTAACCCAAATTCCTTTTAGAATTGTTCCATTGCTCCATTTAAACGTCCCTATTCCATTTTTCTTATCATCTACAAAGGATCCTAAACTTATACATACAAGATTATACCTTTATAAACATCATTTGTTTTATTAGTAAACGTTCCAAATCCATGAATCCTATTACATTTCCACTCTCCTACATAATGACTCCCATCATTCCAATGATATTCTCCCTATCCTTCGTATTACCCATCTACAAATTCCCCTTTATACAACTGATTATCGATGTATTTGATTGTTCCAAACCCATTTTTCTTTCCCCCTTTAAACATCCCTTCATATTTAGATTTATTCATTTTAATCTCTAATCCTTAACCATCCTATGTTAGTATAATACAAAATACTTTTTCTCCGTTTTCCCAATTTCCTTCATAATACGATTCAGAACTACTAAAAATTCCAAACCCATGATACTTTCCCTACATCCAATATCCAGTGTAAGTGTCATTATACTCATAAATCATTCTTCCATGACCGTCCTTTAGATCATTAATCCAACTTCCCACATATATTAACCCGTTCTAGTAAATGCACAGTCCAAACCCATCTCTTTATTATCTCAACCATTAGCCTTAATAAGTGAGTCTTTCGTTGCACATAATAAATTAAATGATAGGTTAACTGCCAAGTGCTTAGGCCTTATGACCAGATGGAGACTCATAAGAGGTCAATAAATATCTAGTCTTTTCTCCTTTTATTAAAGGCAGTTGATTCAATAGCTCAAAAGCTTAGGGCAATTCAGTCTCATATAAATTTATATTCAACCCTTAAGATTTTAGTTTGAATTATCTTACTTCGAGGTTTTCCTTAATCCAATTCCAGTATTTCAGATGTCTTCCTTGTTGCTCCTCTAGTAGAATTTAGTTCTTCTATATTAGGAGATCTCTTGTCTCCATCATTCAGATCGGAGTTTTCATTAAGAGTGTCTTCAATTAAGTATTTTTATTGCAAGATATCTGATGATAATATATAAATGAATACCAACTTGAAATTAGTTTGTAATACTATATTTAGGTGATTATTGTGAATTACCCATCAACAAATTATAATTTAATTATCTTTGATTACTTTTTGCATAGGTTAGTTTTATAATAATTTTTATGGGATCATATTTACATTCAAAATCTATTTTATTAAGAATTATTGAAAATTTATATAGAATATCAAGCAAAACGATTTACTGGTTTACATAATAAATTTTATAAATATATCAATTTTTAAATTTATCTAATTAAATTACAATCTATATTTTAATTTAAATAAAATTTAAATTAATATATTATTCTAGACTTTTTAATTTATAGTAATGCAGTAATGCTTCTGAAAGTAACATATTATAAATCAGTCTTTATGTCTAAACAAAATTATAAATCATAGGCATAACAATAAGTAAGAAGGGAATAAAATTTAGAAGATTTGAACATCTTCTAAATTTAAGAAGCAAGATGAATTTTTATGATCAAAGAAGCTATTTATATAATCATTTATTGTCTAGCATTTAAGGAAGAATAATTTTTATAAAAATCGTCTTTCTATAATTGAGATATTAATTTTTTATATAATGGAAATTGAAATGAGTCTTGGTTCCTATTTAACAAAGACAGAATCATGTTATTGCTTCTTCTAAGATTGACATCAAATTATAATAGGGCAAATGTTCAAAATCTTTAAATAGTGAAAATACTAATTTGCAACTATGAAATATTCATATTCTAATTATAAAGTAAATTGACAACAATAAAATGTGTTTTCTTTGTAACTATAAAATGTTTATATAAGAATCCTTATCAAATTATTTTCTTTTTATAGGATTTGATTGAATCATTATTAATAGTAATTGATATTTTCAATATAATTTGACATTATATCAAATAAAATTTTGACAGGTTTCTTTATCATACATGAAAGTCGTATTTAATCTTCAGGACTGGAATTTAGATATGCTGCAAATAAATATGAATTATAGATTGTTGGAATTTAGAAGGCTTCAATTTATACAAAAATTAATTAAAATCAATTCTCTCCTACATATAAATATATCAAACTGTGACTCCATCAACAAGGGAATTTAAATAATATTATAATAAAAGAATAAAGGCAGAGAGTTAAATTTGAACAAGCTGCTTTTTATAATAAATACTCAAACTCATTTTGTTGTAGCTATAAACAAAACTGTTTAAAAAAAATTGAATTTTTTTAATTTATATTAAGTTTAATATATGTGTTTATCTCATAATATAGGATTAAATGATATCTTATGTTTCTTTACTCTGAATAAAACCCACAACTTCTTTGTCAGACATATTAGTCTGGATCACAAATGCGATCATCAAGACGATTCTTTCCAGTAATAAAATTTTATCAATTTAATAGTTTAATAAAATCATTATTCTGATATCTTTTACAGTATTTGGATTTATCCGTTAGAGCCAGGCACAGATTCTGAAGAAAAAAGAGTCACACACTATGAAAATGTTATCTATTAATGACTATAAGGGTCGATGATATTCAAGTATTTCTCAATGTCTAGATCTCCGGCTCCAAAGTTTAGAACGTCAATTAAGTTTCGAAATTCATTCTAAAGACTAAAATTATAATAATTACTTCATCAATAATTCCATTAGCATCTGTATCCATTTGCTTAAAGGTCATAATAAATTTCTTTAGATATTTCTCATGGGATTTTAATTGGAAATCTAAGATTATTTTCTGGAACACTGAATATTCTAATTTATATTTATCTTTTTCTTGAAGCAAAGACAATTGTTCTTCTCTAGTCAACCTTCTGTCTGGATTTTTATGAGGTACGATGTAGTATTATTTTAATTTGTTCAATAGTAATTCAGAATCTTCTTGGTTGTACATATATTTGATAATGTCCACAGCCTCTTCTTCATAAAGTTGTCCATTTATCCTTTGATTGAGCATTTCCTTGATTTCTGCTTAATGTTTCAATGGAAATTTCCCTCTTAAGTACATCTTTGATATTGATAATAATGTACTTTTAATAATTCTTGCATGGTATTTTTTACTTGAGTTTAAACAAAGCGGAACTCTTCATCACATTCATTTCTGAGTATTTTACCAAACACAGCCACATCATTATCCTCTGCTGAATACTTTTTAAGTGCATTAATTATTGATGTAGCCCATTCAATAATAAGACTCTTAAGTCCATATTTCTAATTTAGAAAAGTATACATATGTTATTCCATGGTTTCTCTGGGCAATTTAGATTCAGCACACTTCTAATCAAATTTCTGTTTGCTTTCATAGATTTCTTGAATAACATCTTTAAGCTATTTTAATGTTAAGTGTCTGACATTAATTTGTTGAGGTACTGAATTAAGATTTTAAGACTATTTTGATTGAAAAATAGCATTGTTTTATTGACTAGAGGATTGGTGATTTTTGGTATAATTTTAAGATTGATATGAGTCACTTTATTATTTTATTACATGTTCCGAATTAGGTATTGATGACTTGTCACCTTTAGAATGTTTTATGAGTAAATCTAAATATCTCTTATTTTCCTTTTCCAATTCAGCATTTTATTATTGAAGTTCTGATAGCTCTAATCTCAATCTATTCTCAACAGCTTTATCTCCTTGTTGTGGTTGATTCACTTACTTTTTATTATCAGCAATTTAGGATGTGTTTTTAGATTAAGGTTTGACATTTTGAATCACATTAGACATGTCATTGAAAATTGATAAATGCATATCATGGATTTTGGTGATTATTGCATCTAAGCTTTTGTCATTAACTTTGAAATGCTTAATTATTGATTTAAAGCAGATTTCATATAAGTTAAATTTTGCCTATGAATTAATTTAAGTATTACTGTTAAAATATAAAGATTGGTTAAGTGATCAGGATTGTTTTGTTTTAGTTTCTATTATAGATCAAGCATTATTGCTCTTATTTATTGATCAAATTGTTTATCTTCTTGATCCTCCTTCTTGTATTCTCTTATGCTATCATATAATATCTAACAATATTCATTATCAAAATACAGCCATCTATTCTAGATCGTATTACTAAAGAGTAATATCTTAAACTGCACTCATGGATCTCTCAGATTGTTGTTCACTTTATTACTCCTAGGTTTCATCAGCACCTTCTTATTCACCATTCACTTTTTAAGAATTCAAAATTTAAAGATTGGATAGGCATTCTAAAATAAATTACTCCTCTTCCTTTGATTGTAATGTAATTTCAAGATGAATCAAATTGGGCATCGTTGATAATGCATCCACAACTTGGCCTAACTAAAATGATTCCATGTTAAGTATTTACATCAGAGAAAATGTTATTGGAGATATCAAGAACTTCGACGGTGTCTAATAAACTTAAATCATCAGGTAAGTATGCCAAACGATTTCCATGTAAATTAAGCTATTTATCTCATTTAGAAATTACTTCTTTTAGATTGCTAAAATTTGCTAATTATGGCAATAATTCTTCTAAATTGTCAATTGATCTATTAAGATAGAAATAGAATGGTACTTGAATTCCAGATCTATAGTTGTAACATTAGTTCCTTGAGTTTTTAATATATGTTATAATGTTTCCATTGCAAAAATTGAATTTTGAAATAAATAATTATAATTTAATCAACATTAATATTATGTAAACTTATTTTACATATGAACATAGATTATTCTCCAAAAACTATTACTTAATTATTATAGACAGCCATTTTAAATATATTGTTGAATAATTTGAACATGATCTTGATGTATAGACAAAATCTATGAATTAATATATTATTTTATTGCAATTTAAACACGAAATGTAGTATTAATTGTGAAAAACAATATTTGAATAATCGTAGAATACTACTGCTCACAAGCAAATTAAATTAGCAGGAGAATAAAAGTATATTGAATCATAAATCATTTTATCAATCAATAATTTGTAAAGATTTAAATATTGAATCAAATTTGATTGTAATATTATGATATTCTTAAATATATATATGAGTATTTTGGGTTTAGAAATTAAAAAATTGAAGGAGAACAAGTGGCTTAGGATTATTAATAAATGGTAATCTTATAAAATAGAGTATTCAAATTATAAAGTTAAATAATGAAATAACGAAACAATAAATGGATACTCAAAAGATCATTGTTTAATTTTGGATGAGTGTTAAATTTATACATGTAATGTCTTAACCATTTAACATTTATTATTGAGAAGTAGAGATAAATATTACACATTTAAGAAAGTATTTGAAATGAATGTCTTTTTGATTAGGATTTTGGAAATGGGAATGTATAATGACTATTATGATAATGGTTTTGGTTTAATGATTTTGAATAATATCAGATAATGTCATCGTGATAATTTCTATATCTTGTTAGACGCACTGAATTTTCAGCATAAGCGAATTGATGAGTGTTATAGGTGGCTATAATAGATTAAGTTAGACGTACTTAAAAATGGAATTAGACTTGATGCTGCAAATATAGTTCTGGCAGTGAAATTATAAATGTGTTGGACTGTTTGGAAACTTTGTAAACCAAATACAAAATTCCAAGGCCAGGTTACTAGTTTTCTGACTGAATTTCTTTGATCAATGAAATCGAGTGTTCTTTCTGACATTTATTCTTTGATAAATATATTATTAATCGATTGGATTTTATTTTTTAATTATATCTATAATTATTTAATATGGGTATCTGTACGTCTGACCCTTTACCAGGAGGAGTTGATTAATCAGAAACCAAGCCTGAAGACATTAAACCAGTTGTTGATTAAAGCACACAGTAAAACCAAAAAGAAGAAAATGAGGCAGCTCTGAAAATTTAAACTGGATTAAGAGGGAAAAAGGCCAAATAAGAGTTATAGAAAAAAAAGGAAGAACTGGAGTAAGACAAGCCTAAAGAGTGGAAAGAATACGAAGAAAAATTTGAAGAGCCAGAATTACCTAAAACCTTTAAAGAAAAAGTCAACTACAAACCAACAAATGAAGATCGCATTTTACCCCCTTACTTGGGACCGGAAGGAAGTGTGTATAATGGGTAATGGAACAAAGGAGAAGTAAATGGATATGGATAAATGTTAAAACCAGATGGAACATATCTTAAGGGCTTGTGGAAGTAAAATCTCTTTTAAGAAGGAGGAATTCTCTATCCAAATGGGGATTATTATGTAAAACCTATGTATTATTTTTAGATTGGAACATCAAAATATGGACAGCGATTCTTTGCCAATGGATTAATTTACCAAGGAGAAACCGATTATGGACTTCCTCATGGCCAAGGCGAAGAAACACATCCTGACGGAAGAAAAAACGAAGCATTTTATTAATACGGATAAAAGGTGTAATAAGAGCATAATCATTAGAATCAATGATTTCGGCTTATTTGAATTATAAATCAAAAAATTGTTATTGATTTCTTATAAATTTATATTTAGTTATCTTGTAACTACTGCCTAACTAGATTGATTGCAATTTTGCTTTATTTATATTGAATATAATTAAAAATTGAACAAATCATTGATAAAAATTAAATAGAAACTAAAGAAATGTATTTTTAAAGTATCACTGTAATTACTAAAATTATATTCAAAATATACTTTCTATATACTTTGATCCCCCATATTTAGCATTCCTGATTAAAGATGCATGAATTGACTGAATCAATTTCACTTTGAAGAAAATCAAAGATTTTTTAATAATAAAAATAATAAAATATTAGAAACCGTAATTATTTAATTGTTATTTTGTTGATCAATTAATGTTAGAATAAGTATAATTTTACAAATTAATATGCTCAAAAATTAACAGATATAGAATTTAGTTTTATATAATTAGATTAACTTTACTGAATATCCAAAAAAATAAAAGTAAATTAATATAATAAACTCAGTTTTCTTGTTTAAGTACTAACAATGATTAAAAGTTGATGATATTTTAAACTATAGAGATCTTCTTTACTGAATTATCTTTCGTTCGAATCATTTCTGGTATCTATGTTAAAATTATAATTTTGTCAATGTTCTATAAATATTACATTATATTATACTTTAATAATGCCTTCAATTCTAGAACCTATTTATTCCTTAAATGCTTTTTCTCGTTTAAAGATGCTCTTGAATTACTTACAAAATAATTCATTGTTCTCTATTAAGAGTGGAGCTAACATCAAAATGTGCAATACTCTTTTCACATTATTATTTAAATTTATCTCAATTTTCAAGTGGAATTGACCCGCTTTGAATATCTCCTTGCTTCTTAAACAATCAAGCATCATCTCTATATTTTAAGCATTACATTCTAAAATATCTTCACTCACTTAGTCTTTTATCTAAAATTTGGTTAGTGTTAATATCAAACTATTCACTTCAATCAATTAATTGTTGAAATGTGAAAGTATCTTAACAATATCATTAACTAAGCTAACTACTAATCCTCTATTTTTATCACAAAGCAATACAATCAATTTCTTAAAATTAAATAAATTCTTACATTACTAGTATCTGCCTTTTCTTTTTCGCATAATTTTCTAAGTTTTTCTACATTTTCATTTAAATCTTGGTTATAAATCAAATGATATTCATGACTATTAAACGCATAACTCTTGAGAATTAAATCGATCTATTTGTAGAGTGTTCCTTTAATGAACAACTCTAATTGATTAAATAGTTATTCATATTGACTCAATCTCGAATTCTCCTTTCTTGAAAATATTTGATCAAATTTATAGAATTGACAACGATAGGGATTAATCTTCTTCACCTTTTGTTTAGAACTTGACCATAAATTAATTGAAGTATTTTCATTATTCAATTGGTCATTGCTTTCAAATGTAAGTTGTTTTTGATTCTTTATTTTAAAATATGGCTGATAAGTTTAATCATACTCGTTAGTTTTGTTGTAAAATATGCAAAATGATCTAATCTTTTTTTTTTGACAATAATATTGTTCCTAAATCAATTGCAAACTAAACTGTTTGTTTTTTGCTTAACCTTGAAGCACATAGTTTTATAGGTTGTTTGTTTGATTCACCTTTTGATATTTTTCAAGTTCTCCATTTATGACTTTCAATTCTTCCTGCATTTAATATTAGACCTCATAGAGATCTGCATATTCTTATGATTATTATTGATAGATTTATTAATCCATCTAATTAATTTTTTTGAATTCTGCAATCAAATATTCTCCCTCCAATATTTACATACTTTGGTGATTTGCATTAAAATCACTTTATAATCGATTTAATATTTGATTTCTATCAGCCTATTGATTAATAAAGTGATCGAGTGAGCAATTCAAAATTGAATTCATATCCTCCATCACTTTTTATTATTGCAATAAATCATTCTTCTGAATTTGATCATCAAGTTATCTACTCAAATTGATTAATTAATTAACTCTCCTCTAGGCTATACTCAATTCATCTTGCTCTTAAACTTATTCTATTTATATTCCTTTTTATTCCTTTTCAGTGCTTTTTTTTAAATATGTCTTTTATAGATCTTGACGATAACTGTTATGTAGAATTGACCTATCAAGCATATCCAATTTTTGAACTAAAGCAGCCCTTTTTGATGCATTTTTTCTAGCACTATCCATTTTTATAATTTAATTTGAATTAGAATATATTAAAATCTCAAGAAATAATCAAAGAATATTATAAATTAAATTCATCATCAGAAAGTGTCTCCTTTATTTGTAATGATTTAGATATTATTATAAAGGGAATCATTTTATTTAGTAAATTCAAAATACAGTAGGTATTCAATTAATAAAGATAGCTGTAATTATTTTAATATAAAATTAGTAAATTTGTAATAGATATTTAACATTTTAGATCTAAATTTAATGGAATAGCCTGCTAATTTAAAATTAAAATCAAAAGAATGATTCTTTTGATGCTTTTTTTATTTATTTTCGCATTATTAATTAAAGCCTTCGCTTTAGATATCTTAACAATCAACTAACGATATAAGGAATCTGGCACGATTATCAAATTGATTGAATCTCAATATCAAGTGATCTAGAGTATTCAAAATAGTACTTTCTACTTTCAACCTTACTAAATAGATTAAGATAAATATATAACAGTTTAGTATGAACTATTGTTTGAATAGATAGGTTGATTTTTGAATATCCTCGAGATGGAGATGTAAATTTGGAGTTCTCAATTACAAAAAATAAGAAAAACTCCACAAGTTCTCAGAATGATGTATTCTATGATATTAACGGACAATGTTTGAAGAAGGCATATCAAATGATTTAAATAGATCCATTTACCTTTGATAGCAATGATAAATACTACATTGATATTCAAATAAGAGATAGCCTTTTTACAGATTATTAATATTTTATTAAAATAACAAAAACTAAAAACAAACTATGTCCGAATGATTGTGGTAATTAATAATCAGGATAGTGCCATGCTGAAACAGGAGTGTGTGCTTGTTCTTCATAATTTGTGGACTTGGATTGTTCAAAATAGGCTTAACGCTTATCTTTAGATCAACCCCTAAAGAATATTTCAATACAAAAAAAGGAATATTTCTATTTTTAAAAAGATGAATTGATTTCTAACATATCCTTGAGTTTGGGTTTGATGAATTCCTAAAATCATGCATCTGGCCTTGAAGCATTTATTATGTATGAAACCTTTTAATGTGGACTGGCAAATGAAGCATATTTCAACTACTACATTTCTTTTCATGATTAATCCACTTAATCTGTATAAATAGATTTGTCTCCATTGATATATGACCAATATATTGAAAGATTCTAAAGATTATTGATCACAGTCGTAACATAAACCCCTATTCTCGTATTTATTTCAGTAAACACATCCTCCTTAGATGTCAATCCTGAAATGGATTAAAGCCTAGTAATTGTGTATGTACTGGTTTCGATAGCCATTTTGTTGCTGATGGCTTGGATCATAATTATACTGATAAGATATAGAAGAAGTTCAAGAGTGCATGAAGAGACTAATACAATATCCAATTCTCAAATCAATAATAACAATTATTATAAAAAGAGAAAGAGTAAATCAAATTTGAATTTGAATCTTTTAGATTAATACATGCCAAAATTGTTATATTCTTAAATCCTGGAATTCCCAGAGTGTTAGGAATTAGAAGTTTAGGAAGCTTGTTCGGTTTGTTTATTAGAATATTAAAAAAATGCCATTTGTAGACTTACTCCTTGTCATCACATCTTCCATTCTGATTGCTTATATCAATGGGTAATGAAACATGAGAACTGTCCTTTGTGTAGAACTGCCTTAGATCAAAAGTCTTTGAAAGAATTATACAATCAAAATCTTAATTAAACCTTCAATTTGTGCAAACAAAAAGACAAGCAACCCAATTAGAATATTGTATTGCAAAGTCAGTTATTCTCAAATGCCCAAACAGAACTAAGAATGATTGCTCATAATTCAATCGATAATCAATGATTTAAAATATATTTATTGAATTAATTAATATATTAAAAATATATTATTTAAAATTGATGGGTGATTTACCTAATTGGGAAATCAATGATCATAATGAAATCTACATAATCAAGGCAGAATCAATGAAGAAATCATATGAAGGCATTGTGAAAAAACTACAAAAGGAAAGAGTAAAATATGTCAAATAATAATAAACATCCAATGAAGAACATTAATAAGAAAAACCCACCTCAGATCTCATCTAATAATTCTCCCTTCTTAAATCGGAATTTGTCTAGAGGTATCAAACCAAGGCATCAATGCAGCGGGGGTAACTCAAGCTGAAGAAAAGAATAGAACTAGTCTAAGAGTAGCTTAAAGAATAAAGCAAAATACAATAATAATAATAACAATAATAACAATAGTAATAATTAAATTAGTTTAGAAAAATGACTTGATTATTATGTGATTTTTTTAAGTAATCTAAACTATCAATTTATATATTTCATGTGTATGTGAGTTTGCGATCTTTGTCTTGACGGTAAGGGTTAATTGAATTTTCTAACAGAAGAATAATTTTATTATTGGTGCTATTATTTTTATTGACTTGTAGTCCTCTAATTATTTATTAAAGCTTAATTATTTTCTTTATTGTTGTTGTAATGAATAGAGTTGTCTCTGTGACCTACCAAAGCTCTTACACTAATAACATCCTTATGAGGCTAACCCTCGTTCATTATTTAGCTTTGTTGTAAATTTCGCGCTTTTTAATCTGACCCTTATTAGGTGGTTCCAGACTTTTGTAAATTGTTATAGGAATGTTGTTAGGACTATTTAGAAGAGTGCTTTGATATTGACTATATTTATTGATTGAGAGCGTCAAAATTTTATTAAATTTTTTGCAAGCTATCTAATTATTTAAGCAACTTGGTTAGTTCACTCTTTGGTATTAGGTAGAAATCAAATTGATCCGTATTATGGACTGATCCTTGGAAATATCCTACTTTTTAGTCGAAAATATTAGTGCGATCAGTAAAAAAGGATTGTATATTAGGAATTGACATCTCCTCTGTTTTTAGATTGAGTGTATTTTATTCTTCTTGATTTGGACTGAATGATAGGTAGATTTGATCTATTGGTTCCATTTGATATTTTCTGAAATCGATCTATTTCTCGTTATTATTCAGTTAAAACATTATTAAATATTTAATTAATAAAATGAAAATTATTGTTGATTTCGGTGGAGGACTGGATGTCTGTTTTGAAAACAAAAAGGAGATAACATTGGAATTCGAAGAATAATAGATTAAAATGGCAGATGTGATAATTAGACTGAAAACAATATGCAATCCTAAGAAATTGGACTTCTTCTACACTCAATAACTAAGACCAGGAATACTGGTGCTAATAAATGATGCCGATTGGGAATTAGAGGATAAAGAAGAAGCCCAATTACAACACAACGATAGAGTTAGTTTCATATCCACATTACATGGTGGTTGATTTACTGAATTTCATATATATTAAATTGAAATTCTTTATGATTAAAACAAAGATTTTAATTCAGATTTTGATTTTGGTTTATGATTTCTTGGATCCGTATATAAATCGATCCATTTTCTCATTTTTTTCCATCTATTGGTTTAATTATTTTGTTAATGACAATTTCTCTTTTTAAAATAATTCATTTTCTTTTTAGTATATAGATATCTCTGATGACAGATTCTTGATTTCCTTTTTGAGATTTTCACATTCTTCCTTACATTGTGTGTATTTATTTCTAAAATTAATGAATCTATTACTTTAATTCCTCATATTGTTATTATTCATATTACAGTTTCTTGGACCATACATTTTCAATTTCCTTAAGTGTATTTTATAATTGTTAAATTTGTTATTGTAAAGATTAGATTTGTTCTACTTTTGCTGCCAATTTTTGTTTAAACTCTTCGATTTATAAGGTACAATCATTCCTAATAATTGTGATGTTCTTTTCAAGTTCTTATTGAACCTCTTTCTTCAATTTAATCTGCTAATTTTCAGCATCTATCAAAATTTACTCCTCCTAGAATTTTCTTCTTTCAATTTCAGCTCTTAATTGAGAGATTGTCTATTATGATTCTTGTTGTTTTATTTAGTGGACATTTCTTTTATTATAGAATAATAGCAATACCTTAACTCATCCAATTTGGATTGAAGTGAATTATTGAATTGGGTTTCACTATCAACTTAAGAGATGTATTGAGCTATTTTGTCATCATAAGACTTTCTCAATTTATTTATTTCATGAATCTGTTCCTCTTGCTTTTTAAATATTTCATCTTGAGCTTTGATTAATTAATCTCGCATTTTTGATAAATTTTCTTTGTGTTTATTTTCAATATTCTCGATATGTTGTTTCAATAAATTAATGGTGTTCTCTTATTCTTGCAATTTTATTTTGTACTTTAGTTCAATAGACTTAACTTAATTATTATTTAATTGTTCTTCATTATTGTTCAAATAATTAGCATTTTCTTCATTCTTTTTAATTCTGGATCTTAAAATTGAACTCAAATGAGGAGTGCTTTCTTGTTATTTCTCTGGAGTCACTGATTTTGTTCTCTCTTCACTAATGACCATCTAATCATAAGGAATAATCTATTTTTAATGATCTTATTCAATATGCAAGGCAGAATCACAATGATAACATAATTTTATTGGTTCATTTTCATTGCAATCGAAACACTTAATGGTTGCAGGTTTGATATTACAATTGAAACATCTAACGAATTTCCTTTAATTTTGATTCATTATATTTTTTATATATTAAAACAAAAATTCAAAATATTGAACATTCAATCCCATTTTGATTAAACTCATCATCCTCATTCTCTTCTATTCTTGCCTGATGCTTCTCGAAGTCATCAAATTTAAACTCTTGCAACTTTATACTATTCTGTTTGGGCGTAAAAGAGGGTCCTGGTAAAATCTAAATATATATTAATGTATAAGTTAAAACCTCTGCTAATTTCTTCGTGACATCTTCATCCAGTTCTTTGGGAAATTCGATGTAAAATTACACATGTAAATCGCCAAAATGAAGCTCATCCTTAAAAGTAGGTAAACCTTTCTCTTTTATTGTTAATATTTGATTTGGCTTTATTACTTTGTCTGTTGCAATGTTAATCACTTTTTCATCCAAGGTTTCTAATTGAATATTAACGCCAACTAAAGCTTCCTTCAGAGATATTGTATGCTAATAGAATAGATCTGTTCCTTTTCTAATAAATTTTGGGTGCTATTCAATTTCAAGATAAGCATGGACATCTCCAGTTTCATATCCAGGCTAATATATATTAAATTGAATTTTACTTTAGAATTGCCTTTGCCATATAATTTCACACAATAGCCGTCGGGAACTCCCTTTTCAATTGGTATTTCAATATCCACTACTCCTTCCACATTGCCTTGTCCTTTGCATGATTTGCATTCATCCTCCTTTGCTATTGCCTTACCCTTTCTAACAATAATTCTAAAATAGATTATACCCTTTGCAATCAGGACAAGGTGCTTATTGCAGCATATTAATTCCAGGCTACACTTCCACCACCATTTAAACTATTTTATGTCCCTTGCATGACTAACAAGTAACTGATTGCTTGCCTCCCTACCCTTAACATACTTCACAAGATCTTCTAATGTCATTTAAAGTCTTTTTATGATATGCACCCAAGGCGACATCCTTAAGAGTAATTTTATGATTGAGCTTATAGGGTTCGCATTTTTTGAATTAAGGATTCTTGACATTGAGTTGTTTGAGCAATCCTTATTTTCCGAATTTATCATAAATCTTCTTCTTTTCAGGATCTGACAACACTTCATTTGCCTTTTGAATCAGTTAGAACTTTTCTTAATTTCCTCCAGGTCTATCAGGATGATATTTTTTGGCTAGTGATTTATATGCTAATTTAACAGCAGGAATGTCTGATTAAGGAGGAATTTCTAATATTTCATATAGTTCTTTATTATCTACATCTTGGGGTGGAAGTTGTTCATCATATTCATCTTCGAAATCATCATCATGATAAGCAAAGTGACCAAATGCTCCTGGAAAAGGAATTCCAAACATTAATTTGAAAATAAAATTTATATATCTGGTTTGAACATTTTATAGATTTTTCTTTAAATTAATACATATCAAAATTTATTATGGATTGCCATATAATTATTTTATTTTTTAAAAGGAGAACTAGGTTTGCAAGGAGATCTTTCATTGGCCACAGGAGATCGAAATGACAATTCGTTATATTAACGAAGAATTGTATTAAATTGATTACCCCTTATGTTGGAATCATTGGCAAATCTCATTAACTCTATGAAGAGCGATTGCAATTTGACAGATTGGTTTAGTAATTGATCATACTTCAATTGCCTCTTCATATCAATTTGTTATAAGTAATTGAGTTGTTCTCTCATTTGGGTTAGTTACACATCTATTGATGATTTCTAATCGTCATTCTGAAGTCTATCAAGCAACTCACTATTTTCTTTTATTATATCTTCGATATTCATGATCGTTATATTAATTTATAATAATTTAGTGTGGGAGTTTAAAAACAAAACAATCAGTAGTATTGCGGAATCCTGTCCTTAAATCCCAATTACGATTTGGATATCTCTCTTATTTGATTTTATTGATCTGACAATTTAGATCTCAGGAATTCGTTATCGGATTTATGATTTTTGTAATCTTCCAATTCGTGTCTCATATCAGTCAACTTACATATTAATTATCCATTTACCTATTTATTCTATCGCCTAATCTCATTTTCCAATATTTGAATCTTCTCTTTATAATCCTCTATTTCCTCCTAATTACCAGGCTGACCAGCATTCATTAATTGTTGCTTATAATACATAATCTCTGATTTGGCTTATTCCAATTCCTGCTGTAATTATTGATCGTTATTGTTTTATTAGCCATATCTCAACTGGGTAACATAAATAATATACTTTTAAACGCAGAGTGTTGACTTCAGATTCCTTCTCTTGCAACTAGGCTTTCAACATTTAATTCTCATTGCCTAATTGAGAATCCTGTTGAGAATATCTTAGTCGATCCATCAATTGATCCTTCTCCTATTGCAATAAATAGATTTTTTATTTCAATTAATTAATTTCTTACGAATAGACGTCGCCATTGTTCTTCCTTATTCTCCATTCTTGCACTTCCTGTTCTCTGAGAACAAGCAGACTCTTGGCTTAATCCAATTCTATTATCTTTTCTTTGGAGAATTGATTCATCTAATCCAACTTGTCAGTTAAGACTAAAGCAATTTGTTCATTATCTGCTTTCAACTCCTAGATTTCATGAAAATGTTATTCTTTTAATTAGTCTATCTGTGAATTCAAGAAATCTATTTCTTAGTTCTTATTGTTAATGGTTTGCATAAACGATTCTCTCTCTTACTAAAACTAGAGCAGTTTATTGTTCAATTCAGTTTAAGCTATGGTGTGTTGATTTTGTAATTAGATTTCCTTCTGAGTTGCCTTTTGTAATTCTTGGGCCAGTTTGTCATAACGTTTCATTAAATCTTCCAAAAAGACCCTAAGTTCTGGTAATGACAATCCATTGAATTGATTTTAATCTTGTTACGGTTGTTGGGATTCATTTGGGAGGACGCGAATTATTTCTGTAGTTGGTACATGCTATTTAGGTTGGATGGGAATAATCTTTTAAGAGTACATTGGTTGAGCAGGCTAAGAATATTGTGAGTGATTTACAATTGTTAAATAGGAAGGTTTTGGAGTATAGGATCTGGGGGGAATGTTAGAATAGGTTATCATGATTGATTATCAGACTTTCTAATAAAATAAATATAATTATTTTGTCTGTATAAATATATTCTTGTTTTGGATTACTTCATGAATCCACTCATTAAACTTAGTTGTATATATGAGCAAAAAGCAGTTTCAGATTGTAATTGATCAGAACTCTGCATACCCTTTGATAAATCTTTATTAATTGAAATATTGTTAGGTTTTTTGCTAACAGCAAATTTAATTTAACAGATTCATAAAAGAATTCAAATAAAAATTACATGGAGGACAGAGCTTTGAGAACCAATTAAATAATTAACAGATAGCAGGATTATTAAACCACTAAGTTGGGATCTTTAGGAGACAATCAATATTTGAAAAAGGAAAACTGGAGACAAAGTGATCAGATAAACAAAAACGAATTTGGAAGTTATGAAAGATAAAAATAAAACCTGGATTCAAAGATTCATTAACAATCATTCAAACAAGTTTGTAATCGCTAAGTAGAGAAAGAGTTAAATAGTTATAATTCAAAATTGAAGGAATCATATTATTATGAATAAGCAAGACCTTAAACAGCTGTTTATTAATCCAAAGATGATAAGTACGATCAAATACATTTTAAAACAGAAGATAGACAGAGAATAGAACAATAGATAGCCCATTCATCTGACAAATATTTATCAAAACAAAATGGATTACCTTATGGTAATAGAACTCCAATAGATCCAAAGGCTAATCTGATTGCAAACACTCCTTAAGATAGAGTAATTAAAAATACGTTTAAAAGCGAATACTAATATTCTAGTATGAAGAGAGATAATAAATTACCAGAATATCAAAGAATTTATCCTGAAACAACAACAGATAAAATTGCCTTGCGTGAATAAATTTATAGAACAGATTAAAAACAAACATAAGAGTAGTCAAGTTTTTAAGATATCGAACGAAGACTATAATAAAGGAGAGAATAAGTAGAGAAGATTGCAGGATAATAGGAGGGAAGACTTAATTATTATTCAAAATCATAAGAATATTCATAAAGATAATAAGAATTAGAGGGCAGCTAATTGAAAATGAAATAATTCCAAGAACAACTTCGAAATGAAGTATAGACTAGATTAAAGGAACAGTCTAATCAATAGTATAATATTAATGAGAATAAAAGACAATTTGAAAGAGATTTTGAAAATAAATAAAAAAACAAAGAAATACTTGAATTGGATTAATTCAAATACACCCAATTAGATGAGAAATTTAAATAAAATGAAAGGAAAAATATTTACAATCAAGATTGTGGAGTAAATATTAGAAAGTCTAATGAACAAACATCTACAAAGACGAATGACTCCAAATACTAACAAATATCAGACTATGGAAAATATCATTTTAGTTAAAAATAAGAATTTGATCTGAATCATGATAAGTCTAAATTTGTTGATAGATCAATTTATCAGAATAAATCTTTAAATGAAGATGCTTGTGATCTAAGATATTAGGGAAGCCTTTCTAACGAATCCTATGATAGACTACTTTACAAAGACAAATTGTATTCTCATTCAAAAAAATAGCAATATCATGCTAAAAGAGAGTCTGATTAGTCTCAAGAGATTCAAAGAAAGCTTAATTTGTATGATAAGTTACAATAATTTGACCAAGATAATAAAAAGAAATATTAAGATGGTCAAATATATTAGGCTTTAAAATAGGAAACTAAAAATTATGATTTGAAGTAATCACTTGAACCAAAAAATTCTGGTTAATAGTATGGTATTTAAAAGCATAATTAAATATAAGAGAAAGTAGAGTTTAAAAGATCTCAATTCTAACCTGAAGTACATTAGGTTAAAGTAGAGTTGGAAAAAAAGTATGGATATTTGAAATCAGAATAAGCCCCTTAAAAGTCAGAATTTGATAAAAAGAGAGTGTTTGAGAACAGGTTAAAACCAGAACCCATTTAAACTAAGAATGCTGGGGGTAGAGAGTATTTGGGATAAAAGTATTATTAAAGAGAATAATATCGTTATGGATAGAGACATAGTTATCATGAAGAGTCATCTAGCGCTGATGGTTTAGGATTAGAAAAAGGAAATAAAAGAAATAATAACAGGGCCATTGATGATATACTTTAAGGAACAGCATTAAGTAAATATATTGAAAGAGAGAAAAATCAAAATAAAATGGTAGATAGAGTTGGAAACAGTAAGATTAACTATTAGAAGTCTCCATTAAATGATAAAGAATAGTATTTAAACTAAGATAGATTAAATAAATTAAAAAGGTAACTAGGAAACGATAGATATGCAATAAATGAATTTTAAAGAAGATAACCGTCAGATCAAAACTTACAAAAATGTAATTATATACTTATTTTTAGATTATAGTGCTGGTGGTGGTTTAATAAGTTAGCAATTCGGAAACTATGATAGAAAAGAAAGAAGAATTTGATATTGACAAATTTCATTTATATCCACTTTTTTACGAATATTTTTAATATTACACTTTATTAATCAAAGTTTTACGGGATTGTTGCCTAATCACTTCTAATTTCTAAAACAATTGATCTTGAGCAAAGGTGAGTCTCAACTGTTAAATCATTAGTAATATCATCAAATTGGATGAAAGAGATTATTTATAGAATATAGGTTTATGAAAGATGTACAATTGGCATTCTTATTAATTAGATGACATAGATATTTATAAATGATTATAGTATCTGAGAGAAAGAATAAGTTTTGTTCAAAAAAGATAAGTTATATTTTTTAATATTGTTTATCAATGTTATTACTATATTTAGTGAATTAATGATTTAACTTATTAATAATAAATCACACAAAGAGCAAATTTTATAGAATTCTATAATCAATTAAGCATTAGAAGCTTCTTTAAACACCAGAGTCTACAAGTACAGTCTTCATTTTCATCATAGAGATTGAGTAACAAATGTATTTTGATTTATTTGATTTATTCTGATGTGTGTGTTGAGTTGAGAATGCTCATTGCAGAATCGAATGTATCAAAAGTACAATTTAAAGTAGATGCTTCTCCATTGAATTTCAATTGGAAAGTTAATTCTAGAGATGATATTAAATGTATACTTGCATCTTCTTTAGTTTAAGATATTTGTGAGAGATCAGCATGATTGATTTCGTAAAGATTTTCAGTTTCTATTTCTGTCACAGTTTAATCGGTTGACTATGGTTTCATGAATTCATTGAAGTCGTTTTCGATAGATTCAACCTCTGATTTGTCCTATTATTCTTGTTCTATTCCTTCAATCTATTGAATTTGTTCTGGTTGTAATTCCTTTTGCAATAGCTTCTCTTTTTTTCTGTTAGAAACCAACTTCTTTTGATGAGGCTTCCTGGTTTGCTTTTATTCTTTCATAATATCTTATTTAATTATGGGCATAGCAGGTGGAATTTTATCATAATAAAAGGACAGCAATTAAAACAGCTGAACAATTAATACAATAAGTTAGAAGTAAATTGTTATCATATTTATAGTTTTAGGCATGAATAAACTAGAGATAAATATAATGGATTACTTCAAATTTTATATGATGATTGATGCTCCTACTATAACCCCGTTACTCAAATGCAATTTGTTGTTCTTATCTAACAGTGCAATCGAAGCAAGACCAGCTAATAAATTAATATACTAAAATAATGTTTATAATTACCTAATTTGATTAAAATATAGGAGTAAGTTTAGGATGTGACATCATTTGATTAGAGTCCCAGAATTCTACGGGTTGATTCTCATAAATTTAGAGCAAAGCATTTAGTGATAAGAATGAAACGATTGATCTGACAGCTGAAAGGTTCATTTTAATTAAAAAAAAAAAGTATTTGAAACACAATTATCAATATCCTGACTTAAAACATAAAAAAATAATACATATTAAATTTATTTTTTTATTAAACACTCACCCCCTTCAAATATGTAAAATTAAATACGCATTTACAAATCTAAGATACTTATCAGGTTAAGTATAAAGATAGAAATGTTTAATAGATTTACTAATTGGTATATGTAAAAAATAATGCCTTGGGAGCCATTTAATATATATTATAATACATCAAATTCACATAAGGTGTTGAAAAGAAGAAGAACTATTGAAGTATATATAGAGTCATCAATTTAGGATAAGTATTATTGTATAATGTGTGATTTTGGCATCTTAGAAATAGTTCAACAATGAGTTGAGCAAAAAATCAAGATAACTAGATAAGCATACACAGTTTCTCGCTATGAACACTTCTAATTCAGTTTAAAGTCTATTCTGATAAGTCTAATCATTTGGAATTTTCATGTAATAATTTGTTAAGAAGATGTAAGCTTTTGTTTGATCTCCTAAAACTTATAATAAAGTTTGAGATATTATAAGCTAAAGTTGGCCAATGAAAGGCACTTATAATTAAAACTTGTATTTATCAATAAAAACCATAAAGAATTGTTTGAACTACAAGAAAATTTAGGTTTTCCATTGATCTTTGTCTTCTAAAAATGGTTTACAGGACCTGATCAGAAAGTAATTGAGAATTTAAATAGATTTTGTGAAAGAAGCCTCGTTCTAACAAATTATTGGTGTATCTATGGATGTAAATAGATGATCAGAATTTTAAATTATGCACATGCTTAATTTACAATAGATAATGAGAATTAATATTATTATTAATTAAGTTACCGTAATAAATACTGATATTTCAGATTTTTCATTTCATTATTCTTTTGGTATTTCTAAAGACTGAGAACTGAGGCTACTTGAGAAAGAAGAACTTATAAAAATTTATAATATAAAAGTATAACTATTCGAAATAAATAATAATTTTTATTCGTTTTTGTAGATAAATTAATGACTTTATAATAAATTTATGTTATATTTTAAGCACCACTTAAAAAAAGGTATAATATTAATAAAATTTTACTTCAATATTCAAAAAACAAATTAAAAACCTACCTTCGCATTTTAATTGTATTGAATAGACTCATTCTGTCCTTGAAAATTAATTAAAGGCTGCAGGATTTGTCTATTATTTATTAAAATAGTATTTTAAATATAAATTTGATGAAAAACTTTGAAAAAGTGTTTGCATTAAAAAATAATTAAATATATGGCAAATTGTATATGTAATGTACTTATTTCATCTTAATCTTCTGGCTTCTCTTTCGCATTCCATGAGTTCTAGAGTATCACCTTTTCTGACTGGTCCCATAACATTTCTAATGAGGGTTCTTTATTGGCCAACCAATTGAACCTTAACTTATGTAATGCCACCTCTGGAACCTGCATAATATATAATTGATGGATACCTGTTCTTCCAATGATTTCGATAACTGTGGCTCTTGTTCCTTCTACTCTATCTTTAGTTGAATCCATGCTGAGTTTATCTAATTTTAATTAAATGATTTAATTAATTTGTGTATTTGATGCAAATATTAATAAAGTATAAATAAATTGTTCACTCTGTGTGTTTCGGTGATCTATATGGATTGCTTGGACTTCCTTTTTGATTGACAAACCTGATGGGACTGTTCCTATTGACTTTCCGAATTTCACTCGGATCAGACAGCAATTGTTTTCTGCCTTCTCTGACAAATTCTTTGGTCTCAGATTGGCCAGAAAATAGGATGTGATGCTAAAAATAACGAAAGAGTAGTCTACTTATAGTTCTGAGTTCTCCTTGCTTAATTTGATATTCTTTTATTCTAGGAATGTGATTTTACTCTTCAATTCGCTAATGACTTCAGCCGATTCCTCAGTAGGCAGAGTTAAATTGTTGTGAAGAGGACTTACCTTTCTTTTCTGCAAAGCCGTTTTCAATTATTCTAATTGCTCTAATGCTTTTTACAGTACCACTAATTCGAAAGTAGTGGTCTTGAAAATGGCTTAACTATTGTAGGAATTGATTTTGGTTGACAATTATTGGATCTGAAGATTGGCATTTTCCAATTGGCCTTTGAGCATTTTATTTTCATTTTGAAGCAAATTGATTTTCTGATAGAGCAATTCCAATTCGCCCAATTGTTTTGCAGGTGTGTAGCTTTTGCTATCAGGCACGGGGGATGAGGATTGGAAGAGCATTCGTTGATGAGGAGAGTGAGAGGGATTAGTTTTATGGGTTGGAGTTTGATTTGTAAAAGGTAAATTTGGATATTGTGAAGGCATATTAACTTATTACATTAATTAATTTAACTGTCATATGAAAAAAAACAGCATTTTATCAGTGCCTATCAAGTATTAAAATTAGATATATTAAATAGAAGTAAGAATTATGTATTAAATAGATTTTTGCATTCGATACACCTTTGCAAATAGCCTATAGATTTTGCACTCAACAGAATTTGGAATTCAATTTTATATCACCACTTTCAAAACAAATAATTTCCTTTGTGTCCCTGCTTTTGGATTCCACTAGCGTAGACAATACAGTCAAGACATAAATTCGATTGCACTTTGATAAATTCATAAACAATGCAAGTATTAGAGAGAGCATTAAAATTGTGGACACATCCATATAAATTCAAAATGATTGCATCCAAATTACAAAGCAATAAGAATCAACGCGAAATAAGGATGAGAACTTCAATTTCTCATTTGACAAAGACAACAATGAAGATAACACATCAAACCTTCAGGATTAATTTTAATTTTCATTTAAAAACAGATTATAAGAAATGTTGAATCCTGAAAAAAATTAATCCACCTCCAGGGGAAACAGTCATGTCGATCATTACGTTAAGAATAATTCAATTAATCAGATTGAGAATCTTCAAAAACAGGAGAAATTGAATTAGAAAATAATGAATCGATTAAAAAACAAATCGCCAAGCAAGTCCCCAAACAGACGAGTTGGCATACCATATTAAGAGTATATGAAAAGACCAAGTGTTTAGATCGACAATACTAAAGATAGTTTCCATTCGAATTATGGTCTAAAAAATAGGCCGAATCAATTCATCAGTGCCTAATAGAGTCCCATCTATTCACCAGAGAAGCCAGAATAAAATACACTGTAAACTTTGCCGAAGGGAAGAATAAGCATGGAAAAGTCAAAGCAATCTAATTCGAGAAATATCTCTCCTTAGGAAATTAGTTTCTCTTAATAATAGATAGATTAGAGCATATAATCAGTAAAGAATGAAATAAAATAGTTTAGTCTATGAATAGCAATGGGACTCTTTGTAATAGCAGAATTGATCATCAATCTAAGTAGGACAGAATAAAGAGTTTCAAGGATTTGATGAATAAGTTATAGTGTATTTCAACTCCTCAGAAGAGTCAGAGGAACTATGAGATCTATATCAAACAATAAAACAATACATATGCAAAAATAGTAAACACCATTTTTAGTGTAAAGTTATTAGGAATAAAAAATTAATGAAATATTTGCGATGCTAGATGCTGACAAGGATGGTTACATAGATCATGAGGTCAATTTGCAATAGTTAAGACAATAAATCATAGATATGTTCGAGCCAGTTTGGTTTTAAATTTTGTGGAAGAAGATTAAGCTCAATAAAAGATAGTTTTAAGAATTGATGTAAAAAAGGTAATGATTTAAGTAATTAAGAATTAAGGATCTTGATTAATAAGACATTGGAAAATTTATATTTAATGGAATTAAAAAGTGATAATATACAACAGTTTTTATAAAAATAAATTATTATTTATTAATTCAAATTAATTTGAATTTCGATGTTGCCTGAATTCGGTGAAAGTGATGCGGAGAGATATGAAAAATTAGAAAAAATAGGGAGTGGAACCTATGGAGTTGTGTATAAGGCATTGGATAAATTAAATGGATAAATTGTAGCTGTGAAAAAGATGACCTAAGAAGTATTGAAAATCCGCCAAATCATTAGTTAGAGCAGGAAGGTGTGCCTTCAACTGCGATTAGAGAGATTAGTTTACTCAGAGAGCTCAACAATCCACATATCGTTTAATTAAAGGACGTAGTTATTAGAAATAAGAAACTTTAACTAGTCTTTGAATATATGGAAAGAGATCTCAAGGCACTTTTGGATATTTCTCCAAAAGATCAATCTCTCGATAAAATTACAATTAAAAAAATAATCCATCAAATATTGAAGGGAATTCAAGCTTGCCATCAAAGACGCATTTTGCACAGAGATCTCAAGCCCCAAAATATATTAATTGACAAACAAGGTATTCAAATCCAATTCAAAGTAGGCAATACAAAAATTGCAGATTTTGGTCTTGCAAGACCATTCCAAGTCCCAATCAGACCTTATACTCACGAAGTTGTAACTTTATGGTATAGAGCACCTGAAGTATTGTTGGGAGCTGTTGAATACAGTACTCCAGTAGACATATGGTCAGTTGGATGCATCTTCTATGAATTAATTACAAAAAAAGCACTCTTCACAGGAGATTCTGAAATTGATCAATTATTTAGAATATTCAGAATTCTCGGCACTCCAAATGAGAACACATGGCCAGTACTACTCAAATTCTATATATATCTAGGGTGTAACTAACTTGAAGGATTATAAAACTACATTTCCCAATTGGAGTCCATAAGGATTTAAACAATTGTTAAATCGTGATGTAGATCAATTAGCTATTGATTTATTGACTAGAATGCTAAAATTGGATCCTACTCAAAGAATCAGTGCTAAATAGGCACTCAATCATGTAAAATATTTTAAAATATTGTTAAGTAATACTTTTAAGAATTTCAAGTCAAACCTATTCCCAAGAAGTCAGATTATTAATCCTTAATTAAATTTCCATGAATTTATTATATCATATTATTTTATGTCAGAGAGGTCTTTATCACCATCAGATTACCATGAGTTCAAGCATGCCAAGTCAATCATGGTTATCAAAACTTCTTTTAAAAAGAGAAGATCAATTCGTTGTAAAGTCAATTAGAAATTCCAATTGGAATTAGAATTAAATAGATGTAATTTATCCTGTGAATGTACTAACTGTGGTAAACCTGTGGGGTTCCAATTAAAGATTCACGGGGAGTTACCCCTCAAAGAAACTCGGTACTATTATATAAATATATAAGTTATTAGAAAAAGAAGAGAGTCTTGAAAAGATTCAAGGCAATCGGAAATGCTATTCTTTTCATCCTCATCTATAAGTTGGAGGCAATCAAAAAGTGGAAAAAGAAAATGCATATTCTTAGAGCAGCCAGAAACCTAACTATCATAAGAAGACCTGCAGTTCTTCAATCAGTTCATTTATTACCAAATCTACAACCAATGAAATAACCCATCAAGTACTTTTTCCTTTTTGAAAGAACGAAATAACTATCTATCTCATCAATTTCCATTCAAACACTCCCATGAATCCTCTAAAAGTTAAATCAATGATTTCTCTCATCATGCAATTCACACTCAACAAACTTCAAGTAATCCAAAAGAACTACGACCTTTTGATCCCTCTCCTGCAAGACCTAAATCAAGACTATTGAACGAGAACCCTGGTAAGAATCATTCTTAAATATAGGGTGTGCAAATCATGAAATGCAATAATTATCTGAATAATAGTAAATATAAAAGAGTAAAGAAACCTAAATTGAGTTAAAGAGATTGGCCAGATCAAAAGCATTGTAGAAAACAGTTGAAGCTTGTTCCTGCAAATCACAAAATATCTTATAGAACAGCTAAGACGAGGAAATATTATTGAACGAATCTTAACAAAATCCATTTTATTAATCATATTAAAAAGGACCAAGAAAGAGTTAGATTCAATAATATTTGGAGAAGATGTTGAAGAATGTAGAATGTAATTATTTAGATACATTGATTTAGAGAAACAAGTTGTCATCAAAAAAGAAAATAATTTCAAACCGTTAAGTATTTTAAATGAAGAGATAAATAAATCAAAAACAAAATTCCATTTCAGATCCAACTCTTAATTGTCTCTCACTAATTATTAGTCCTAATTTATACCATACTTTGAACAAGTCAGAACTACAACTAATAGTTCTTATTATAATAATAAAAAGGATTGTCTTAAATTGATAGACCTTATGAAAAACAAAAATAAAGTTATTAAAATTAAGAAGTGAATGTATTCAATGTGACATTCTTTTATTTTAAATTGTATAATAATCGTATTTAAATTTCATAATAGAATTATTAATATTTTTACAAATCATTTTTAATCAAATTTCTTGAGTCTTTTTATTTAAGAATTAAATCTTAATATGTTTTATGATTCTCAAATATCTTAAGAGTTCATATGAAGTAAATAAAACAGAGATGGTGTTAAAGGTATCTAATAAACTATCTATTATAGGCACATAATTAATGTAATATAATTAAACATATTCAGCCAAATTAAGTCTTACATATATAGATACTTATGGTGAATTATTCTATTAAAAAGTAGATTACATAATGTAAACTTATAATAATTTCTCAAGAATTAATATTGGTTTTATGAAAGTATAATATAACATGAAGTCATACTATTAATCACAATGTCTTAATTTCAAAGCAGAACTAACCTATAAGTAACAGGTTAGTAAAAGTAAATCAATTAAGATAAAGATTTAAATAAATTGAATAACACCATTAAAATATTTAAAAGAATTTGATCTATTAAAAAGAGGTAGCAAATTTACAACATTATCCTAGCAACACCCTTTTATTATCATACCCCAATATATCAAGAAATGTAATTGATTCAGAGACAGCAGTGATTTCCGCAGTCAAACATCATTACCGAGAAATACTAATATAAAGGAGGTCAAATGAATTTCATCTTCAAATTATTTGAATAACCAAATTACTCAAAGACCATGAGTGATATTTCACACAGTCAGAATTGGAATATTTATAACCATACGGTTTGAGAATAGAATATTGAAAATTACATGTAGTTTTTTTAATTATGATCAATTATGAAGATGTAAATTAATTGATTAATAAATATGAGTAAAAAACATCTAGTTGAGGAGATGATTACAATAAGGGAAGAAATGAGACATATCAATGTAAATAGTATTTGTTAAAAAAGAATAGAATGCTAACAACAAACTCCTCAAAAATCTTTGAGTTTACACCTTTTAAAAATAGAAATGAAAAGATTAGAAAATATTGTTATTAATTGGTTGCTCTAAAACCTAAATAATTCAAGAAGTATTTTGTATCAGAATAATACATCCATGAATTATTGAATAAAATGGATTATGAAAATCTGCTTCAAATTTCATTGAAGTTTATCGTTAAACATTTATAGAATAATGAAGATGAATAAAGTTAACACAATGAATCCCCTTCACCCACTAATATTAAAGATGTAGATAGAGTCACGAAGATAATCAAGGATATTGTTTCGCCAATTAGAACTAAAATAATTTCGTAAGCCTAATTTTTTGATCGACAATTAAAAAGTATTCACAAATCCTGCCAAACCCAACCTTCTACCTTTGAAACGCAATCAAAGAATAATTTTAATTTAGGCATTCGACAATAATCATCTATATTATCATCAATATAATAGGACAATTTAAATTCACCTAAATTTAATGAAAATATAATTAATGTCATTGATGAGATTTCATTCGAAAGATCCTCAATTAAAAAAGACAATCAGAATCCGAAAGATTTCAAATAAAAAGGGGATCTTCAAAATTATTAATTATTAAGTCAATCTTAAACTAGAGATTAAAAAATGAACTATGACATTAGTGTAATAACAACTCCTAAGCAAAAAGAGTTAGATAATTACAAATAGACATTGAATACTAGTATGAATAGTTCATTCAAAGATACACAAAGAAAATTTAAAAACAAATCCATGTTGCAATTGAAACATCTCGAAAAGTTAGAAGACAAAAGATTTCCTAAGTAAGAAGTACCATATACTATGCTTTCAGTTGATTATGTCCGTAAGAGAAGGAAAACACCAGAAAAAAATAGAGGCTTTAATATCATTACAAATTATTGATAACATATATATATTTTAATATTAAAAATGTAGTTAGATTAATTGATAACAACCTTTGGTTTGGATTCTTGTGATGAAATCCCTTTTCTCAAATTATATGCAAGGAAATTCAAAATCTCTCGTCCTTCATATATTGCTTTCATCGTTGTGTTATTAGGATTAGCATGCATAATATTAGGAATAGGAAGAGGATTCTTTATTAAAATTATGACACTGGTTTATCCATTCATCATGACCTTAGAAGTCATTGAGACATAGAGTAATATCATTTATATAAGTTTGTTTAGACTACAGGAATGCTAAACAATGGTTATCCTATTGGGTTATAGTAATGATTGTTCATTTGTTGGATGATTACTTTTATTGGATACTATATTACTTACCCTATTACCATTTCATTAAGTTCATCTTTTTTGTGCTACTGTTTCATCCTAAAACACAGTTTGCAGAGCATTTCTATGATGCAGTATACATTTATAACTACATGATAGGTATTTCATAGGTGTTATATCAACTATTAAAAATACATATATTCAAGTAAGAGAATTTCCAGTTACAATTATTGATTTAACTTCCATATATATGTTTATTATTTAATATTTTATTAGTTATACTAGATTCTTATCAAATTTCATATAAAAAATATATAAATATATGAAGAATTTTCAATGTTCTATTTTTTCTTTTATTTAATACAACCTATAATATGCTTAAGATATCTTTTTATAGTATTGATTAATTCTATTTATATTAAACATATTGATATGTAAAGTAACTAGATTATTCTATATATATTAATAAAATATTATTAATATCAATTATTAATCTATTGGATACTTTTTCGTATCGAATTTATCATAAAGTTATTTTCGATTAACTTTAGAGGTTAGAAGGTTTAATTTAAAATTTGAATTTAATAACTTTCTATTAAGAATAAATTAAATAATAATTGAAACTTATAAAATATTACAGATAATTTCAAATTGTTTGAGGTAGTATATACGTTAATTTATAATTATATACGATAGTTAGAACCTTTGAAATTCATTTTCATAATCAGAAGAACAAAAGAGAAATTTAAATTATAGAATCAATAACATATCAATTCTATGATATTTATTTTGTGTAGAACAATTGATAAACCTAAAATAATATAATAGTTAACAATGTTAGCTTAGACTAGAATAATTTAATTGTATTTTAAATAAAGAAAAAGACAATAGGTATCTTGTTGTTTGATTTACCAAGTGGAAATTGAGATTAAGTCAAAATGCATCTTATTTGTTCTGTAACTTAATGATTAATAATTACATCATGTAAATATAATATTGAATATATATTTTATTAATATTAATGACAAGTCAATCGGGGGTTGAAGAACTATTTGGTTGTTTAACAAGATAAAGTAATGAGATTTTAGATTGGTGCGTTACGTACATTCATTAAATAATTAGGATTTCTACTTAAATTAATCATGGCTTTTATGATTTTACTGTGTTCCATTTACTTATTAATCAATTAGAGAAAACCATAATACAATAAACAATTGACGAGGAAACAAATAATTTTTGCCATCTTAATAGTTGATACTGCTTGTAAAGCCTTGCTCTATATTAGTTTATTTGGCATTTCAGTTAAGCAATAGAGTTGACGCTTTGTATTTCCCCATTCCATATTTTCAATTTATGTTCATCAGTTATAGTATCTACTATTTTGGCAGAAAGTCTATATTGATAGCTTCGTTCAATGGATCAGATGAAGCACTATCGATCTCTGCCACGATGCAAATAAAGTTGGCTCAATTGATGTTCAATGGATTGGTGTTCTTTATTTCAGCAATTTTTATTTTAAATTACATTGATTACTTTCTGAATATGGATGATTATCACTTATGCCAAGGTTATATTGCTAATTATTAATTAGCCTAGTTTTTCAATATAATTACCACAGTAGGATTCTTGCTTTAAGGATTATTCTTTTTATAGATAAGACAATTAACTCGTTAAGTGAACAAGAATATTAAATAGGATCAAAGTGGAGAGATCAGATAGTTTACTGAAGTTGTGAAGAAGAGATTAAAATAAATTTGGTATAAATGCTCAATATTGAGGTTGCTCCTGATTGTAAATATAATAGGTTCTTTTGTTAGTTTTACTTAGAATATCTATTTTGTGATCATGAATCAAATATACCACACCAAAGGTATGAAATACACATGTTTTTATGTGAATGTAAGAATTGATTGATAATGAATTTAGTTTCCGAATGATGAGAATTTGACCAATTTCTTGAATTCAAGTCTTGATTTGTTAGACAAATTCCTTTCTTTCTTTCTTCCCTACTTTTTTGCTCTAGTTATATTTTGGTAGAGAAAGGCAAAACAAGTGGTGTAATCAGAATCTTAAGAAATTACAACTGAAACGTATGTAATTCAGAGTGATAGCACAGAATAGATAGATCAAAGTCCATCAATGGAAACTTGATTAATTTATTTTTGTGCTAAATCTTTAAAAGATTGACAAATTAAATATATTTTCAGAATATAATTTAATTTAATGTAGAGAATTCATAATTTCTTTAGATTCTCAAAGAAAATTCGACTTTATGTTCAAAGTGAAATAAATCCACAGATCAAACTTACCATAGATGCTACAGAAGGTGAGGTTTTGGCTAAGGAATTAAAAAGACACAAAGTGCCATTACCATTTGAGTGTGGATTCTCATGTTCATGTTCTACTTGTTCAGTGTTAATAGCTAATTCGAATGATTTTAGCAACATTTAGATTGCATAACCTCAAAGTTAAGAGGAGATCAATGTGTTGACAACAGAAGGAAAGGGTGGAAGGTATTTATTGTTAGAGATAATTTAAGAGTGCGTCTGTCATGTTAAATCAATGTATGCAAAGAATTGGATGGTGTTACATTGTTAATTTGAGTATTTTTTAACTTATAAGAAATGTTATAAATGACCTTCTTAAAGTCATGAAAGTTATATTAATATAATTTATATTCAAATGTCTTTCGATAAATTATAGCCTGTCATTAAACAAATCGATATGAGTGACGAAATGCAAAGAGAAGTCATCGAAGTTTCCAGACAAGCCATAGATAAGAGTTCTACTGTAAAAGCATTTCTAATTGTAGGATCAATAAATTGCATCATATATTAAGGATGAATTAAGAGCAAAATATCATGGAACGTGGCATTGTATTGTAGGAAGAAACTTTGGGTCATATGTGACTCACGAAACAAAACATTATATATATTTTTACATTGGATAACTGGCCATCATGCTCTTCAAAACAGGATGAATTATATATTAAATATCAGATAATAAATATTGGTCATATGAATTCCATCGATTATAATTGTTTAGTATACAAAGGATCGAGAATCTCGAAATATCAGTTTTAATTATTATATTATTGAAAAAAAAGTGTTAGAAAATACAGCAAATATTTTATCAAACAGGGTCTTGGATGTAATTACTTTATGCTTTTGCGTAAAAGACCTTTTATTTTAATTGATTCTATCTCTTCTCTTTGGATTGTAGTTATTAAAAACCTAATTTCACAATGAAATCCTCATCATTAGGCATAAAGTTTCGATATTCCTATTATATTGAATTCAGTGGATTGAACTCAATGCATTTCATCAATCTTTTAGTTTAGGAATCACTGTCATCCAACATGAATGTAGGTTAGATATCATGATTTTCTAGATCATATTTTTTTAGATTCACTTTTTAATTCAAGCGTCTCTCTGATTTTTTCATTATCCTAGCAATAATAGATTAATTTTATTTTTCTAATTCAAAATTCTAAACCTACTGTCCCGATTAAGCTCTTGCTCTGCTAGGTCTAGCACTGTATTAAAATTTCTAATCCAAATCATAGGTTTTTTCTCTACGAAATGAATAAGTCTTTCTTGCTGAACATGAAGTAGTCTGAGGACGTATGAACTCAGTGTTCGTTGTTTATTAATTGTTTGTATTTAATGAATAATGATTCATATATTTACTTTTTACTGTCAATTGACTTGCCTTCATCCCATATTTTGCATTGATAGTGTTTAATTTTTATTCGAACTCCTTGCTCATTAGTTTACACTTCTGAGGCTACTCAATTTTCATGGGCTACACTGATGAAGGCCTTATCGATCGATATATCACTCTATTTTTGAAGTCCTTAATGACTTATTGAATTCTTTCAGATTTATTATCATATTTTTAAGAAAGCCTAAACGAACTGTAGAGCTTATCGAAGTCACCTACTTATTCACTTAAATTCTAATTTTCTAATGATATTTTCCGTGGTTTTATTAAATCATGACTAGTATTATTTTAAAAGGCAAGATCATTTATTTTATTCAGAATCTCTCTTATTTTTCCTAAATCCCAACTGCCGCTTGTTTTATCACATTTCAGAGTCCTTAACATTTCCAATGGATTATGTAAAAAATCCTCTATCATTCCACTTGCCAAGCCAAATGGTTTTGGTTTATCAGGACTGTCTTCCAAGTTTATAAAAGTCAAAGACATAAAAAAATTAAATTAGTTTACAAAATCAATTCATACCTACATTCTTCTTTAATCAATTATAAGAATATTAGGCTTCATTCTCTTTGCAACTCTGCTTCTTAAGATTCTCATTTCTTGATCCACCAGAAATTAATTGCATTTTGGTACTTAAAATGAGAGATTGCCCAATTAAATTTAAGTTGTTGCCAATTATTGGTCCCTCACATTATTTGATGCCTATATTTCTTAAGAATTTAGTATTGCTTGCTTAAGTTTTTTATTAATTTTTGCAGATTCGATTATAGACTTAGCTCTATTGGTGAGTTCATCCATGAATAAAGACTGTCCTTGCTTTAAATTTTTACCATTCTTAAGTATCGAAGGGGAATTATGATTCTCATTTTTGATCCACTACTAACTAAAATCATGTAAAGTCTATTGCATCGTCTTATTCAATAAGGTTTTAGTCTTATCAAGTTTGACTCTCTCAGTAAAAGGAGTAAAAACTGGTTTTGTAGCCTTATTTGTAGAGTTATTTTAATTTTCACTATTTTTAAGCAAAGGCAACCCCATTTTCACATTTTTTGGGGTATTTCTATTTTAATATTCAAATAGTCTTTTATTAATCATTCTTGATCTTTAATTAGATCTTTCTACAATGTCAATCGATTTATATTGATTTCTGTAAAATTAAGCAATTTCATTATCTTGATTCTGAACTTTAGGATCATTTTCTTTTATTGGAGGTTGTTAAAGTTGTTTTTTATATATATTCTCAAAGGCAATCATCTTTATTGAATTCAGAATCTACATAATTTATTCAGTATCGTTTTGATAGTATCCTTATTCTATTTGTCTCAATTAAATTTATTCTAGATCTTTTAGAGGTGAATTCATGATAAATTAATTATTATTTTTATATAATTTTAAACAATTTAATAAAAATAAAAATGAGTAATATTTTAGTTAAAGTAGATCTACATATGAATAGTATTTGAAATAATATTATTAAAATTGATCCTAATTTAATTTATTAAGATTTTGTATTTTATCGATGATAATGGTGATTTTAGAAGATATCTAAAAATTCCTTCATAAAGATAGAAGATAGTAAGTAAGATAAAGTTGAAGAAGATCTAAAATCGTAATAATATAATAAAAATATGTGATTGATATTATAGAATATTCATTAATCAATAGGAACTATTATAAATCCTATTGTGACTGTGTGTGATAAGTTTTATTCTTGAGCATAGATTTCAGTTGGAGCTGCAGCGGATCCAATCATTGTTACGTTAGCGTATTCATATACTGGTCTATATTAAGGCTAGTCAATGGTGATACTTTTGATGGAATGTATTTTCATATCCAAACCTTTTAATGCAATTTCAGCCTATAGATATTAATCAGTAAAATACTTTATTTGTTGCATCTTGGATAGCTAATTAGAGAATTTGATCTTTCAATTCTGACTTTTATTCTAGTTTGATATCAAAGGAGACATTCTCGATGGTAGTAACTCCTGCGTTGATAGCAGCGTCGATTAATTATCCAACAATCTTCAAATTAGGGGTTTCCAATTTTTGGCTAATGATTACTTTATAACCTTTGAATTTGATTTAAGGGTTAAAATTGGTATAATCATATTCTAAATGAGGGAACATCTAAAATTATGTGGTGGAGATCTTCACTCCTGCATTTGTTGTATCCACTTTTTGTAATGATCTATGGATTTTAAGATAATAGTACTTAAAGGCTTTACCCTGTATTTAGTTGGCTGTATTCAAAGCCACTTCTGCAAGTTCATTAATGATTTCGATTGCAAAATTAACTGTTGCTATTGTAGGTTCAACGCTTAGAGATCCTGTGCCTTAGGAATAAAAAACGTCTGGTCTTCTGTATTCAACTAAAGTACACTAAAAATGAATTTGAATCAAATTTACTTCTATATTATTGATTGCTTATTAATTTTGGATGAATGATCCCAAGATAGAAGTAGTGCAAATTGCAAGAGTTAAAATTCTAATCATTTTTTATATTAAATAATATCTCTAAACTCATCAACAGAGAGAACTCTTATTTACTAAATTTAGTGATATTATTAAAAATCCCCCATCATTAGGAGACAATCAGAAATTATATCTAAAAATATTATTTTTGAATTCATCAATAACTAAAAATAGTGAGAAAACTAAATAATATTTTCTAATGATGTGTCATCAATCAATCGGTCTAATCACAAATCCAACATTCACTTATTACTCCATTTGAGTTTTGGCTTGCGATCCATAATTCTCCAAGAATTGGACAGACTTGATCGACTCAATTCTCATATTCAATTCCTTCAACACCACATTAGCCTTAGATAATTTCATCTTATTACTGTATGTTTGGCATCTTCAATGGCTTATTCAACTAATACGTTCTTCAACCTTTTCTTCTCTTCTTTACTCACATCGAATTGAATTCCATTAACTTTATTTACTTTGTTTTTCACTGCAACATCAATGATCCTATTATTATACATAAAATCTTACTTTCCAACATCACTGGTGTTCAGGGTTTCTACTGTGATTCTATTGATTACTTTGAAGCCTGAAAATGTCACACCTTTTGGTTAGTTTTGGCTGTACTCTTTATGTGGTTAAATGGTAAAATCTTCTGTTTGAATCTTCAATCCTCCTTAGCAATTCTCTTTGATGGCTCTATGTGAGTTCGTATATTATGTACTTAACAGCATCTTCAGCAATTTAGGCTGCTTCCTACAAAGCAATCTGAGCTTTCTCGTCTTTGACTTCTATTTCTAAGGTTACTACTGCTTAGGTTGGCTCTACAATCGTTGATGCACTTCCTTTCACATAATATATATCTGGTAGTAAGTAGATACTTTAGTCACACTTTGATTAATTAAGTCATGTCCTTACCGCAATGGAAGTGGTTGTCTTTATAAATTATGAGTTCAACATCATTAATGAAATAGATAATACTAGGATTGCTTTCATTTATTTATATAATGAATAATAATTAAACTTCTCATGAAATTTAATCTTGTAAACACGGCAAGAAATCTTTTTCCATAACTTCTTTGTAAGCTGATCCAAACAAACTGAGGAATAATAAAATACTCAGCAATAACATTCAAATAAGTAGAGGTGATTCCATGAGTCGATTGTCATACGTTGACAAAGAGGATTACATCGATCAGCTTTAAAAGTTGAAAAAGGATAATAATCTCCTAAGAGTTGAGCTTAAGCAAGTTAAGTCTTAACTTATGTATTATCAGGTATAAAGTATTTAATTAAGAAAGAACTCGATAGTTTATAATCATAATGTTAGGAATCTGATAACATTTCCATTCCACTTCAACAGCAAGTCAAAATCAAATAACTTCTGAAGACTCTTCAACAAAAGGAAACAGAAATTGATTAGCTCAAGAAACTATTGAAGATGGATTAACTGAATGAACAACAAGAATAATTGTAAAAATTAAGAGCACTATGTGAAATACAAAAGTAGAAACTTCTCAACAGCGAAACTGAAATAATCATTCCATCCAAAACTAATGTCTTACGAAATTTGGAGGAAGATAATATTCGATTAGTGTAAATTGTAACTGCCCTCGAAGAAAAGTTGAAGGGCTTCGATTAGATTAAAAAATAAAATACCATATTTTAAAGCAAAATTTAGAACCAATAAAAGCTAATTCTCCAATTGTAATTAGAAATCAGATAGTACAAAGATAGAGACACCATCTTCGCTAGTAAGGTTACTTAATAGAATAAGCAAGAAAACTTGATTTAAAAATTAACGACTGAGATCAACAAATTAAGTCAATCAAGTCAAAATCAATAAACTTAAATTGATAATCTTATGTCAAGTCTTTCAAATTAGTAAGATAAATACGAAAAGGTAATTATGGAAAAAGAGGAGGAAATCTTGACCTTGAGAATCAAAATCGAGAATCTTAATAAAATGATGAATGATGATCACTAAGGACTTTCAGAGTAGAGAAAAAACAGTAAACATACACCCTTATTCAAACCGTCATCATTTGCCAACATAAGTGGCAATTTCAAATTGAATTAAGACTTTGTTCTTTCTTCTTAGAGATCTCAGAGTGCAACTCAACGCAAGAAATTAGTCTTGATTACAAAACAGGATCTTCAACAAGTTATCAAAATTCTAAAATACCAATTACTTATTAATGGGATCACTCTCAACAATATCGATCAAGTAATGCATCATCACTTATTCTTAGCATTTGTTCTGTCAACTCTCATAAGAAGAGGATGTTCAATTGAAAGATTTGGTTGAGTCCTTACAGAAGTCTACCTTCAAGTTGAATTATCAATAGGCCCATTAATTAGGTCTCTACTTGATGGATTCGGAGGATGGGAATGAGACGCAATCCAAATAGAGGATTCGTAGCATATTCAAAACTTTAGTGGATAATTACTAATTGCCATCAGCCTAAGAGATTGCGAACATTAAAAAGGAGCTTTCATAAATGTTTAGTGAATAGGAATTCTCATAGATAAAGAGTCAGTTGGTGCTCAAATATGGACATCAAGTAAAGAGGCTGCAGATATATGTATGTAAATTCGATATGGGATTAGGATCTGTTTGAGATGTTGTAATTGAAGGATATCAAATTATCGAAGCAAATAAAGGAGTACATGGAGGCTATGTTTTTTAAGTTGAATGATCAAACACCTAATGTGTTTTAGATTGATTAATTGCAATTGATTTACTGTGATGATGTGTGAATTTTAAATTAAATTATATTAAATTTATAAAAATAAAATGCATTGAAATAATTTGATTAAAATAAAATGTTTGGCAATTGTATAAGAATATTAAATAATGGATAAAGTGTAGATAGCATTATAAAATAAATTCAAAAAGAATAATAAATTAGCAACAACTACATTGAGGAAGGCGAATCAATTTGATTGTTTGGTAGTATTGATTGGAACATCACACACTTCGAATATTGGGATACAAAAAGGATTTCAATAATGGTACTTGGGTTGTGAATTGATGGATTGCATATTAATAATGAGTAAAAAGATGTTGTGCATAATAGCAGATGAAGTCATGTGTATAATTCTTATTCTAATTATCATTTAGTCTAGAAGTTGAAACATCTAAGTGACATCAAGATGAAAACCTTTACAATCTTTTTTTTGATTAAGAACATAAAAAAGAACAATCATTAGTAATTCTAATTTGCTTTAGAGAGATTACGAAAGGAGTATCCAAGCAATAATTATAGATTGGCATTGAACTTATCTGATGGTTAGAAAAGTCCTTTGATAACTGAATTCAACTAATTTATAGATCAGAACCATTTAATAAAAGTGGATTGCACCTCATTTTTAAAAGAATTAATAAATAATGACAATAAAGATATTTTTGAGTATTACAACACTTGTGGTAAGATAAATTCATATTACATGAAATTTATGAGTCAAAGGATAGAGTTGGCAATAAAGTTCAATGAGAATACCACCAATTACTCAATTACTCAGGCAGTCAAAAGAGAAAAGAGTTCAGACTTGAATTAAATGGCAATCCGAAGAAAATTTGGATTACAAGGGAATTACGATATATTGAGTTCCACAGTCCAAAGTGGTGGTCAATACAATGTGTCAGCATCTGAAAGTACTCAATCTAGATTGGTGGGCGATGTGGTGATATATAGCTTTTGTTGTCAATATATGCAATCATAATCATATTGCACAAGGACACTACTATTCTAACCCAATTAAGAGTTGGAATAGATTTACAGAGTGATATTGAATGTTCATGCATTTGCATTGGGATTAGTTAAGGAAGACATATAATTTAAATAAATCTATAGAGAGACTCAGAACATATGGGAGACCATATTCAAGGATGATCAAGAGATGAAGTTGAAGTTTCCGACAGACATTGGCTATTTGATAGGATCTTAGATGTTAATTGATAATCATAATACTGAGAGTATTCAAGATAGAATGGCAGTTGTGATCAGGATGTTTGTAGATAACATATTGGTCCAATTGCCATTTTATCCTGAAAGAACCAATATAGCAATTTGTTTGGCTGATACAATATTTGTAGTATCTGGAATTGAGGATTGCGTTATTACAAAGGCAGAGAAGGAGTTCACATTTGTGTCGTATCAACCAACAGAAGAAGGAGAGAGGTTCTTTAAATCTACATTTTAGAAGACTGAAAATTCAGATGTATTGCATTAGTCAGAGAGGATCACAAGAGAATAGTTTGAATAGGCCGAGTTGAATAAAATAAAGAATGATCAGGAGAAGTTGAAGGAAATAAAACAATACGAATTGGAAGTCAGATTAAATGATCAATAGACTAGACAAGAGCCGAAACTATTAGTGAAGATGGATCAATTATAAACATTTTAAAAGGAAGATCAATTTGATTAATATCCAATGGGAGAAATAGCTGTTGATCAGGACAAATCAGCTATTCTGATTCCAATCAGAGGAACACATTATCCATTTCATGCTCTCACTATTTAGAATGTCAGTGTTAAAGAATTACCCAATGGTTCAGGGGAAATCACTATCAGATTCTGGACTAATGAATTCCATATAGACACAAGAGAATTTCCACCGATGGATCAAGATCAAATGTTTTTGAAAGAAATTACTTTGAGGAATCAGGAATTCATAAAGTTACAGGATATAGAAAATGAAATTAATGTATGTAGAGATGATGCGAGAAGAAAATAGATAGAAAAACAGATGGAAGTAGACAAATTTGATTTTGTTATTGAGAAATTAACAGTCTTACCAAAGAACTCTCCTTGTTTAAGCAAAGTTTACATGAGACCAACTTAAAGTTAGAAGACTAGATCTCCAGAAGGATTTGTGGAATGTCACGAGAATGGATTTCGATATAAGAGTGCCAGAGGAGAAGTTATTGATTTCACATTCACCAGTATTAAACATTGTTTCTTTGTTTCACCTGAAGATGAAGTTATAGCATGTATTCATTTCATTTTCAAGATGCCCATCAAATGTGGTAAAATCTTGTTCTCTTAGATCCAATTCTATAGAGATATTGAAGGAGCCTCTGAATAGGAAGCAGCTAGAAAGAAGGTTCGTTTATTCGATATTGATCATGTCTTTGATAAGAAGGTATAAGATCGAAGACTGGAAGAGCTCAAGAATTTTGAGTCCTTCATCTAATAGTCAGAACAATACTATAAAAGATTTAACATCAAATTTGAGAGATTAGAAAAACAGTACAGTTTTGAGGGTAATTATGCCAAAGAAAGAGTCGTCTTTCAGCCTACTTAGAGTTGTCTAGTGAACATTGTTGATCAGCCCTTCTTTACTTTAACCTTAGAGAATGTTGATATTATGTGTTGTGAAAGAGTCCAAGAAGAAACCATTTCGTTTGATTTGGTTGCAGTCCTAAAGGATCTGGAGGCATAAGTGATTAGAATTGAAGCCATAGACAGGGAAGACCTCAAGAAGATACAGCAATGGTTGAATAAGAAGAAGATTCTATTTTTTTAAACTACTTCGGGTCTCATGTGGAGGAATATGCAATTCAGTATACAGAAAGACTTCCCATTGTTCGTTTACGATGGAGGATGGGCAACTATGATGAAAGATCATATGGAACATGCTCCTATTTAATAATTCAATGATGAACCTTTATTTGAACCTGATTCATCTAATGGGCCTACTTCAGTATCTGAGTTTGAATTTGAATAAGACAAAAAAAATAATAAGTATCTTCATCTCTAGAAGGATGATGAGAGTGATTTTAGTGATCTAGTTGATAGTGAAGACATCATGAGTGAGTTGGATATCCAAGAGAGAAGAAAAAGAAAAAAGGTGAAATACAATTTTATTGATTGATCAACTTATACAATTTATTTAATAAATAATAACAATATATTAATGTCATTTTCAGGAATTATGGTATATAGTTATTTATTAAAATATCTAAATTTAGTATTTAATTTTATATATATATTTAAGAAATAAGAAAAAGTGAAAATTCTTTTGAGATCTGAAAAGGATATTGCAATTCAGAATAGTTAATTATAGATACTGAATATTAATAATATCTCAATCAGAGGACTCAGAGGGAAAAGAACTATCTTCTTAGTTGTTTGATTTTTAGGAGCTGTAGTTGATTGAAGGATCAACTTTAACCTTTTTAGTTTTTCTATTTGTTATTAAATTGATATGATACAATTTGGATTGAACATACTCATACAATTTACGGATGACTTTGGCTGGCAATTAATCAATATCAAATTCTAATTCTTCAGCTTCTTGATTTTAAACACTTTACTACACTATTTCCCAGACTCCCATCAGATGTTCTTAAGGTAATTCTCGTATGTATTGTCCCAATTATCTTTTTTCTTCGAATGTGATGTGAGTATCTTATTTTTTTGAGGATTAAGGTTCCTTCACTTTATTTGAGCTGACTTTGTTATTGATAGGGATGCTTCTAATCATGTTATGATGAAGATATACTTAGTAGATGTGGGTGTTTATTTTTATTCATTTTAGATTGGCTTAAAAACATGATAAAAGTGATTTTCTAATAAAGTGACTTGATCTTGCATTTGGGTGGATGAAGCAGATTAGGTTAGTCTTTGTAATGCGATTCTAATTTGATTCCAAAGATTCATCAAATTACCTTTTAATTTACAAGTAAGTAATACCCTCCTATTTGAAGGAAGCTTCAATTTTATCGATATTTAAATACCCAGAAGCATTAATCTCATTAAATGCTGGATGGGATTTGAATTTTTGAAGGAGTTATAATCCCTTCTTGCAATTATCATCCAATTGAATTTTGACCTATTCCTTTTGAATCGGAGCAATTCTTTGAGATCTCTTGCTTTTATCTTCGACTACTTCTTATTTGTTGCTTTGGAACGAAGCATCGTATTTGTTCACCTTTTTCGGCTATTCCACTAATAAGGAGGGAAATTTTACCACTCTTTATTCACGTGATTTCAGGAGATTCGACTACAAAAGAGAATACCCCTTAGGCATTTTCCCTAGAATGAAGTCTACTTGAATCTGATTAAGATTGAATTCCAATTGGCTTGCCATAAAATATGTTATTATTTATTTATATTTCTGAAGCATTTACAATTAAATCAAACATACTATCATAAAATTTATTATGACTATTCTCTAGTTATTTATATATAATAATTAATAATACTTAGAGAAATGGAGAAGTACAGAAGGATAAGGAAGATTGGAAAGGGGAATTTTGGAGATGTTTGGTTAGTGGAAGATAACAAAGGAAGAGTATTTCAAAATTAATATTTAATAGTAATATGCTATGAAAAGAATAGATTTGCTATTTGATACCGTAGATCCTCAAAATGAAGTCAACATTATGAAGGTTCTCAAGCATCCTAACATAATCAAGTTTTATGATTCCTTCGAACATAATGACAAATTGTGCATTATCATGGAATACGCCAAAAATTGTAAGAGTTTCCCCCCATATCTAAGCTGATCTTTCAATTTACATTAAAACTAAATAGCCAGACATCCTGAACTATTTTACTCAATTATGTTTGGGAGTCCAATATTTGCATTAACAACAAATAGTTCACAGGGATATCAAATTGAGGAATGTCTTCATTACTGATGATGGAATTGTATGTATTTAGACTTAACCCTTTCATAGATTAAATTGGGCGATTTCAGTATCTCGAAAAAATTGATCGATCTCTCTACCAATACAACTTTAGGTAAGTTAGATTATGTAAATAAGGAACTCCATACTATTTGTCTCCTGAAATTTGTCAATCCAAAAACTACAATTCCAAAACCGATATCTGGAATTTGGGATGCTTATTATATGAGTTATGCACACAACAGAAGCCATTTCAAGGGGATTCCCTCCCTGCAATTCTTCATACTATTATGAATGGCCAAACTCCTCAACTCAACGAAGCTTTTCCCAAGTTCTATTAAGATATCCTCAATAGCACTCTACAGAAAAATCCAGATCTTCGACCAGATATAGAACAACTACTCAATATCCCTTAAATTAAAGAAGAATAAATCAAACTGTAAGTGCTTTATAAAAGTAAAGGACTACTAAATAAAAGGATATGTCCTATTGAATGTCCAGGCTTTGATGAAAAATAATCAGACAAACCAATTCTCACCAAAGATATGGCGAAGATCCTCAAACAATCCATTACTCCTCAATATCGATAAACTTAACTGGGATTGTAAAACATATTCTCAGAATGTGTCTCACCAAATAACAATTACTGCTAAGTTCAGAAAAAGCCTTACAAAAAGATTATGACCATTAATACCTAATTAGACGAAAAAGTAGAATAGGAAATCACCCAAAAGAAACCCTCTTTTGCCAAATTGCTTTTCAATCCCAAAACACCTACATCCCCAAATAGAAATATATTATTGGCAGACTTTTTGAAAAATAAGTTAGGATAGGAAGTATTTTAGAGAATGAAAGATTTACTAGAGAACAGCAAAGATCCAATATAATTATTGGAGAACAGAGAAGAAATGATGCAAATTTTGGGAGAATAAAATTTAGATTGCATCAAAGTATTTCAAGAATGTAATTTTAATAGATATTTAAAATACTAATATGTAACAGCATTACTCCTCCAAGTAGTCATTTTAGGACAATGAGTGCTTCGTATCAATTTATTACTTAGAGAATTAAAACAGTGAATAGTCACGAGAATAATCTTCAAACATCTGCATGGGATGAATAATTTTGATTATAATTAGCTTCTAATATTATATATAAAGCAATTTTGATGAAAATTATCTCATGAGTTATTATTGTTGTTGTTATTTAATTTTTGTATTGCTTATATTTACTGAGTATTTTTTGATTCAAAAGTATTTATCATATGAGAATTTCCTTAACTAGAGGCAACCTAATTTTAAGTCAATTTTTATGTGGTCGGTTCTAATGACGTAATCAAGGCATTCTTTTTATTAATTAATTATGATTACATCATTCTAAATAAGACTTTCAATCGCTTGACCTTTCTTGAAGCTTCTTTTCTTCTTATACCCAATCAATATTTGTAGAATAACAACTATTGTGCAGGTAGTATATTAAATTATTCGAGAAATCTGTTTTAATCTATACCAATCAGAATCGTGTGGATCAATAATGGGCACCTTTCCATTCCCTAATTTCTGTATTTTCATAAACATACCATTATTGTCTAGTAAGGCATGAGAAATTTGAGTTATGGCTGAATATAACAAAACTAAAATAGCTAGAATTAAAAGACTTGTTAAATAGTAAATATATTAACATCATACGAGGGAATTAAACATGTCTACTTTTTGGTTTAAACTGATAAAGGTAACCTTCCATAATGATTAAACAAATAAACACTCCTGACTACATGCATCATATTTAATTATTACACAACTCATTATAAAGTAGTTTGTGAACCTACTACTATCGTCATCTAAATCTACTATTATTGCTATTAAAGTGCAACACAGTCCTAGAATTATTACCATTAAGGTAAAAATTGTGATTTTGATTAAATTCATAATTATAATCTTATAAAAATAATGCGATTATCAATTATCATTACCCTAATTCTGCTATGTCTTTTCCATCAATTCGCCCTTCCTAATCCTACAGTTTATCAAAATTAATAAAATCCATATTGATATATTAAACATATAAATTCTACTCTTCAAAATAGCACTTTCAAATCAGTCAAACTCTAATAGGGAGACAAGCAAAATATGAATACAATAATAAAATTAAGAGTGGAATCCTAGTTGATGAAAATAACATCCCAATTATTTAATATTAAATATATATTCTAATTTGCCTAAAATAAACAAACATTGATTGCAATTCTACTTTGAATATTCAGGTGATATTGGTTTAATGAATTTCGAATTGTAAAATCAGAATTGGATATCACTTTCCATTTAAAATTTTATGATAAATTAATTAATGATTCTATTTATTTTTAGAAGTTGATTATTAAAGAGACAGAGAATAGTATGATTGTTAACTATTCGTCCTTCAAAAATTTGGTTTACTCTAAATTCTATTTGTTAATATAAATTATAATTTTCAATCAGAAATATTTATATAATAGTGAAAATTAATTAGTAAGAAATTAAAAAATTTATGTTTTAAATAGTTTATTTAGAGTTTTGCGATTACATTTTTCAATCAGAATTTGGGGATTTAGGAACTATAATGATTGTAAGAGAGCAATTTTAGATTGGTTAAATTTGATTCAAAAAAAATAGTATAGATAAATTTATCACCTTATCACAAATTTTTCATTATAAAAATCCCACTGAATCCTGTGTTCATATAAATAAATATTCAAATATAATGATTGTAGATGATGCTCCAATAATAATTGAAGAAATTGCATAACCTATGGATTAAGAGGCATTTTTATCATAAGAATATGAAATGCCTGGCAATAAATCAAGTAGATTGGCGATATTTCCTCCCCATTTTTATTTTGGACTCGAAGATAAAAGAAATGCATTAAATTATATTGCTCATGCAAAGGATGGAATTGAGTTCAAAATATAAATAGGATTTGAAATCAAGGATGGAAATGCTTCAATTCTAGTGATTTGCAGTGCCTTGAATGAAATACTAGACTAATCGTAATATCTAAATAGTTTAATATAGGAAAATTTATAAATTATCTAGTACGGTATTTTGTAAGAAAAACAAAAAATAAAAAGATGTTAAATTGGAGGCAAAGGAGGTTAGCATAAGAATACCATTGACCCAGAAATAAAAAGATGTTTAGTTTTGTTTAATGAATGAAATTTCAATTGAAGTTGCACCAAAATATAACAGTCGTGATGAAGTAGGCTTTACGGGTATTATCAATAATGCTGCTACATGCTATATGAATAGTGTATTTTAAATATTATTCAATTTGGGCATATTCTAGAAGCTTGTATATTCTATAGAATCTGAATAACATAATCAATTTCCATGCACTGTATTTAATTTATTAACATTTTAGTTATAATCCTTGTTTTATAATCTGAAACATAGTAAAATAGCAATATCAACTCAGGATATAATCAAATCATTTAAGTGGGATGTGGATTAATAGGCAATTCAATAGGATGTATAAGAATTCATTATGGAATTACTAAAAGCATTGGGAACTAAAGCTCCTTAGATAGAAAATGAAATTAATCACTTATTCTAGGGTGCACTTGAGAATCACATAAAAAATCAAATTTTCGATAACAAGAATTAAGAATAATTTATGGATATTTCACTTAATATTACAAAATCTTTAATAGAATCTCTTGATATGTTTGTTGAAAATGAACCTTTAGATGCTTATATTCATGAAGAATTTGGTAAGTAAGAAGCAATTAAGTTCCATAAATTCAAGAAATTACCTCCTATTTTACTGATTAATCTAAAAAGATATTAATTTGACGGATAAGGATTTACAAAAATACATGATAGTTTCTAATATGACAACATAATCAATTTTAAAGACTATTTAATTGATGAGGAAGATAAATTCTATGAATTGTATGCAGTATTAGTCCACAGAGGAGAAGCAATAAATCATGGCCATTATTACTGTTACATTAAACCATTCTTTCAATCATAATAATGGTTTAAATTTGATGATAAATTTGTTACTAGAGCCACCCAAAAAGAGGTATTTCAAAATAACTTTGGGGGATAATACTAACTGCCTGAATATAATGAAGATTTAGGTGAAGTTATTGTTGAATAGAAAAATAACCCAGAAACAGCCTATATGTTAGTGTATTTGGAGAAAAACAATCCAGATCTTTTGAATTAACCTGATAAATATCCTGACTGGATTTTACAACAGGAATAAAAGATCAATGATTTATAATTTGAATAAAAGAATTATATCTCAACCTATCTATTCTCTATCAATCATTTGAATTTGAATTAGAAATAATAAATTAAATCAGGAATTATATTCCATAGACAAGCATCGAATTAATCAATAGATTTTAATGCAGTTGAAGAATTTTTTGATTAATATACCACTCCTTTACTTGTACCTAAAACAATTACCATTCAGTAGATCATTGATTAATTATGTGAAAAGATCAATATCAATAAAAATAATACTCATTTGCTCATTTATAGAATCACTTAACTTAAACCAAATTTAGAATCAGTAGTACTGATGTCACCTCAAAAATAATTAACGTTTTATTTGGCAAACAAGTGTTATCAAATGGGTTTGATGTTGATTTCAACTAACCCTGAAGATTAACAATTAATCAATAATTATTTAGGTTTGGATAAGATTAAACTTGAATAGACTTAATAAAATGTAAAAAATGTAAAAGAACAAAAAGTTAATGATAATAAATTAATCATTTTTGTTAAGACTGTGAATAATTTGGTTGTTTCATTTAAATAAGTCCTGCTTTTTAATAAGGAGGAGAATATGGAAAATTTTATAATGAATGAATTTAATCAAGAACTTAAAGTCAATGTCTTATATTAAAATGATGGTATGCAAATCAAATAATCTAGCAAATTTAAAAACACAGAATACTATTAAGTATATTTGGATTACGAATATAAATTTTAGGCTAAAATCTTTGAAATTGAAAACATGAAGGAAGTATTAATTAGAGTTGTAAATGAAAATCAATGCATTTCTTAATTATTTAATAAAAATGACTCTGCTCAACATCTTTTGGAGTATTTAGCTTAATTAGAAGATTGCCATCCTGAGAACATATAGATCAAATATAAAGATAGAAAAGGTAATTATTAAGTGTTGCAATAACAAATAATGATTGATGAAATCATTCAATTTGATAACAGCATCGCTTATAAACAGACAGTAGTTCCAGTTGGAGCCATGAAAGAATAAATAAGTTTTCAAGCTGATAATTAAACTTACATAATTCAAAAGAGTATGAGCTTTGGAGAGTTTATGGAGTAAGAAAGCCTTAAGGAAACAGTTCCTTTATTGACATCTAAGAAAGATTAGAAAGCAGCTTGGGTTTTATTGGATCAAAATGCTAAGATTTCAAAGACAGTATCCAAGTATAACCTAAAGTTTGTTAAACCACTAGTTTTGGGCAATGATATATATGTAATATGTTTTTTGTAGAGTGTGGAAATAATTTTACTATGCAATCCATTGATAGTGTAGATATAAAAAACTTGTACTGCAGCTGAACTAATAAATTATATTATTGAAAATTTAAGTTTGAATCCAATAACTTATAAAACTCAATAAATCTAGATTAGTTAAGATGGTATATACAGCACTGAAGATCAGAAAACTTAAAAATTTGATTTACAATTAAGGATCAAAATAAATAATTAAGAAATCTCCCAAGATATTGCTGTTCAAATAGGTTCTTTATTCTCTGAAGAAAAACAATTAACACTTGTGATGACATTTTTGACCATCAGAGACACTAAGAATGACAAACTCAGATAAAAAGGTGTGTAAATTCTATGAATTAATTATAATATATCTTAGAAATATACCTTAATAAAATCATGTTTATGTCAGACATGTTATTTTCTCACCCATTAATTATAAATCCAGGAATCGGAGATTGATTAAATTATTAATAAGCAATAACACTCTAATCAATTAGATCAATCTGTTTATCCAAAAATCTCAAGAATTATTAATTTTCTCCTTCTTTTCCTGTATACATATACGTACTAAAGCTTTCATTTGATAATGGCATTAGACTTATTGTATATATGACACCTTTTTTGAGTAATATTTACTAATATAGCAAGATTTCATAGAGCTACTCCTTTTGTTTAAGTTTTTCATGATTTAATTGTATTTCCTAAGCGTAATAATAGGATGATAAATCAAGACCCTCATGAATAGAAAACTGAAGACGATGAATATCCTTTTAGCAATTTAGTTGATTACCATCAGCATTTACTCCTGAAAATAATTATGCAAGAAGCAATCCATTTAATTCAAAACTAGATTTACATAAGAATGGTTCTGCAAATCCTTAATTCTTCTTGAAAGTAAAGGTCTTAAATTTATTTCCACTTTTCGCTATTGTTTAATGCTTCCAAATTTCTTACACTTAGTTATTATTAATTTAATTTACTATAGCATTTTACCCAATGATCATTTACTTAGTAACTTCAATATTAAAATTAAATTATTATATCATCTCTTTTAATTTCATGATTACTGGTGATAGTTACAATAATTTGAACATATCAGCTTTAATATATTCCAATTTATTATTCTTTGTAGAAAGAATGCTTTTTAGCTAATGTTATGCCAAGCGATTAAATTGATTCTCGAATGTTATAGCATCATTATTGAAGTAGATTTGTTCATATTCCTCTAATTTATACGTTTCTCTTAATTTTAAGCTTTCTTGAACTTTTAAATGGATTAATTTCTCAATTTCATCAGCTTCTTTATTAACTTTATTCCTAAGCTTTTAAACTATCTATAATATTTGCTAGTATTAATTAGCATCATCATCATCTAACTTGTATTGATAATAGTTCATTTTAATGTTTTAATAAATAATAATAAATTCTTTATTAAAATTCCATTCTATTAGCAATTCAACAATGAAAATTGTATTCACATCAATTAAGATTTTATTTTAGAGAATATCTAATTTAAATTCTATTATAAACAGATTTCTTGAAGTTTTCAAACTCTATCTTCCAGTGATAAGCATATTCTATACAGTTAGAATTATGTTCTAAAATATATTGGTAATGACAAAATGATGATACTTTTATTAATCTAACTCTTAAAATCTTCTACTAGATAAATTATAACAGAATTAGTTAAAACACAAATGATTTTCAAATGAGTAAATATTTTCACTCCTTTAGTTTTAGTTCAAATATATCTATTGTATGGAATTCTAAATTCATATTGTTACTTAATAGAATTTATGTAGAAGCATAGTTGTTGTAACAAGTAAACAATCTAATTTAAATTAATCTGAAAGATTATGATAACTTTTCTGTAATTATGAAGATTGTCAAATCAAATGTACAAAAATAAAATTAAAATTAATGTTCTTGAATTGTTGTCCTAATGTTTACTCTTTGCTGTTAAAAACATAAATCTAATTTATTGACCCTGACACACTATTACAGATTGACTTAAAAGACTCTTATTCAGTAATTCTAAAGAAAGACTTTCTACACATTTATAAACAAGGAGAACCTATTTCTTCTTTGAAGTTACATTTTCCTAATTTGATTAAATGGAAATTTGATAAAGGATTGATTGGATTCACTATAGATAATGAAACCTATTTGACTGAGGAAACCTACAAAATAAAAGAGCATTTAAATGGAAGATTGTTTTTTTCTAAAATTCAAGATTTTTACACTCCTCTTTAAGTATTAGGAAAAGGTAGTAGTGCTAAAGTGCTATTAGTCAAATCAAAGGTTGGGGATACATTTTATGCTGCAAAATGTGTTCCCAAGACAGAATCAATAATTTAAGAGATTGAAATTAATAATCTGTTGGATCACACGGCTTTTGTGAAAATAAAAGAAGTGTTTTTAGGAGACACAAGCTATTATATCATAATGGATCTATTGTCTGGAAAGAATCTTTAATAAATACTTAAGAATCAACATACTGGTCTCACAGTTGAGTAGTCTAAATTGATTATGCATGTAAATTAATAGTTAAATAGGCATTATTAAGTGGAATTGAATATATGCATTAAAAAAATGTTATGCATAGAGATATTAAACCAGAAAATATAGTATTGGAAAAGATAAACAATCTTACTACATTGAAAATAGTGGATTTTGGTTTAGCTACCTATTCTAATATTAAGAAGTATTATAATATTCCTTAAATTTAGATTTCAATATCCTAAATGTGGTACCCCAGGCTACGTAGCTCCAGAAATTGCAAATTTGACTGATAAAAATTAAATCTATGATAAGAAATGCGATATCTTTAGTGCAGGAGCAGTCTTCTATAAATTATTAACTGGAAGAGATATGTTTTCAGGAACAGGATTTGCTTATGTATTGGCTTAAAATAAGAAATGCCAAATTGATTTTACTCTCTTATAATTAAGAAAACTGCCATAAGATGCTATTGTATATAATATTGTAATCGAAGTTACTTTTAAAATAAATGTTACAAAAAGATCCTATGCTAAGACCGACAGCTGGGGAATGTTTGAAATTTCAATTTTTCACATCAACTCAATAAAACGAAATTCATTCACCTGCACCTAGTACTGGTACATACAATTCGAATTCTGCACCATCAGGACCATCAAATGCACACAAAAGATAATTTTTTGCTTAATAGAAATAAATGATGTAGACTGTCGATTTCTAAACTGAAGAAAAGACTGAATACAAGGGATCCTTTGTTACTAACGATATGGTACAATATCCTTAGATGCCAAAAATGGTAATGAAATTCAACACAACTGAATTTGAAACAATATGATATTTAAATAATAATTAACATGAATTTAGAAAACCTATTATTTCAATCAATTTTAACCTTCTTACTTGCATCCTCCTAGGGTTCTTCTTCATCTTTTTATTTTTCTTAAGCGTTTTCTTGATTATTTTCTTATGCAACAGTGTTTTACTATGGTTATTCAATTACTTCGACTCTTCTTCTTGCATTTCCAAAGTTCCCTAATTAAATTATTTATCTTTCTTCTTAAATAGGTTATTGAGTGAACTGTTATTACTATACTTATTGTTATTGAATGAGTTGTGCTTTATTCATCATTTCTTCGCGTGCTTTCTTCCATTCCTCTGTTTGAATCTCTTTCCATGCTATATTTGTATCTTCTACTTTGTCATAAAGCATTGATAAAACTTGTTTCAATTCTTTAGTATCATCATTGTCTAGAAATGACATTTTAAGATGTTCTCTGTCATAAGCATCTTGAAGTGTAATCTACATATTATTTAAATGCCATACTTGTTTTTATTCCTTGTTTTGTAATTTACAAAGGTGGTTTTCCAATATCTATAATGCTTTCAAATAAAACCCAAGGGCTTCCTCTTCTTTACCTTCCTTGTAATTATACAAAGTGACATTTCCCAAGAAGAAGTAAGTCTCAGCAATGTCTCTGGATATCTCTTGATTTTCACATTGCAATCTCAATTATAAAGATTTTTATAAATTTTCTTAGGCATCATCGAATTTATCTCTCCATTAATCTAGTTCTGCAAGTTTTATATAGACCTTTGCTAGATTTCGCATATATTTAAATTCTTGGACTCCCTTATCCTTTTGAGATTAGACTTCCTTCTCTAGTATTACTCTTGCGACTTCCAAATTTTCCCATGCAATATGAAAATCATCCAAATCTTCAATGTTCTCATGAGGCTTATTTTCCTACACTTTATGTTCTTCCTCGATGTCTCCATCCTCTATTTATTCTCCTTCATTTTCACTCTGAGTGTCTTCGGGGTCTTAAACACCAAGAGCATTGTTTTCTGCTTCCCTTGTTCTTTGACCAAATACATCTTGTTATTCACTGAGTTTCAAAACTATAATTGTTCCATACATATAGTAATACTAAGTAAATCATTAAATATACTTCTGCCATTTCGACTGCTAATTCATCTTTATAATAAGCTAATGCTTATTACATTACTCCTTGCATCATGACCTCAGCTTCATTATGTTTCCCCTCATTGAAAAGTTCCTTTGCCTTTCTGGCTTATTGATTAATGGTTTCAATGTCAACTTAATCCATGACTGATTTTTGGCGCTTTTAAATTAATTAATCAAAAAAGAGTGCATTTAATACCAGTTCAAAATATTTATAAATTAGAGTCAATTAAATGTTAATTTAAAAAATTCATGTTCTAATGCTTATTTTGGTGTCAATCTTTTTAATGGTTCTATCACAATCAAGTTCTCTATTAGATTAAGCAATTCCTATTAATTTTGTGGGATCAAGGCTTTAAACACCTTCATCAAACTCAATTCTTAAACCATGAATTAGTCATCTGGCCATTTCAAAAAGGAGTCATTTAATTAGTATTCATTGAAGTATTCTCTGGCTTCATTTCTACATTATTGGATCATCTCTATAGGAATAGGTCCACAATGTTTTTCTATCATTGCCAAATGATAAAAGTCATTGCCTTTTGGTTTGAACAATTATTGGCCTATAATTAATAGATCATCATAAAAACCTGTAAATAATTCGACTGCTATGCATCCCATACACCACATGTCGCTTAAATTAGTCCATTTGTTTCTAAGAATTACTTCTGGCGCTCTATATTATCTAGTATTTATCAATTGGGAATGACATTCTGTCTAAAAGACTGCTCCTCCAAGATCTATTATTTTTACATGGTAATGACCTTCTTTTTTCCTAATTATAGATTAATTAATTTGATTACCCTTTCTATTATTTGTCTATTAGTAGAATGTTTTCAGGTTTAAGATCTGTGTGAGTATACCCACTGGCATGCATAAAATCCAATCCTTAGAGACAGTCATATAAAATTTCTTAAACGGCTTTCAATTCAAATCCTCCGAAATATTTTCCTCGCATAAAATCATACAAAGATAATCCAAGCTAAAAATTACTATGCTAATATTACGTCTTCAAAAACAATGCAATAATTATCCTTATGACTAAATGCTTCGTATGCTCTTACAATTTTCTCATTCCCTGGATGATACTGGTTTTGTTAATGAATGGTTCTCAGTATTCCATATTCAATCTTGGCACTTTGAATGTGTCGCTTGACTGATTTGATGATCTTTATGGCCTTGAAGTCATTCTCTCCTCCATCAAACACTCTCACTACTCTTCCAAATGTTCCATCTGAAATCGCCTACACAAATAAATATCTTTAATTGAATATCTCATCTTTTTATAACTTGTAGTGTTTTTCCTTTTTTGTTTCCTCTTTCTCTCTTTATTTTTTAATCTTCTCTCTCTCCCTAGACCTACTCCATTCCATTACAATGACCAAATAAAAAGTACTTAAATTATTTATCCCATACTCCAAACTATCATCTACTTATAAATTAAAAATCCTGGTTGTTTAGCATAAAATAAATTGTTTTATTTTTTTTTATACATTAATTAATTAATTTTCCAAAAGCATTTTAATAAATTGTTTTTATTTTTTTATTCATTTTTTATAAAATCATATACATTTTCCTTCATTTTTGATGGAATATCATCTAAGTAACATGTAAAACTAGTATTTTAAAGTAATTATCAATATTTAAAGACTTTGCAATTTAACTTGAGGCCGTATTTATTACTTTCTCATCATTTATCATACACATTTTGTTACTCATAGATTCAAATTGAAAAATTGTTTCCTGCTATTTCATTTATTTAAAATAGATTTTTTTTAATTAATTTTTATTTTCATTTATAAATTACAATTATTTCAATTTTTTTTAGAAATTTAGTTATATTTTTCAAGGCACCCGATAAATATATTAATTAATTTTCACATTAAAATTACATTTTATCTCAAAATATCCATAAAAATTATACATATTAAAATCTTTATCTCATATTAGATTATAGTTATAAAAAGGATTTTCTCTATTTCAGACCTCTTATTAACAAATTATTCTTCAAATTAAATTAAAATGCTTTTGTATATTTCATCAAATTGCTTAGATTAAAGGAAACCAATAATTAATTTTTAGTTTTACCTTTATAACTATCAATTTTACAATTAACTTTCAATCACGTTTTGTATCTTAAATTAGCAAGAGTAACTATTAATTATGATGATAAGGGATAGAATCTTGATTTTTCCTTCAAAATATTGATACTTTTTATTTAGATTATGCTATTTCAAATGATGAAAAGGTTACTCTTATTTTTTCTTTTTATTCTTACGTCATCATAATTTAAAGGATATCAAAGAAAGATTATTGAATTTAAATTCATATATATTCCAAAGCTAATCCCTATTCTATTATTTCTTTATAGTTTAAAATATTAATAAATATTTCAGAAACAAAATGAATTCCAATAATTAGATTGAATTCTACTTGAATTCATAACAAGTGGATTTTATTTAAATGAAATTGCCCTAGGGTTTCTCCTTACACTTGGCTAGTCTAATTCATTAGAGGGAATAAAGGATTGTAATATTTGCATATATCATATCAAGTCTAAAAAAGTTTCCAAGTTTGATGCAACATTCAAGAATCATAAATTGGAATAGACAAGCCAGGAAGATGTAGTACCAAGAAGGGCATAAAGAATACAACCTC